GAACATCGAGGTAGATGATTTGGGTCGTTCAGGCTCTGTATGCAATGCGTCTTTCTTATTGACTGCATGTAACTTTTCGAATTCAGCAAGCTTTTCCATGACATCTGTGGTCTTGCTCTTGGAAAGCTCAGGCTTTTGGGGAGAGCTCAGCGGCTTGATCCAGTCATCGTCCACCGGTATACGCTCTGGAGCTGGGGCTTCATGTGCCCTTTCATTCGAAGCTTCAGATTTTGCTTCAGCCTTGGAAGCTGGAAGGTCTGGATAGGGAACCTGACCAGCTGGTAGCGCAGAAGCGGATGGGATTGACTTTCTGGGTCGGGATGGCTGGAGTTTGCCTAGCATGCTGATTCTTTCATGCAAGGACTGGGTGGACTTTTTGCTGTGCATCCTAGTAGCCTGATCAGGATCCGTTTCTTCACCTGGTTCTTTCTCATTGTCAATTTCCAATGCCCTGGAGCCGGCAGCATCCTCTGTCGCAGCTTGCGGAATCCTATGGCCACCAGTCTGTCTGCCAAAGTAACTGGGACGCCCGGCGGTACTCGTTTTCGCCAGATCAATATGGCTTGTTCGAGTCTTCAAAGGTTCCCGCGCAGGGAGGGTGGCAAAGCTCAGGCTACTTTTCCGAGCGAATGGTCGCTCTGGAGTAGAACCATCCGAAGGAGAGCCAATATCATCAAGATTGTCGAGAACTGTGTCGTCGTCTTTCGTGGCCTCTTCCATATCCTCGTCCTCTGGGTGAGAATCTTGCGTCTCGATAGGTGGAGCTACCGGGGCCGCCGGGGCCTTTTTTGGGGATGGCTCAGGTTTTGAGACTGGCATATCACTCTTTTTTGGTTCAGGTTCCTCATTCTGTTGCTTTTCCGGGATTTTGCCATCCGGCTTAGATTTAGTTTCCTTAGTCGGAGTCGACATAATTTCAGGCCCAGATTCTTTAGAAACTGATACGGCCGGACGCGCTGTTCTTTCCTGAGTTGGGGTTGGGTCCTTGATCGGCTCAACGGTCTGTCCGCGTGAGCGGATCTCTTCTCGCGCAGAGTGGAAGGATTCTTCATTCGTTTGTTGACTGGCCGAAATGTCGACCTCTTGAGTATCCAGATTCATGGGCTCGTCCTGTTCAAAAGGCTGGGTAGAAGGCTGAGTAGAAGCCTGTGATTCCTGTTGCACGTCAGGCAGTACCATTTCATCATCATCGGGCATGCCATGATAGCCCGAGTCTGTGTTGTATGTGGGGAAGGAGTTCAGATTTTGTGTGAGATCGGGGTATTCGGGTTGCGAAGCTTGCTCCGTCACTATCTTGGTGCGGGGCACAGGCGATGCCGCCACGGGAGCGGGCTTCGAAACAACACGATGAATGAATGGGCTCGGGCTTGCATGGTTTTCTAATTGTTTCTGGGCGGATGAGAAGATTTCGCTCAAGGGCTGCAAGGGACATTAGATCAGAACTGTTGAAATCAATTCGATATGAAGAGTACTCACCACTCGAGACTCTTCGGGCATGCGCTTCCGAGCGGTTCGAGGCGTCTTGCCTCTCATCTTTCCGGGTGTCTTGAACACGTCCGCGAAGTTCCTGTGTGATTGTTAGCTGAGCAGAAATAGAATTATAGTGTGCGGTTGCAACTCACGTCTGGCCCTTGGACAGGATCTCGGTCATATGTTCATTTAACCAGTCCAGTTCGTGTCGCACAGGGTATTCCACTTCTTCCATTTCTTGCTCCACTAGCTCGGCCATGTTTTCCTTCTCTGCTGCAATCCATGGCGCCGAGCCGACGGGCTTCTGCGCCCTCGCGCTTGCCGCCATCTGGACAATGCGCCGTTGGTGAAAGTGTAGGAAATAAATCTAGGAATTAACGACGTGGAAAGTTGTAAATTGTAAATGCACAATCATGGAGGTCGTGGGTTGTGGGTCGCGCCGAGTCGGGGAATGGAGATGTCGAGAATCAAAACAGACCTAATCGGGGATGGCAACGCGTGGGTCACGTGATTGTTTGTTTATGGCACATTTTCGGTTTCATTGGAAGTTGAATTTCGATTGAGAAGGAAAATACATGCTAACCTCACTCTCTTTAGAAGTACTCTGTAGTCAGAATAATAGATTCTCCCTCGAACTTGGTTGATAAACTTTGGATGGGACTGCTAACAAAATACCAACACGGCCACGTATTTCTACCTTCTATATAGATGCCTGTAACGACAACAGAACGATATCGTCAGACTTATATCCCAATTACCTTCTTTGCACTGGTAATCACGTATGTTCTGGAAAATGAGCGCCGACCTCTCTATAACTAGGTATGGCGTCAGCTTCCTTCTTTCGACTTCAATGGTCTTCACTCTTGTTGCTCAGTCTTTGACATTTGGCATAAGCTTACCTTGTATCACTAAGGATTGACAATTACTGGTTTTACTGGTCTCCTTCACTTTTTTGGCCTAAAGGCCAAGGGTCTGATACCGGTACTTTCAGGAAGAAGTTGGAAGACTTGAAGTAATGCACATCAACAATGCTTGATAGGAAGCCTAAATAAAGTTCGTTTATATATAAACCAGGTAGCACATGACGCAAGAGAAGGGCTATCATCCATGGATGTGTAACAACATTTATATCAAAGTGTTTCAGCCGATGACTGTACGGACGAATATCGGGGGAGAATCGCAGAGGATTTGCCCATGTTGGAGAGAACTATCAGCACACGTCTATAGATTGCGAGAATGAGAACTTTCGATGAAGTATTGGCTGGATTCAGATGTTCTTCGGGAAAGTTGGGGAAATTGTCCGTATCCTACATACAGAGGGCCTCGAGGCTCTATGTTTGAAAAAAATGTCATGGATTACCGAAGTCTCACGGCATGCTGCAAGGCTACATTTTAGGAAGAACTTACACACTGCAGCATACAGCTAGCTTGAAAGATGGTATAATTTACGGTTTCTACGACTGAGAGAACGCACGTAGTCGCAACATCTGCAACCAGCTAGACAAAGTAATGCTACATACAATCATTCCTTACTATAAATGATTGAAATAGACACTGTTCGTCTCTTTCTTTAGGTATATACAGACCCCTCATACCTGGACTGGAGCACTTAAACAATGAAGATCCTGGCTCCGTTCCTCACGCCTTTCACCCAAGCCACAGGCCTATACTTTGTGGAAGATTTGTGGGTTTCCTTGAGCAGACGATTCATCTTATTCTCAATCATTACCATATTATCATTGTGGAATATATTGATAAGCCCCTACTCGAGCCCCATAATGAACTTCTTGACTGGAATGGGCTCAGCATGGTATATTATCTGGTCAGGCGATCTGCTCTTCATCCAAGACCCCTGCACTTTCGAACGGCTTCGGGCCCATGTTATACCAAAGGCTGAAGAAACCAATGTGGTCTACGAATGGCAGCCGATTCCGAAGCCATATACCCTCACTCGCGTCTTCTGGATCCTGGATTTAGTCACCAATCTAAGGGAATTAGGTTGGCGACATGGGCTACACCAAGAGTCTATATTACGGTCCCAATCGCAAAGTCATTCGTCCCATCTAGGTACTTCCTCAACTTGCACAAACTTTGCATTCCTCACATGTCAGATAAAGCGAGCCATCCCCGCATACCTGTTCATGAGTATATATGAACAGGCGCCATTCCCGGAACAATATCTGTTTCTAGGCTATCTGCCAAGCCATCTTGAAGGCATCATTTACCACAATATTCGACTTTGGTCTTGGACGATGTATATATATTTTTGGATGGAGTTTACAAACTGTATTATGGCTATAATTTCGGTTGGGCTCATTGGCAAAGGCTATCTGGGCACAGCAGGAGAACCGTGGATGTACCCACCAATCTTTGGACCCGCGGGCTCCTTTCTAACAACATGGAAAGTCCAGGGTAAGTAACCCTATCCTCATGAAGTATTTCTCTGATGCATCTGCTTAGCTTTCTGGGGCGAATGGTGGTATAATATCCTTCGACGAAAGCTTGTTGTCTATACCTCACAAGATTGTTCCCATCGGCTCAGCAAAACTCCAGAAGTTATCGCGAACTTTCGCAAGCTTTGCCCTTTCTGCATCTTTCCATGCTGCAGCGTGTTATTGTGCTCTTCAGGATGTTCGAGCAGCAGGATTGATATTCTTGTTCTTTTGTTTGCAGCCTTGCCCGATGATCATCCAATCGTTTTTCTCGCAGCTGGCTGCTACAAGTGAACCCACTCCAGCTCTTTTGTTTCGCTGCATTTCAGTGTGTACCGGTTTTGCCTGGATGTCATGGGCGTTCCCACTCGCAATGTTGAATCCAGCAGATTTGTCTGTGCAGGAGACATTGGAAACATTTCGCATTTCGGGTGCGGTCAAGATATTCAATTAGCTACTTTCTTTGATATTCGCTATCATAGTGTTTCTTATTACAAATAACGCTACTGGTAATGTGGCCTTTCAGGTAGAAATGGACACGAATTCTAAGTCGTCTTTCTATTTAGGTTCGGCTTGATGTTGACCATGTAAGCCCTAAGGACAGCCATTGTTAAAATAGCACTTCTCCCACTTCAACTCTCTCAACCGCGTAGTAGCTGAAGTTGAGATTGTAATCCTCACTTTAGCCTATCGTAATCACATCGATACGTTGTTCGTGATTAATCCACAGTATGGCATACATCCATCACCGTGTATAATATACCATTGACAGAGTTTATCAATTTGATATGCAAAGAGATAGTTTCGCCATTCAGGTTGTTCATACGAATATGAGACCAATTTATGGATAATGTTAGGAGTTTTGACATCCATAGGGTTTGAGCCATTGGTCTTTATGATACTCCACTCACATCGACGCACATCCTACACGCATATCTTTGGTGTACAGCGATGTGGTCTCCCCTGGTCTAAACTGGAACCTCGCAAAATTGCGGGAAGTAGACCGGCAGCTCCATAGAAAAAATTCTGCAAGTAATAGTTGAGGTGGATGGTATATCATTTCTAGCCTACCGCTGCTATACAAGACATGAGATCCCATCATCTGTTTGCGCATAGAAGAACTTGGCCTCGCATGGTCGGGGCTTCCAGGACCTCCTCCATAGTTAGCTCAATCCCAACTTTTCGATAAGCTGTAACAAAATGAGCCGCAGCTATAAGACTTCCCCAGCGAGAGAAGAAAGGCGTATCCATTTCATCACTCTCACCGATGACTGTTTTCCAAACAGACTGAGCCTTAGTCAATGTCTGCTCATACTTCACGGCATCCGATGGCGCCATCTCCACTACATTAATGGGGCCATTGCTGAATGGAAGCGGTAGAGTGCGGCCTCCAATCGGTCCTTGTCTCATTCCGCTGAGACTTGCTGTCACATTCGCGATGAAACCATGGATCGTACTGCAGAATCGGTCCATAATGTCGGCCACAAACGTGGGTGCGATATAATCCATATCGAAGGTGATATTGACCAGGAAGTTGGAGTCCGATTCCAAATCAACAGGCATAGGATGGCACTGGATATTAAGATCCGAGCTCGGGTTCAAATGCCCGTGAATGCCAGTATCCCAAAGTGCTTTGCCTTCAGTATTCTCCGCAATCGGTGACTGGGAATGGTTGAGTACTGAACCGAAGCGGATCCATCGTGGCCATGAAGTACATTCTTTGACAATCGACGCTTCTCCTACGGACTCAAAGGGCATGCTGGCTAGATGACGTTCCTGAACATCCTGAAGAAGGTCAAGCACCTCCCATGAAGAACTTAGCTGTATTCGCAGCGGGACTGTCGATGCACAGACAATATCGAGCGAGTCGATTCCTGCAACAGGAAGGCCGCGGCCCGCCACAAGCTCGCCGAACACAACATCATCTTGCCCACAGAGCTCAGCCAAGACAAATCCCCAGGCAGCCTTAACTACCGTTGCAGAAGTGATGCCATGGCTTTTCAACGATTGCATGTGGACCCTCGAGGACAGGGTGTGCTGTCTTCCGTGTCGGAAGCGAGGCCGCGGTTTTGCCACGATCTGGGTGGCAGTGCTGCCTTGAAGATACTGCTCCCAATATGCCAAGGCCGTAGGACGAATGTAGTCTCGGAAATTGAAATACTGCCGAGTATCAAGGGGTTGTCCAAGGGCCTGGGTGCTGGAATATGCTTGCTGCAGGTCGGCAACCAAGCAGGCCCGAGTGGAAGCGTCGTACAAGCAATGAGGAAGTCGTATAACAAGTGAGTCACAATCATGCGAAACACCGCTTCGAGCAAGTTTAAACCAGACCATGGGCTGCCCAAGCGAGAACTTTTTGTTTCGATCCTGCTCTATCAAAGCTGTAGGATCTGGCTGGTCCAGTCGGTCTGTCATGTCCACGAAACTCGACTTCATGGTGACCTGATAGACCTGGTGCTCATGGCAAACGAAGACACTACGCAGCAGAGGATGGCGGTTAACAATTTCAACGCAAGACAAGGCCAGTCGGTTGAAGTTCACAGGCTTCGGGATATCGAACGTGTGGTAAGTCAGGTCACCGCGGAAGTTCAGCAGCATCTGCTCTAATGCCGAAACTTGATAGTCGGAAGCCAGCACAACTTTTTCGATGCTTGATGCTTTCAACCAAGCTTGACTGAGAATCGTGTCATACAAACCTTCCGTTGCAATTCCATCCTGGGAGGAGTTTCTGGTATTGAGAGGGATATCTGCGGCAACTTGTTTTTCAAGCTCGCTGGTCGACTTTGCTGCCTCTGATGACGAAGTTGCAAGCCTTGCCAGCTCCGAGATGGTTTTGCTGACGAGAATATCATGGACCGACAGAAACACGCCTTCAACCCTGCACTTGGACATGACTTGCATGGCCGTGATCGAGTCTCCTCCAAGGCGCAAAAAGGAGGCCGTAGCACTTATCTGGTCGATAGGAAGCTTGAGAACTGAGCTCCAAATTCTTTGCAACAAGACTTCCATCGGAGTCTGAGGCTCCTGGAAATGGCTGTCGACAAGGAGGTCCGATGCTCGCTGGAAAGTTTCTTCGTCTAGATTGTCCACAAATGCCCGTATTCCGTTGCGGTCCAACTTGCCACTCGCATTGGTGGGCAGGTCTTCCACAACAATCCACAATGTCGGGATCATCCACACAGCCAGTGTCTCCGTAAGACAATCACGAATATCTGCAAGTTGAGTAGATACTGCAGCGCGAAGAGATTGATCAACCATGCGCATTAATCCGCCCCCATCTTTCCAGAATTTCCGAAGGGAGAGAACAACAACGCATCGCCCTTGACACAATCCAATCTTTGGTAGTACCGCCAGACACGTCTTGACCTCGGGGATTTCCATCAAGCGGTGGTTCACCTCCGCAAGCTCCAGTCGCTGGCCACGGATTTTGATCTGTGTGTCCTGTCGACCGACATAAACGAAGGTGCCATCGCTATTATATCGAACCAGATCACCGGTCCGATACATGCGTCTCGGCGAGGCTGATGGACCAGGTAGCCACGGAGGATCTACCACAAATGATGCATTGGTTTTCTCCTGATCATTCAAGTAGCCGCGGGCCAGAATAGGTCCTTCAACGAAAAGTTCTCCGACGCAGCCAATTGGAGCCAATCGAGAGTCGTTGTGTCGATCCACGAGCCAGGTATTTACATCGACACCCGGTCCAATATTGGATGGCTGTTGTGTGTCTGCGCGCACATGCTGGTAGGTGACCCAATTCGAGGTCTCCGATGGACCGAACACATTGATCAGGAAGACTCGCCCACCCCACAGACGAGCATTTTCCGTTGTCAGCGGCTCTCCACCAAGAGCCACCTTTTTCAAACCAGGCACATCGTCGGGCGTGAATAGAGTCGCCACTGTCGGAGTAATATAGACGCTGTCCGCTTTGAGACTGTTGATGGCTTGAGGCAGATTGCCCATGCGGTCTTCTTCGGAAGGAATGCAACAGCATGCACCATACATCAAAGGAGTAAAGATATCAGAAATATGGACGTCAAAAGCAAATGCAGAAAATTGGAGACAACGGGAGCCAGGCCCAATATTAAACACTCCTGCATGGCCGCGGGAGCTGGTGCAGACGCTTTGGTGTTCAAGTTCAATTCCCTTGGGCTTTCCGGTCGATCCAGAAGTGAAGACAATGAATCCGCGGTTGTTTGGCTTTACCGTCTCACAGTGTCTGCCAGTTTTATTGCCAAGCGTCTCAAACAGCGTTTCATCGACTATGATGATTTGATCAACTGTCTCGATGAATTTGGAGCGATGCGCTTCTGCAACGAGCATGATCTTGCCATCCACAGCTTCGACCATGCCCCGCAGACGATCAGGTGGGTGAGAGACATCAAGAGTCAAACAAGCGCCTCCAGCCTTGAGAACGGCTAACATGGAGACAATCACCCACTTGGACTTATCGAAGCAAAGCGGTACTACCATTTCGAGCGTAACGCCGAGACCGAGGAGATGGTCTGCCAGTCTACTAGACAAAGCGTCCAGCTGACTATATGTAAGGTCTCCATCCCAAGATGCTACTGCCGGGGCGGCTGGATTCATTGCGACGTGTTTCTCGAAAGCATGATGCACGCATTCCACGACTGGATCCGGAGGCGTTGTGTTCCAGAGTTTCAGTTCCTCGATGTCATCGGTAGTGATGGTTGCGAGGTCATCAAGGACGACATTCGAGCTTCCCATACTGATACTCTGCAGAGTCTTGTTGAACATGGCCATGATACGCCGCACCTGAGGCTGGTCAACTACTTTGTTGTCAAAGAGGACCCTGGCCAGGCCCCCACTCTCCTGCAGGCCCACTTCAATGGTCAGGGCGTAAGGCTGATAGGAGTCGTACATCTCGTTCACGCGACGGCATCCGAGAGTTTCCAATCCAGGGGCTGCAGCTAGCGGCTGAACCACAAGCGCCGTCTGGAAGGAGCAGGCGTTTTGCGTACCAGCGGTTAGCTGCTTAATTTGGTACATTCCAGCTTGCTCAAATGGGATGGTCATTGTTGATTGGTCTTGCACATGCTGAAGGAAATCTCCCAGCTTGCAATCCTTGGGCACACGAACACGAACCGGAACAGTGGCAATGGTTGGGCCCAGCATGGTAGCAATGCCAGGGATTGGTGCAGCTCGACCAGAAACAGTCGACCCAAAAGTGATATCGTCCAAGTCCGCATATCTGGCAATTGTCAAGGCCCACGCAGCTCTTACAAACGTAGAAGCCGTGATCGATGAGCCTGCAGCTCGTTGGAAGCTCAGTTTCTGCATGTATGTATCGTTGGGAGTGGGGAGATAGGTTGGAGTTGGCAGAACTGGGAACAAGGTGGCGCACGCATTGTCCAGCTGCTTTGTCCAGAACCGACAGATGCTTTCGCGATCGAGTCCCTGAACATATTTGACAAATGAATTGAATGGAATTCCACTTGTTACAGGGCTTCCTTCAAAGTACTCCTTGACGCGGTCGAAAATCAAATCTAGCGTCCAGCCGTCGTAGAGTGCATGGTGCATAGTTACCACCAAATGTGGTTTCTGGTCAGGCGCCGTGGTGGTTGCGTATCGAAATAGAGGTGACCCCCAAAGCATCGGGCTTGCCTGATCCTGTCTCAAGTATGACCCCAAATCGGAGACATCTTGACAGACTGGCGCTTCCTTGACAACAACTTGCAGAAGGTGAGACGAACTTGTCATGACCAGCCTCGTTCTCAAGATTGGGGAATGTTGAATTGCATGTGCCCAAGCACTGCGGAACCGGCCAAGGTCCAAATTCGTGGGGAGTTCAAAGATGTGTTGTTTCAAGAAAGCCCCGGACTGCTTGTTTGACAAAGCAAACAGACTCTCTTGAATGGGAGTGCTAGGGTAGATGTCCTCAATCATGTCAGAGCTGACGTGACATGAGGCCGCAGCTGTTGCCAGAGCCTCTTCTGTAGATTCAACTGAGTTGATGAGGCTGAAAGGCAGAATATCTGGATCGGCGTGCGTAGCGGAGCTGTCGTATTCTGTTTTATTGTATTCCGTGCCTTCCTTCCGCCCGCAAAAGGCAAGCTCGCCATTCCCGAGATGCCTCACGAGATCACCCGTGGCAAAAAAAGCGCTGAGCATCTCCGTCATTCGCAGAGGGTGCCCAGCTAGGATTGACAAAAAAGTTGCCTGAAGTCTGTATGGGGTTGTTCAGGTAGCCAAGGGCCAATGTCGGGCCACCAATGACCAACTCACCCACAGCCCCGATGGGCGCCAGTTTCTGGACGTTTCCCTGCTCGACTACCCACATTGAAGCGACAAAGGGAGCCCCAATATTTGAAGGATCGAAGACATAGAGCGAAGGGGCTTTGGATGTGGATATGTAGACCGATGTCTCCGTGGTCCCATATGTCTTGATCAACGCCATTTCCAAGCCCCATTTGTCGACATCCTCCTGAGTCAACATTTCACCACCTAGCGCGATGGCGCCGAGTTGCCAAAGATCTGTGGGGTCCAATTCCCTGACTTCGGTAGGCGTGAAGCATGCATGCGTGACTTCTTGCTCATTGATCATATCAGCCACGCTCTCAGCGCTTCCCTGTTCGGGTAGGATGACCACACAGCCGCCGTAGAAAAAGGCCCCAAACACTTCGGCAATCCCTGCTGATGTGCTATACGCAGCCGAATGCAATATCCTTGAATCGATGTCATACCCCATCGCCTGACCCTGCGCAAGGATTCCCGTATACAGACCTGCGTGTCCTTGAATCACACCTTTAGGCGGCCCGGTCACCCCAGCGGTATATTGTATAAAGGCAATATCGTTGTTAGGTCGCCTAACGAATTTCAACGTTTGCTTGCACGTTCCAAGGCGGTCCAGCAATTCCGCATCGACAACCACCACAGTCCCGTCGAAGCCGGCAAATCGATGCGCCTGCGCGGCAGAAACACACACGACCTGAGGGTTGACGTCCCCGACCACCTGGCTGAGGAACGCTTCATTGCAGCTTGGATTCACGGGGACGCATGTGAATCCCGCTTTCAAAATTGCAAGCACTGAGAGGATGCCATTGCGCGATTTTTCAAAGCAAGACAGAACCATCTGGGAAGCATGGGGGATCAGCTTGCAAGCTTGCAATATATTCGCCCAAGCTAGTCGAGGCAACATCAAGCTCAAGGTAAGTCCATTCTCCCTCCAAAGAGGATATGGCCGGTGCATCCGGATTATCCAAGGCCTTTTCAGTGAAGGCGTCGTGAAGCTTCTGGTTGAGGGTTGGCGGCACGTTCTCGTTCCACTGTAGGATTTGCAACTTGTCCTGCTCACTGAGCTTTTCAACATCAGAAAGTGACTGGCTTGGGTATGTGAGAATTGACCGAAGGATTGTTTGGAACGTGCGCGAAACACCCTGGGCCAAATCGACAGACACCAGAGCTGGATTATAATTGAGGTCTAAGATGATCTCCGACTCCCGTATACTGACTTCTGCAGAAACGACCTTGAATTCTCATCAGTATTTCTAGAATAAACTATCGTAACATCAGTCTCATACCTCAGAAGTTTGGACAGACGCGTCTGTAATGATAGGGCTATCTCCATCCGTGACTGCCAAGCTTGTGTCGCATACACTTTCCAACTGCTTAGATGGTTGCAAAGAATGTCCTGGTTCTTGGGCTCTTTGCACCTGATCTATAAGTTCTGCAGGCGTTTTGGCGCGTGCAAGATCCAAGCCAAACATGGATGGGCTTTCTTCGTGAGACGCATAGCCAAAACAGACTCTCTCAGCTCCGGTGTATGCATGAAGGACGAGCGACCAGCCCACTTTCATCACAGCGGCGACTGCATACCCGCGCTCACGACATACGGTCGAGATGAACTCGTGGTCTGGAAACGATACATGAAATGAGGATGACGCCGTTCCTGATGATCCGTCGGTCATCGACACAGGAAAGTTGCATCTCCAACTTCCGTTGGACTGTGGGCTTCGGATCGAGGCAGTATCCGACCTAAGCTCCTGAATTTCTTGCGCGGTGTTGTCGAGATCTTTTGTCGAGATAATTGGCTGCTTAGATGATTCTGCTTTATGCAGGCTTTGTGTGTGGTCGATGACAGTCTCGGACGTTTGAAAGGGTTCAGTAAGCAAAGGCATGATGGCAATGGATGACACACTCTTAGATAGCCTCGAATATTATTTCATTTATCTATTCCGAATTTAAGGAGTAAAATTTACAGTAATATCCTCATACTCTACTTGGAATCTTTGCATCAGAACCACGACATCGGTTGGCGTATTCGGTGAGTATCTGTCCGACCTAAGCCGACCTCCGAATCCCGAATCATTTGATATCGGCACCGAAACCGACCCTACTACCTACCTAGGTAGGTTAGTTAGTATTTCTCACTGATACTAATCCTGGCACATAGGCACAATGTAACTTGGGCGACTCAGGCTTGTTTCGCTCAAATTGAATCTATTAGTCGCGTTGAGAATTGCATTGAATATACTCGGCATCTAGCATAATGAAGCTATCAGACTGCACCTTGGTTGATTGTACATAGTGGTTTGACCTCTTCCTTTCCTTACATAGACTAAACATTGACAGATTTTCGGGTCCCTCATCAGCCACCGTCTAAAGTCGACGTGGGCACTGATTCTTCTACACCATCACCGCACAAAGCTTTAGCTGCGGCGTCTTATGGTAAGTGCATAACTAGACATCCAGATTGCAAGCCCCACTTACTTGAATTGGTACCGACTAAGATGCTGTTCATTAGCCTCGATTCACCAGAACGATATCTCTGGGTTGCATATCAACGGCACGAGACTCCACCAGGACATCCTGAAAACTTCGCGATGGGGTCAGATCGCTCATACTACTGGCATGGCGAGACTTGCACTCTCAGATGAGGACAAGCTGGTGAGGGACTGGTTCTGCCAGACTGCGCTTGATATAGGCTGCCAGGTGAATGTAGATGCCATGGGGAATATATTCGCCGTCTACCCGGGTCAAAACATGAACCTCGCTCCCATTGCGATGGGAAGTCATCTTGATACGCAGCCAGCGGGTGAGTGTCAGATGTGGTGTCAGGCGTACTCGCATTTGAGAAACAGTACTAACGGAGTGCAATAACTGCACGACAGGGGGGCGTTTTGACGGCATCTTGGGCGTGATTGGAGCACTGGAAGTCCTGCGCACTATCCGAGAATCCGGATACCAAACATACGCCCCACTCGCTGCTGTGAACTGGACCAATGAGTATGAAATCTAGCCCCTACTCTGCCTCTCAGGGACCTTGATTCCTGCATTTATCACTGGAAGATGTTGACATTGCTCTACAGGGAAGGTGCTCGATTTACTCCGGGCTGCACAGGCTCAGCTGTGTGGTCTGGTCACACAAACCACGCGACCGCCCAGTTGATGTCTACACGCGATAGTGGCTCTAGTTCAACCATGAGAGAAGAGCTCACACGGATCGGATATCTAGGCTCTCTTGCACCAGACTTTCGGAGTAATCCTCTTAGCGGTCACTTCGAGCTGCACATCGAGCAAAATACACGCCTAGAACACCAAGGTAAACGTCTCGGAATTGTCGAAGGTGTCCAAGGGATCAAATGGTACAATGCGACTTGTACAGGCGAGAGGGCCCACGCTGGATCTACGCCAATGGGATCCCGAGCCGATGCAATGGTGGCATCAGCAAAGATTGTCGCGGCATTAGATGAATCCGCTCGACAACATGGTGCTTTTGCAACAGTTGGCGTACTAACTCTGGAGCGAAGCTCCTCTAACACTGTTCCTGGCCATGCTCAGTTTACTATTGATCTGCGCCACCCGTCACCCGAAGTCCTTGATCGTATGGAACAAGAAATCAAATCCAACATGGACACGGCGATGAAAGAGAACCCTAAGATCATGTTCGAACTCGACGAAGTATGGCACAGCCCTGCTGTCCGATTTGATACCGCAGCGGTCGCATGTGTTGCAGCTGCGGCCGAGGCTCAGGCTACATCAGGTGGTGTGATGCGGATGGATTCATTTGCCGGCCATGACAGCGCCTTGACAGCCACCAAAGTGCCTACCGCCATGATTTTCGTGCCTAGTCGAGGCGGAATTAGCCACGCACCGGAGGAATACACTAGCAAGGAACAATGGTACGATCTTCCCTCATTGAATCCCTACTTCTCCACAAATTGACTGATTTCTTTTTTTTAGCGAGGATGGTACGCAAGCTTTGCTCCATTCGGTTTTGGCTTATGACTCTCTACTCCGGGAAACAGTGTCTTCCAAGTAGCCGAGTAAGGGGAAATGGTTTGATGATTCTATGGACTGAGAGATGTGGAGAAATGGCCATCTTTGATACCGAACGGCCTCTAGTGCAGATCAATCTACATAGATAGCAAATGCTCAAATGCGAACCGAACAGCAGTTGGACTAGGACGCAGTTGACCTCCCGACCCCCTTTTTTTTTTGGTCAGTAATCTTTTTTAAGCCTCCTAATATGCATGGATGTACCCAAGTCTCCACCAATCATCGAAATCCATGAACCACTCGCTTACGCCTACTGTATACGAAACCCTTTGGATTCCTAAAGATTTAATCATAGGGCTACCTTTTCCTACATAATCCATGAATTGCTCTGTGTCTGCGTAAGCAATAAATCAAAAATCAGTACGCATTAAATAGAGAGTTAGTGTACATAGTGTACATAGTATATAAAGTATAATAATTCAAGCATTGAAAATCTAGGCACTAAGAATTCAAGCATTGAGAAGTATCGAGAACATTGAATCCACATGTTTTAGAATTTCAACATATGTATGTATATAATAGTAGACTTACACATATTCATCCAAAGTACTTCGTGCGGAGTACACTGAGGGGAACTGGCCAGCGGCAATAGACTCCCGTACACCCACCGGAACACCGAAGCCTCGGTACCCGGCCCGTTCCCTAGTGGCACTCTACCTAGGTAGTTTCTGAAGTCCAAGACCTTTGAGACTTTTTTTAATTTTCATTTTATCCCATACGTATCTGTTTCGCTTCCTTTTATATATGTTCTATTAACTATCTAGGACAGATGCTATTTGCCTTATAGGCCTACGGTTATAAGCAACCTTGGAACTATTCCCACCGAATTTTTATTGGGGGCGCTGGATCGTCCTGTAAAGGTGGGGCTCTGCTGTTCTAGGCTTGGACCCTTGGCCCCTTGGACGCCTTATAACTAGGTAGGTAAGTAAGTAGCTCCAGACAAAAAGACCCTCTTCCTACTACGTCTCCATGCTGAGTTTTGTTACAAAAATCTATATATATACACATATATATATAACATCGGAATGGTAACCAACTTCCCTTATGGCACTGAACTTCCCTGTCTCAAGGGTCGCCTAAACCGGGTCCAACTGCATATCCAACGCACAAATAGTCACGTCAGATCCTGCAGCCAAGCCTTTTTCATGTAACCTGGGGGCCATTGTTTCTGTTAGTTACAGAATAAGCAATTCGTTATCAAGCAGCACTAAGCTACACAAGGTCATTGGTCTCCTCATCAACAAATTGATCTTGCTTATTTTTTGAGTCCGGATCGTTGGGAATTGGCCGTAGAATACAAATGGACGGGATTAAGCGAGCTTAGCCATCTGGCCTGATGGCTTATCTATCTAGTCAGTCCTTTTAACCTTGGAAGCTTTTGGTGGAGAAGGAACCCCAGATGGTTTAAAGCTTCCAAGCTTGGTCAATACACGAAGAGTCCACCCTTTATCCACCCCAAAACTTTAACACAGGGGAGACATGGAAGTAGATACCGACAGACGGAGTGCCTGTGATCGATGTCGAGGTCAAAAGCTTCGGTGCGTGGGACCGGCAAATCCTGTATTCGACCTACATAGCCGATACCTTCGAAACCAGACCCCTTGCGATCGTTGCAGAAAAGCCCAAGTGGAATGTTATACTGCCCCGTCGACCACTCGGAGAGGAGGCACGGATACTCGACAACCTAGATATCAGTCCAAGCCATCTGCAGGGTCTCGTCTGTCCACTGAGAATCCCGCAATCTCTCTCGCCTCGGAGCCAGCTACCAGCCACAACCCCTCCAATACCAGAAGAGTTTATTCCGACTTTAAATCACCGGAATGGTCAGCCATTCATCCCGATGACGCGGGATGGAGTGACAATGTTGACCTTGATATGCCATCCGCTATGCCTTATACACATGTTTCCACCCTCGATGGGCTGCAGCATGATACATTGCCAGCACTCAATATCAATATCTCCACAGACAACCATCTAGACCGGGTTATCGAGGGCTTTTTGTCAGAGGGACACAACCTGTCTCGGAGTTCCTCCGCTGTCCCTGACTTGGCAACGTCCTCGGTCCCTTTTGGCACTGGCCCAGACCCAGACCCGATTTCGAAATGTCTACAAGACCTGGCGGAGCTCAATGGAACGCTACTCCACAGTAGGGCGAACCGACGTGGAACCGGGCACAGTGATCTAAGCCAACCCCAATCCATTTCTACACGGGCTGGCTCTTCTGTACCTCCTTCCATTGGGCACACTTTGAGACACTGCCAAAATTTCCTCACCACAATTCAGCACCTCCAACAGCGAGTGAACTCTGATTCTGGTGATGACACATGGTCACCTACTAGGCCAGAGGACGGAATAGGTCAATTAGTCGCCCCGCCCAGCCCAGCAGCAGTGTACAAACCACTCCGCCGCTTTCGGTCGCTCGATACTCCTATCCTGTTCTCCATTCTCTCATGTTACTCCCTATATCCTAGAGGAATACGAGCGCCTCTTCTCGTCTATTCTACAATCTGTGACTCAGTCCGTCCCCCATATCCCGGCTACCTTGATAGGTACCAGCCTAGATGGCTTCAAGTTGGACGGAAATAATATTTTACAGATGGAATTACTTCTCTATGTCAGTTCCAACTTGTTGGGAAAGATTGAAGCTATCTTGTTGGGGTCTACAGAAGGGACAACAACGGAGTCGAACCAAGGGCTTTTGGGTTGTAAGATGGCCGGATGTCTAGAGTCGCTGTACGACCACAATGGTCTTCCATCAGGCGATGGGGCTGGTAAAAGGGAGGTGAGAGCTAGGACCCTTATTAGAAAGGTCCAAGCAGCTCTGAAAACCATTGAAAAATGACACAGAATGATTTACTGTGAGGATCTTTGATTATCACCTAGACGAGAAATTCACATGTGCATAGAGAACAGCTTCCTGAGAGAAATACATTGACTATTGTGGGTCTTTGAGACAACTCGTCCAGACATGCTGTCAAAGATTGCTACTCGAAATACGTGGAAACCGCCAAGCTTCACGCAGCACAGTCAAGTTGGCATCATCGTCAGAATCGGATGGCACACCTCGGCCTTGAAGCACGATAGCCACAATCTTTTCTCCAATTACCGGTAAGAACTTGAAAGCATGATCGGAGCCTCCGGATGCCACAAAAAGGGTACATGCAGAGGCAGGATGGTAATCAATAACAAAGTCCGTTCCAGGTGTATCTGTATACCAGCATCGACGAATTTTGGTGAATGGGCGCCGAGCGATATCTTCAAACGACTTTCCTTCTGATTCAACTCCAGACGACACAAAGAGCTCATCCAGGAATGCCCGATAGTCCGCCAGGGTTTGTTGGCCTCGCTCGTCAAGGCCCTTGGTCAGGTCAATTTCGCCTCCCCAGCCAAAGTGAGGATCACTCCACTGTTCACGAGGCGGTAGACGATTTGGTCGAGGACCGACGGTAACTCCCGCGCACTGCCGAACATCGACTAGCCCACTATGGGGAGAACTTTCCAAGTTTGAGGAACCCTTCGCGGTCCGGAGCGATTGCAAAAACACAGCGATCAGCATTCACAATGATGGGAATGTCCAACTGTCTGAAATGATGACACTCTTCTGGAGAAAGCTGGATATAGGCAACAAGTTCGCTGTAGACATCGCAAAGCGTGTCCATTTCGAGGAGTCGTGGGGTATGGCTGCCTGCAGCAACAATAGTAAGATCGGCGAACAGTTCATGTCCATTGTCTAGACGAACTCCTCGAACCACAGAATTTTGCCCAAGTGTAGTGGCATCAACATAGATTAGGCTTTGAACATTGCCAGTCTGAATGCGGATGCGACCAGTTTGAAGGACCTTCTGTCGGAGCCATGTCATGGTGGCGCCGCTATCAGCCCACCCGGCGTCTTGAGAGATGTAACCACGGAGATCCCTCTCCGTATTCTGGACAGCAGAAGCAGAAGCAGACAGTCCCAGCTCAGTCCGGATCTGATACAGGGAGTCGAGAACTTGAAGACTAGATTTGCCCCCGGAGGATAATTGACCACTGAGCTCATACGCGTTTTTCACGTAGTTGACAGTCTCACCCGATACCTTTGGATTCCTTAATGAGCTACCTTGTGCAGATAGTAGAAGTCGTCGCTCCACGTAACGACCATTTTCCCCCCATAGTCCCCGCCATTGAGCATGGGCGTTCTTTGCGAGGACTGCATACGGGCCATGGGGGTATTCACTCCGGATAATCCGAGATGTATCGTGGTTTGCAGATCCAGGATTGCTCACGGAAATGCCTGTCGCGGTCCCGGACGGTTCAAATTCCCAGCCATCAAGCAATAGGATAGATGTCTGGGCAAACGCATCATCTCTGGCCATGGCGTAGGCCGTTGACACTGCCCATATTCGACATGTTAATTCACTATGTCGCAGTGCGTTTGATGGCCTCAAATCCACTTACGTCCGAAGACACCTGAGCCAATAATGATGATTGTCCGGGGACATGCCATGTCTCGAATTCACTTCAAAACGAAGCGTCAAGATTGTCGAATTGAATGATGAGTCTGCTAACTCTAAGTGGTGACAGAAAACCCCCTTCTTTCACTCTTTCTTCCTCCGATTGTGTCTATTTCTCTTTATGCCATTCTTGATCAATTCGGAGTCGGAATCGGTGGATGGGGCCGAACATCGCGACACCTGATATTTACGTTCGGGGGCATTCGGGGGGCTCATGGCTCATATTTCGGCCAACACGCGTAATAACAATAATCGGATGATAACCAGCCCATAGGGTGGGGAATCACCAAGTCTATGTTTACCTACTATCTCCAGGAGTTTCATTCCTAACATTTGTTTGGGTGAACACAGTCCCTACCATTGCTCGATACACGATGGCTCCCATTGATTCGGGTGGCGTGCAGGCCCTTTCCCCATGGCCTGCAACCGATCCTCATCGATCCACCCTTGCTAGATCGCCTACGGTCACACGCATTCAGCTTCATGATATTCGTCAAAAAACAGATGACGAAGGGCTTGTTCCTCAAATACTATCCGGTCTCGAGTCTGATGAAAAGGAGCTACCTTCACTACTCCTGTGGAATGGACGTGGCTTGCAGCTCTTTGATGCAATTCTTGACTCCCAAAAGTACTACCCTGCGACTAGGGAGCCGGAACTGCTGTCTAGTTGCGTACAGAAAATGGCATACAATATCTCCTCCGGAGAAAGGGTGATTGAGCTTGGGGCTGGGTATGCAATCCTTTGTTTACAGATATCTAATGACTCGAAGCTTATTGAGAACTACGGAATGGTAGAAACATGCGCAAGACTGCACTCCTCCTTCGGACGCTAGAACTTCAGCATAAAAATGTGGAATATTTCGCATTAGATGTCTGTCGTACCTCACTCCGATCCAGCATCCGCGAACTACTGGGTCTCTTCCCTTGGAACCCCAAGACCAAGATTCAAGGACTCCTTGGAAATTATGAGGATTGTGCTTCGTGGCTACACTGCCAAAGTGACCAGAGAAGTCCGGTAACGCTGTTATGGCTAGGGAATAGCATTGCCAATTTCACCCCTGCCGAGGCATCGGACCTGATCTCTCACTTTTTCCGGGCTAACCAATCTTCTCCTGTGCCTATTCAAATGGTCGTCGGCATCGACGGATGCAGAAAGCAGGAAGAAATTATCGAATCATACGAAAGTGACAGATCACGCAGTTTCATATTGAATGGGCTCGACTATGCGAACGAGCTGCTGGGCTCGGAAATATTTGTCCCATCTGAATGGGATTTCCGCGGTCGCTGGAACGCAGACAAGTGGATGCACGAGAGCTTTTACGTTGCCCAGCGCAATCTTTGTCTGAACATTGAAGGAAAGGAATTCAACATCAGAGATGGGGAGCTAGTGCACGCCATTCGGAGCGGAAAGTGGCCGTATTTCAAGGTCGCAGATATTTGTGAAAGCGCTGGGACCAAGATTGCCGATAGCTGGAGTGATCTAGAAAAAGCATATGGTAAATTAAGACCTTCACCACCTTCGCCCGGGTTCTGTATTTCCAAGTGAGGGCTTGTTCTGGGCTGACTGGTTCTATCTGTATACAGGGATCTATTTACTCAAAAGGGCTACCGAGACAATACCATGATATGGAGTTGTCAGGAATAGAGAAACAGCGAGTACATTCAAAGTACAACGTGATTCTCTTATGAAGTCTCTCTTAGATAGAAATAAAATGATGTATGCACAGGCTGCAAATTTCCCACTGAAGAACGGTCACCTAATCTCGTCCAAATATGCTTTTCGGTAGGCATAACATAGCAAATATATGAAGCTTTAGTATGGCCTTGCATGCCTATAAGAATAGGTTAAGGCTGTTATAGTCAGATTATGGACTACGAAGATTTGCTAAAAAAGAGCTTGCCTTATCCAACTGCCATCTTCCTAGGCCCTGACTGGAAACATTGGAAACCAGACTACATCAAAGAAGCAGACGATCACATAGCCATTTAGAATTCTATCAATAAAACTGTGGGCTAGTGTAATCTTCCCTCAAAATGAAGTACGCCTTAGAGTCTGGCAGTGCGAGTGACCCTCCCCGAATCCATGGAGTGAAGGCCGTCGAACAAGTCCGTGATCTGGTTTGTCTGATCCATCTTACAGAGGAGGCTACAATAGCCATCCGGGCGGATTACTACCACACAGCCCACATCTCGATCAATTCCGCAACGCTCATAGACCTCTCCGTGGCCATCGTGATAACTCTCATCATCGGTATAAACTCTCCAGTAGTCCCAGCCATCCTGATCGTCCCAAGGATGGAATACCTCAGGCAAGTTCATAAGTTCGATGCTGGCTCGTTTAGCCGAGTGAATAGTGATAGCCTCGGCGCTTTGATGCATTCGCATGAAACCCGTCAACCACTGCCCGAACTTCAACAATCTCTGGAATATATGCTTTTTCGAAATGTCTCCCGCAAAAACCAGAATTCGGAATCGTCCGTTCATCACGAGTCGATGATAGAGGGTGGTTGGCACTCCGTCAGCCTGATTCACCATCTGGAAATCGGGCAGTCGCATCCCGGGTGAGAGAGCCTTGGCCACGACGCCTGCCTCCCCACCACAGGTGGTTGTACGATCGAAGAAGGACAATATTGAATTCCTATGCCGGTGGTAAACTTCATTGCTGTCTTATACGCGGCCAAGAAACCATCGAAGTCCAGATTCGGATTGGCAAATAACTCGAGGTATTCGCGATCGAAGTTAATCAGCTGTTGTGCGATAGGTCTTCTTTCCTGTTCATAGGTCGTCAGGAGAGATCTTGAACAAGACTGCTCGAGATGGAAACGTAGTTTCCATCCGATGTTGTAAGCTGTTCCGCTCATTAGTTTTGGTTTCACCTGAATCGAAAAGATGCCGTACCATCTTGGATGCTGGTATTCATTCCCTGGCCTGCTTTGGGGGAATGTGTATCTAACAAAACGACATCCCTGATTAGCCGTGAAGATATGTGACCTGCATAAATTTTCCAACTTACGAACTGCATCACCAGCGAGAAAGACACGATCATCTCTGGAGAATTCGTCTGCGACGCGCTGGCCAACCTGGTAGGCAGACCACCAGGCCACCTCGCCCACCTCGAAGGTATATGGATGGAAAATGGAGCGCGCAGCATCCACTACATGGTCGACGGTCAAGGTAGATTTGTTCAACGCAGCTGCAACATCGAGACCAGTTCCATCCATCGCTATATAGAACCGGACTAGCTTTTTCTCGCGTGGGACCGCCATGACTGTGCCCTTCGCCGAATGAACCACACATACCTTGCGGATATCGGGGAAGTTGGTCTTCGGTACGGCATCCATGACCCCTGAATTTGTGTTAATGATAGTCCCGTTCATTTGAAGTAGTTTCAAAATGCAACTGACCCCATGTTGAATCTGTGATATCCCCAGTCAGGGGGATGTTAAGATGTTTCCTAGTCCAGCTGCGAGCCCCGTCACAAGCAACCACATAGCGAGCCTGAATGGTTTCTGTTTGTTCGTTCTTTCTGACCAGCACAGTGACTGGAGATGCAAGCGGGTCTCCAATCGATTGGCGGTTGATCTGCAGGTCGACCGGCTGCGTCTCCCAGGAAATTCCCACGTTTCCGTTGCGAATGAGGTTTTCTACCATATGGTGCTCAATTCGACCTGTCTTATCTGTCAGTTATGATTATGAACAAACTGTCTAATAGAATATTCCCTTGCCTTGATCCAATGTCATCTCCCTGGGCTTCCCCAATTCTGGGACTCGGTCTGGTATAGTCATGGACCGCCTGACTCCCTCTTGACCGTCAGGCTCCCAGAGAACCACCTCTTCTACTCGATGAGACTCATTGCGGATAACATCACCAATCCCAAATGTATCCAAGACTTCCAGAGAGATACTTTTCAGTCCATCTGCTTTCCCAGTCTGCACAGTTCCGGACTTTTTATCGATGACTCGCACACGCAAACCACTACCATTGAAACAGTTTGCTGCTGTCAGCCTGGGGAAACCCGATTAGTCGAAGATCGCTACACGGAGTGTCCTGATATTAAAGTTCGCCTACCCTGCCGGACCTGCACCAATGATGAGAACATCGACCTTGTCTACCATGTTGGACATGATATACACGATCACTAAACTGAACTGTATCAGTAAAGAGTTAAATTTCTTCTCCTTTTTGTTCTAGTTAAAAATCATCTATCGTTTCGGAACTGACGTCTGTGTCATATTCTATTATCGATCTAGTTCGAGCGAACCAGTCCCCGAATATCTCGGTCCGACTTGTTAGGCCCCGAAAGTGGACCGAACTCGTTCGGAGGCCATGCTGGCACGGGTATCAAGCATCCCAATGAAGACGGAGCATCGAAGTATTTGATTTTATAATTGCTAGTTCTTTTACGTGGCCGTTGCGACCGGTACGACTTTGATTCGATCCGCCTTTTCACATCCTTGCGACAGAACAAAATGGCACACGAAACTGGAGTTGAGAATGGTCCGACGATACAAGGCTTAGAGAAAGGAGACTATAATCAGATCTGGGAATGGAACAAAACTGTTCCAGCTGCTATCAGTACTCTGGTGCACAAGCTCATCCACGACAACGTGGAGGTCAACCCTGACGCCCCAGCTGTTTGTTCTTGGGACGGTAATCTGACGTATGCGGAGCTTAATGATCTGTCTTCGCGATTAGCAGATGAGCTGAAAAGCCGGGGAGTGGGACCCGAAGTCATCGTTCCATTGTGCTTTGAGAAATCGGCATGGACGATCGTGGCCATCCTTGCGACGATCAGAGTCGGGGGCGCATTTGTGCTTCTCGATGCGAAGCAGCCTGAAGCACGTCTTCGAGACATTGTGTCTCTCACCAAGGCCAAGTTTGTGGTTGCCTCCCCAGCCCAGCAGGATTTGGCAACCAATATATCGTCACAAGTTCTGCTGGTCTCACACAACATCCTCCTGGCCATGCCAGCCATCACGAGCACGGATCTCACAGTTGACCCGGAGTCCACTCTCTTCGTCGTCTTCACGTCGGGAAGCACGGGGCTACCCAAGGGGGTGATGAGCTCCCACCGAAGCTTTGTATCGGGCGTTCACTATCGACGGTCCATACTGGAGGTGCCATCTCCCCGCGTATTCGACTTTGCTTCGTACAGCTTCGACGTCAGTACAGATATCATTCTCTCCACGCTTATTATTGGTGGATGTGTGTGCGTACCATCAGAATTGGAACGTCAAAATGATATTGCTGGTGCCATCAACCGTCTCAAAGTCAATTCGGCCGATCTCACTCCCTCCGTGACACGCTTGCTCGATCCTGACTCCATGCCAGGCCTGAAGGTCCTCAAGCTTGGGGGTGAACTTAGCAGCGTCACAGATGTCGCACGATGGGCCCCGAAGTTAAAGTTAGTCAATGTTTACGGGCCATCGGAATGTCTGCTTGTAGCTATCAACGTCCTTGCCCTGAATGGTGACCCCCGGACCATCGGACGAGGACATGGCGCTGTCACTTGGATCGTGGACCCCGACGATCACAACAAACTAGTCCCAGTGGGAACCGTGGGGGAGCTTCTGGTCGAAGGTCCCATCGTCACAAAAGGGTACCTGCATGAGCCTGAACGAACCGCATCTGTCTTTATCAACGCCCCTGACTGGCTTCGATCGGGGCCGAGCCCAGACAGATCCTCCGGCCAGCTGTACAAGACTGGTGACCTCGTCCACTATAATCCGGGTGGTACCCTCAACTTCGTAGGCCGCAAGGACACCCAGGTCAAAGTGCGCGGGCAACGAGTTGAGCTGAGTGAAGTTGAACATCATATCCAACAGCAATTGTATTCACGAACGGGTAAACGGGTCAACCCTATTGTGGAGCTGGTCACGACTGGGGCCAGCAAGGGCTCCGGAGGTCGCCCGACTTTGGTTGGTTTCCTCGCTATGAGCCAAGTCGAGTCTGCGGAGCCTGAAGATGCACAACAGCTGCGACAAGCCATGTGGGATCTAACCAAAGATCTTAACAAATCTCTCCTGAAGACCCTCCCACAGTACATGGTTCCTTCGGTCTACATACCTCTCTGGCAGTTCCCGCTGAATTCATCTGGCAAAACTGATCGACGACAGCTCCAAGTGACCGGCTCAGTGCTTTCACGTCAAGATTTAGCTGCTTTGCGAGCACCTCCAACAACAGCAAAGGTGACGACCGCGACGACGACCACAGCATCGCAGTCGAGGACCCTGCCACACACCTTCATGGAGCAAAGGATGCAAAGAATGTGGTCGAAGGTACTTGGTCTTGAACCCAGTGAAATTGCAAGAGAGGACCATTTCTTCCAATTGGGCGGGGATTCACTCAGCGCCATTCAACTTGCCACGTTGGCTGCGAATGAGAAGCTGGTCCTCACTGTTCAGGATATCTTTGATAATCCGGTTCTAGCTCGCATTACCGCTGTGGCTAAACCAGTATTAGAACACTGTGTCCCTGAGGCCACTGGAACACATGGGTCTACCGGCTATGTAAAGACAAAGGCTTAAATTGGAAGCAAACTTGTGTGATCCTTTTGTTGAGTGGTAAGCGGGTATCCATGGATAGATAGGATTTGTGTAATGGCAGTCGAACGATCTTTTACGACAATGTCGCATGCGTTAAAAGAGAAATAAAGCTAAGACATCCCTCGAAGATACACCTGTAGGATCCTTTAAATCCTCCAGCACCAAGTAAGCAGTCTGTTGACGATATGTGGACAAGGAAGATTATATGGAGATACTAGCACTATGTATGGTGTGGTGGCATAATGAACAAAACAAAGCATACAATGCAGCACCAGGTTCCAACAGTCTACAAATGCAGCCTACAAATGCACAATTTGCAATGCATCTCAAGCAACAAGCATTTCATTCTCATTTAAAGCCAAATCACCATTGCAAGCCCCGGATGTCCCTCAATTCCACATCTCGCGCGATCCATTTCGAAAATCCCTTTCCCTTGGTAATGCAAAGAACACATTTGATCCTTCTATACACCCAAAATAAAAGTGTCCCTTACTCAACGTCCTCCTTGATCTTCAGCTTATCCAAGCGTCTGAATAGCACCCACAGCAGAATGGTCGCTCCACCCAAAAGCCCGGTCAGGATAGCATACATCGTGACCAGATGCGGGTCCTTGGTGAGCGGGGTGAAGGCCAGGGCAAGGCATGTTCCGATCCCAGCCATGGCAAGCCAGATTGCTTGAACCAGGGTTTTCATACTCTTAGGTGCGTTATTATAAGCATACTCGGTTCCCGTAGTAAGGCAAAACACCTCCGCCAATGCTCCCCCAAAGTACGTCGGGACTTGGAGGAAGACCGAAATCTGGTTGGGGATAGTGCGATCATTGGCAGCGGCACATGCAAGGGGTGCATCGTAGCATGGTCCGGTCTGGTAAATAAGCTTCTGAACCACCGTGGTGTAAACCATGGAGAGAGCCAAGAAGAGGAATCCGACTGTCATCCGTGCGATCGGTCCAAATGTGACTCGTCTCTTGGTAAGGTAAGGATAGAGTCCTTTCTGAATGATAGGCGCAACGATGATTCCCGAGATGGCTCCAGCAATCTTCATCATGTCGTTCGGAATACCGTACGTGACCATCTGCCCAGCTTGGGAGATCAAGTTATTGAATGTCTGGTTATAGCAGAGCCAGTGAATAGGGAACAGAAGTCTACATATATGTTAGCTTTGGCCCTATACTAGAAAGGGATCTGGCTTACAATACTCGGCAGGTCAGAAGACTCCTCTTAATCTCTTCAACAAATGAGTCCGTCCAGGGAACCTGGCGACCATGTTGATGAAGCTGGGCATCTGGCTTTGCGGCATCCATTTTGAAGCCACCGGTGATCCCATACCGCAAGGCGGCGCATACCTGGGGCATAATGTTGCTTGTTGGCAAATCCCGGACTGTTTATCCACATGTTAGTTAATCGATTTATTGCCGTGGTATTGAGTACACTCACCAAAGTACTTGCGCCCGAATATTATCGGGATCAGGGCTAACCACATGGCGCAGCAGGGGATCAAGTATGCGAGCCAAAAGCCAACATACCGTTCCAGCAACGGCGTGGAATCAGCCACGAAACCCACAACGTTAATAGCCCTGTTTTCAACGTTAGTTATGATGGCAAAAGAAACAGACCAATCTACTCACCAGTAAAAGACGTTGTAGATATAGGTAATGGTCAACTCCCGGCTAGTCACAACCTTTTCTCCGTTTTGCTGAGTCTTGATGCGAAACTCGGCCTCGTCATATTGGTCGGCTAAGCGATATCAGCCTCTGGATTGGTCCAGCCGAGTCTAAAGATGAACCCACCAATAAATGGTACCACGGTAGTTTTGAATGCCCCTGATCCAACAGCTAGCAGTATACAGGCAGTTATCACTCCGGGTAAAGCCGCCCCCTCATGAATGGCGACAGGCAGGGACGTCGCAAAAAGAACAGTTGCCCCGATGGCCTCAATGCTGCTATAGTGTTAGCCATCAACCAGCTCAAGGGGACAGGGTAAGATAAAGAAATAAAGCTTCACAGTACATAGCAGCGTATATCATAGTCTTGTAACGACCCAGCCAGCTATCGGCAACAACGGCAGCAGGCACGGGCACAATGTACGACCCGATGATCAGTGCATTGACAATGTTCGATGCAGTAGCCTGGTGCAAGCCCAGTGCTCCCGGTACCTCGCCCCCGGGTGCATTTTGCAGATAATTCTCTGTAGATACAGTCAGTTGAACAACGCTATACATAAAGGGAGTATCACGCACGTAGAGGAGCCGTTGCCCCGTACCAGACAAAGCGTTCCAGAATACCCGCGAGGCATGCTACCCAGAGCCGAACCGGGATTTTGTCAACGACATGGAGGAGATCCCGCACTTCATCTTCGGTGGCCACGCGACCGTCATCGTCATCCGAGGGGGTAGGTATACTACGACTGGCATGGAGAGCCAGATGATCTTTGACCTCAGAAGAAAGACCTGAATCCTGTTCTGTTTTCGGAAAAGAAAGAGAGGCACAGGCATCAGTATGATCGCTCGTGTTATGAGCTTCAGGAGCCATCACCAACCGTGACTGTAGGTTAGGCTCTGCGATGATAGCCGCAGAGCCGTGCATGTCGGACATAGAGTCTGACATTTTTGATTGTAGATTTTTCAGTAGCAAGGAAGCGTTCAAGCCTTTCAGGGGATGTAGATCCAGAGAAAAGAGAGGGACGAAGGGGTTCGGAGGAGAGAAAAGACGGTCTGATTTTAGAGGAAGTCGAAGCAGTCGGGGCAGTCGGGGGGGTAGTCGGGGACCGTCGGACCTTTTAACGGCATTCGGAGCCCCGAATGCAGCGATTTGGTGACAGGGATTAGATCTGGGACCAGTATAGCACCAGTAATACAAATACCTAGGTAGATCAATATGTTTGGACTCGTAGAAAGAAAGAAAGAAAAAAAAACGTGTAACTGTTTCCTTCGGACTCGCACAGGCAACTTCACCTATACACGTAGCCAAGACCGTACTAGATCGCCGAATCAGCGGCCCGATATAACTCTAAAGCACTACATATGTACTCATACGCTCCTTTCGCAATATTTGACGGCTCGGAGGTTGCCAATATCCGAATAATTCTAGAAACCAATTGTAATATTTCAATAATAGTAGCAAAGCGACATCTGGTTTTCCGTGTTTCCCAGACGGGATGGGTCGCATTGAAACGATCACGTGATACCATACAGCACGCTATACCATAAGAAGTAAGCCTAACCGTAATAGGAAATTAACAGCTCACTTCGCGTCTCCAATTGGAACCCTTGCCGGAAAGATTTCAGTCAAACAAGGGGTTCTCATTCCGAGGTTCGCTAAAGAAAAAGAAAGGGGAAGAAAGAGATTGGTTTGAGAGACACGTTCGACGTTGGATGATTGCTTCATGGTTAAGTGGCGGTTCTGACGTCCTAAACCGCCAGGGCATTTATAGAGTGCTGTAGACTATTATTCAGTATTTTAATCATTTCCATGTTTAAGCGTATAGCAGATTAATAGCAGATCTGACTATAAATATATAAAATGTTGGATTAGCATTACCCAACCATATCATTACCTAGGTAGGAATCCGTTTAAGGGAGGTAACCTTGGGAGATAGACTAAGAAACTAATCTTAAAAAGCTTCCAAGGCAACCTAGGTATACATATCCTTACACTGGGAGTGCGTCCTTCATAGCTATTGCAGTACAGGGTAGCTATAATTATATATACATTGGTAAAGTTAGGTATAGCCGAGGTTCGTCCTTGTAGAGTTGTGATTGGTTGTATAAGTGCATGAAGTCATAACTATATTGCACACATCGGAGTATATATAGCTTGTATAACATGAAGTTGAACGCTATAACTAGTATTTTATAGCAAAAGTACATTAAGGCTAGAACTTAACAGTGTTGAAAGTGGCCTGATTAAGTGATTTGGAGTATATAGCTATGCACCTATATGCACCTATGTACTTGTCGAGTGTCATTGACCAAGATCAAGATATTATTCATATATTTCCCAATTGATCCACAATAAGAGGATAGAATAAGAGGATATTCCTCTAGTAAAATCAAGATTAATCGCATGGAAATTCGTCATCCATAAGAGATGTCCAGGTGAGATAGCTATTCGGGCTTGGCAACAACGCACATGACAGCATCACAACAATCTTGGAAGTCGAATCTTCCCTTATCTTTTTTCTGTGCCCTCCTTCTCTTCTTTCTCTTTCCCCTTCCCACTTTAATTTTCTTTTCTAGGATTCACGCCTCCGACTCTGTTGATAATCTTCTTACGAATTTTTCTAATTTCGCATCTAAAACTGCCCCTGAGGTGCTTCCACAAATATCACCGTCATGGCTTCTGGTGACGTGACCTACCCTAACACGGGCAGTAAGGTAAGAAAATCAACAGATCATTTCAATCCTGCAGGATGGATATGCTAACAGTGACCCTGCAGTAGTATGCTCTTTTCTTTTTCCTAGTTTCCCGATAAACTGACCTTGACCCCTCTTGCGTTCAGGCATCAGTGATGCTATTACCAAGGGTAAATAGGAACCCGGAAGTCTCCGATGCCACCAAAGCATGCTGACCAGTTTCTTGATAGGCCCAGTTGTCGATAATGTGAAGTCTGAAGCATCCCGCACCGGCGATGAGCTTCGCGATCTGAAAAACTCGCGTGTGACCCCTTCGACCACCACCGCCGATGGTCAACCATTGACCCGTATGTCATGAGAACTGGTTTGGTTGGGTCGGATATTAACAAAGTGTCTAGACTACCACTCTTTGATGTATAGCCTTTTGAGCGTGAGTTGTCGCCCGAGTCTTCAATTTGGATAGCTTGCTAATCTGTGTGTGCATGTATAGTGGGAACAACCCCGCGCGACCGCCGTCTCCTACGCCAGCGTGATCTGCTTCATCTTCGCCGCCCGTTATCTGCCTCTCCTCCGATGGGCCTTCAAGTTCTTGTACATGTCTCTGGGAGGTGAGTTAGTTGGTCGCGTGACCCACGGTCAACAGAGTGGTTAACAATTGTGTGCAGTGACTGCCACCGTCGAGGTTGCTGGCCAAGTTATCCTCAAGCGGGGAGTCGCCAGTGGATTCCGCCCCCGCCGTTACTACACTATCCCTAAGGAGACCGTCGAGGCTGTCCTCGAGGACCTTGAGCAGCTTGTGGACTTCTTCCTGATTGAGTTCCAGCGCATCCTGTTCGCTGAGAATGTCCTCCACACCATTTTGGTAGGTTCCGACTTGTCCAGAACGAAGATGAACCAAAAGGCAAAAACTAACGGCTCTTCAGGCTTTCACTGCTGCTTTCACCGGCTACTGGCTGATCCGCTTCGTTCCCTTCTGGGGCTTGGCCGTGATTGCCGTGACCACCACATACTTTACCCCCCTCATCTACATCAGCAACCGTGAGCTCATTGATGAGCAGATTGTCAACGCCCAGGAGATCATCAACTCCCAGACCAACCAGCTTCGTGACATGGCTGGCGAGCGTACTTCGCACGCCACCGGCTTGATGAAGCAGTATGTTGGCGAGTACAGCTCCAAGGCCCAGGGTATCATCGGCTCCCGACGCTCTGCCTCCCCGGAAACGACCAAGGTCACGAGCCCGATCAAGCGTGAGACCGTGGCCGAGTCTGCCAAGACCTCCATCCCCGAGTTCACTGCCCCTGTTGTCGAGCCTGTCGCCGAGCCCGCCGTCAAGCACGAGGACTTCCCCGAGGCTCCCAAGGCCGCTCCTGTCGCTCAATCTTCCGAGTCTGACATTGTTGCGTCCGTGGAGCCGGCAGAGCAGGCCGGTGACCGTGAGCCTCTTCTGGCCATTTAAGTAGGTCTCAATAATACTAGGTCATTTTGACCAGGAATATTAATTGACCCCAAACTTGAACATCAATCAAATATTCTTTGGTGAATGAATATCATTATTGTGGCCATGATCACTGCTGGATATGCCGAATGGCACGTGAGATGGATTTTTGAGTCACCTGTTCTTGTTGGGGATCCCTTGGGAATACATGGGCTCTGGTCGCCAAATCCTCGTGTCGACGACGAACAAAACAAAAAAAGGAGGATCCTTGAGCGATGAATGAGCCGTCATGTCTCTTGTTTCTCGTTTTCGTTACTTTATTCACCCCCTAACACACTGGACATTTTTATCCGTCTACTTCTTTTCTTCAAACGCCCCTTGTCTATGTCTTTCTCGGGTTCATATTGTTTGTAATGGAATTACATTTACATAAATTCAGGCCCTTCACTTGGCTTTCCATATATCCTTAATCAAGACATGCAGTGTGCCCGTCCTCGAGCCTCGCGCAGGGACCTCGACTACCATCTAGGCAACTATCACGAATTGTATACGTACTACTCACCAGGAAACCAGATCCAGCCCCCGTCCTGCCATATCCGTGCGTCATGACTCCCATCTTAATGCATAAAATGCCTCGACCCTACCCACTTGGGTAGTTGCTCGCAATTCCATGCAAGCGGCCTTGATCACCCAACAGTGCAAGGCAGCCGTTGAGTTTCATCCCGGTCCACCGACCCGGCTCCCTATTCGCCGCATCGCGATTCGGGCCGGCCTGTGACGATTCTGTTTTCCATTTCATTGTACTTCCCCTCTCCCTCGAAGACTTGCCTTGTTCAGTCGTGCTCGGAACTGTGTTTCCCTTTCACCTCTCCCCATATACCCCGGATTCGTGGACTGTGATACAGAATTCTGGACTGTTGTATGATATCTGCGGGTGAGGGGTATCTTGTGAATCTCAAGCGTCTTGAATGAAGTGGGGGGGTTCGGGTCCGGTTTTCATTCTATGTTCAACGGGTCGAGGTCTGGACCTCTTTGTGATAGAAGTGAGCTCTTTTATCTGGTTGGAACTTGGATTTAGTATCGAGACTTGTAGGCTCATGTGGACATGACGCTCCGTGTATTCCTTGTCCACTGTTGCGATCTTACTATCATGATACAGCATCTTCAAGAGCTGTTCAGCTCTGACCTGAACGATGAGTCTTGTCGACTTCTCGATAACCATGTGAAAAGAGGAAACTCCCAAGGGCAACCTGAAGGAGTCAAAATGTTACTAAGAGGCTCGATTATACTTTATGGAAATGAATAGGAAGGAAAATAGCCGCTTGAGAAGGGCCTAAACACCAACAGCAGCATCCCAATTGAGACATGGCTTCTTGCCCCTTTTCCAGAAGCCCGGGACCTGAGACGCGTCGCAGATGGGGGACACGCATGTCCGGGTTTACCGCTATTTGGGGTTTAATAGAGAATGTTGAGCCAGCACCGGAGTGTCTAAGACATTGGAAACCAGTCCTCGTTTCTGGACTCTCCCGGTCTCGGCTGTTGGGACCCTTTGCAGACCGACTCCAATGCAATTGAGCCCATCCCCTCGAAAACTAGCCCGGTTGTGTTGACATCTAGTTGATACTTCAGTCCTCGACCTTTACAGTCTCTGACCAGATTGCATAGCATCCTGCTGGCGTCTATATGCACCGTTTTCTGCGGTGCTCTGTAATGCTGCCCCGGCCCGGCACCGATTGGCGGATGGACCCCTTGTACCTGTTGAAAGTCTTATGCAGACTACACTAGATGGGCAGGTGGGTACAATAACGGGTTGTGAAACGGACTGGGAGAAGTCAGTGTGACACTATGGTATAAGTCAGTTCAAGAAGAGAAAAGAAAAGAGCTACGGACAGGAAAAGTGGGCTCTAACAGCCACCAACGTGTCGGACTACTGCATAGAAGGATGCATGGAAAGTTCTTTGAAGTCGTTATTATGTCTCTTGCGCCTCCGGTAAGTCCATGTCTCTGGTATACGCACGCCCTCAATCAGCGGTCTAGTCGGAAAAGACCAAAGACTTAGAATGGACATTCAATCAAGAAGGGGGGAAAAAGAGAAGAAGTGAAGTGCAAACCTGTGTTCAATAGCAACGAACCACTGCAATCCTTTCTAACATGATCAGAATCTGTATTAATTCAGCCTTACCCCATCTATCAAATGTATATAGACTTGTACAGCCTAGTGCACACTGTATAGGCATGGAAGCGTGGCACCCAAGTGAAGATCCTTGTCACTCTTTAGAATCTTTCATGTCAGAAGTTTATCTGTGCAGCACAGCTTTTCTCAAATGCACTTCGCGGACTCGCTAGGTAATGCAGCTTTCCGTTATACAAGGAGTAAGTCGTCCTGCAGCTTGCCGTGAGTCTGAGACCTCTTTGATGCTCATCCTGTTGAGCCACCATGGTATGTAACTTCTTATTGGGCCATTAAACTGGTGTCCTAATGCTCCGGATGCTGCAGTACTCTGTCTTTACTCCAATGCCAAGGAAGATCTGGCATGGGTTCTTCGATAAGATTCTGAAGAAATGACAGATGGTGGGACAACTGTTGAGCTCTCTACCCCGGGATATTAGGGCATTCATAGTATATCGTATAATATAGTAGGCCTTTGTACGTATCTCCTACCGCAACAGGCTGTTTGCATATAGCGGTGACTCTCTGCGTTTCCAAAATGGAATCCAGGATATCCACATGGTCTCTGAAACGGTTCTCTTTCACTGATCTCTTTGGAGGTTGGGTAGTCACAGTTGTGAATGTGAATGTGAAACAGGTTATGCCTCGAGAGAGAAGAGAGACACAGGTCTCAAATTTGTATTTTTGTAATTGCTTCCAGGGGAAACACTGCATCATCAGTCCAAAGTCGAAGATGGGAACTTTCCCACGCGGACAAACAGTGGACTCGTCCAACTTCAAGGACCCTGATATGAGAGATATAGAAGGAGATAGAGAGAAAGTACCGGTGAAGCCCATTTCCCTGTCAGACCGAGTTCCTCTCTATTCACCGCTGCCTCTTGTCTCCTCGAAAGTGTTGTGCCAACAAACAGCCTGTACTCACTTTACTCACCTTACTCACCTTACTCACCTTACCTCTAGAAGCTGTACGGAACAAACCTTCGAACAAAGGTCTTGGATTGTCTTGCTTTACTTTGTTTCTTGTATGTTTGATCTCTGTCTTTCAGTACTGGAAAACTCCTCTTGTTCCAAGAGACATTAAGCTCCTTCTTTCCCCGGAGACTTCGTACTTCTTCAACTCTTCTTCCTTCAAGGATAGCACTTGAACTTCTTAATGCTATCTATCAAATCCCTTTTGAATCCTCAGCCCGAAAGGCGAAATCCTCATCCGTCCTTCCCTGCCTCACGTGAGAAACGGCAGAAGATGGCCAAGGACGCCCCAGTCTTTCGCCGTGGCAAGATCCAGGGCGAGTGTCGCTATCCTCCTTGCGAGGAAAGAGATGCGGAGCTCGAGAAGGCTCATCGAGAGCTCTCTCTACATCCCTTTGGCAATATTGCCGACTATCCTCGTCAGATCCCTTATGCCAGCGACAAGAAAACCTTCCAAGAGAAGACCGGTCGAGATAGCTTCCATGGTATGTGCCGTTGAACCTGCCTTGATATTCATATCTAACTCTTCCATCTAGTCTTTCAATACACATTCCAAATCCCCGGCGAGGAAAAGGAATGGCATGTTATGTGGGACTACAACATTGGCATCGTTCGGATTACACACCTGTTCAAGTGTAATGGCTACTCCAAGGCAAGTCCACAAGGTAGCTCTTGCATATACTCGGGATTTCTAACTCGTTATAGACCACCCCAGGCAAGATGCTAAACCAGAACCCTGGCCTCCGCGATATCTGCCATAGCATCACCGGCGGGGCACTTTCCGCTCAAGGTAAGCTCTTTATACCCTCTTCTCATACAAACCGATTCTTTGAAGTCTAGATCTAATACCTATTTTTTTGCTTTTCACATAGGATACTGGATGCCATACGAAGCCGCCAAAGCCATGGCAGCCACCTTCTGCTGGAGAATCCGCTACGCCCTGACTCCACTGTTTGGCACAGAATTCCCGGCTATGTGTATCCCCCCAACGGACCGCAAAACTCATGGCCGCATGGTCATCCCCCCAGAGATCGTGCAGCGTGCCACCAACCTTTCCAACTACTATCGCTCGTTGGAGATGAAGTCTAGCGCCGGAGCCAGCCCTCCCGCAATCAATGCACCTTCCTCAACACATACCCTTCTCCATGGTATGGGACTATTGGGCCGACAAGGCTCCTCCCTGACACTTCCCCCGCTCAAGATTCCGCGTACCAAATACGCCGACAGTAACCCCAGTGCCCGGGACTCCTCTATGGAGCCTTACTGCATGTCGCCCAGGAGCCAGTCGTCCATGTCTACCTTCACGCCCATCAACCCACCGCGCAGCTCTAACGCTATCCCTCGCTCCCGGGTTGAATCGCCCCGGGCCATCCTCCGTGCTATCTCAGATGCTATGCGCCCGGATAATGTCCCTAGTGGTATCAGCGACAGTGAGACCGAGAGTGATGGCTCGTCCAACATGTATTCCACTCCGAACTCCCCTCCGGTAGATGACAAGGCCCCTGGCCTCGATGAGCCCACCAACGCTGCTTCGGATGTGGTCGCCACGCAAAGCGACTATGATGACCTAACTGACTCGGACGATGATTGGCAAATGGACGACGATGACGACGAAGACTACCGTGGACCCCCTCTCAAGAAGACTCTTGTTGGAGCTTCCGTTGGCAAAGACGGCTCTACAAGTCCCGCATCCCAGACTAAGAAGTACCCCATCCGGGGGTCTCGAGCTGCGCGTCCTCAGCCGTCGCCTCATTTCACCCGTGAGGTAAAGGCTGCTGAAGCTCTTCTTCGTCTGCACATGAATGAGCTCGAAAGCACCGGAACCGATACTGAGATGGAAGATGTCGAGTTGACCTCGCCTCCTGGCTCTCGCTCTCTCGATGGTGACGAGTCTCGTAGCCGTAAGCGACGTCGAGCTTCGCTTTGATGACCGATTGCGCTGCAAATTTGACATGGAATGGCGTTCATGGGTCTCGCAGCTGAAGGTTTCTGTGTGGTGCTGTCCATATGCATTTTGTGAGGAACTTTGTCTGATTTGATGACTTTACTTGGAGTTGAAGGTTTGCTTGTTCAAGTCAGTGTTCCTTTTATTTGATGCAAGAGGATTGGGGATCTTGATGGGCTAGTTGACACTGGGGGCTTTCAAACAGCCTGTTCGAGGCTACAATGCTACTTTGTTTTCTTTCAGGATGATTCTGATGACGGGCAATGGGTTAGACTGGATGGTGTTAGGTGTTAAATGGAAACTGAAGCTCTTACATGTATCTTATGAATTCTTGCCCTATGTTTATGTACCTTGTTTACCAGCATTACTGCCTACAACCGCATTTGTCGTATAATAATCTGAATGATCTTCAATTCCAGAGACCCCATAATAGATTTACGAAGAGAGAAGATTAAAATTAAAACATCTCATATTCGCCTTGCATGCACTGGCTCTGCCAGATCTCCATAAAATATCAAACTAAGACATGGAAATGAAAGAAAATAAAACACAATAGAGAGCATTGCAAAACAAGAGAACATCGCAAATGGCCTCCTGGCCCTCACTATTTCACTACTTAGTCGCTCTCGTCTTCGTCTTCATCGAAATCATCGGCCGATTCTTCTTCGCTGTCAGCCTCAATGACATAGGACTTCTTTTGCTGTGCGGCGCCACGAGCAGGACGGCTTGCAGCAGCGCGCCGGGGGGCAGGAGCGGGCTCATCGTCCGAGATATCCGCATTCACTTTGCCCGCTGGAGAATCCAAAATGTCGTTGGCCATTGCGTCGATGTCATCCTCTGAGTAATCATCCGCAATCTTCTTGCTTGTCTTGCCATGCTTAGAAGCATAGCCCTTGGCCGCCGGGGATAAAGTCGGGGGAGCAGACTTGGGGTCGGGTTTAGGAGCTGGCTCTTTCTTGGGGCGACCACGCCCCTTCGCCGCCGAGGTGGCGGCAGCGGCCTTCGGAGCAGCCTTGGCTTTGGGCGCAGCTTTACCCCGAGCAGTTGGCTTGATCGGCTCGTCCTCCTCGTCGTCATCATCGTCGTCGACCTCTACAACCTTGGGAGCAGCTTTGGCTTTTGGCCCAGCCGTGGCCCGAGCAGTGGGCTTGACTGGCTGGCCCTCCTCGTCGTCTTCATCCTTGTCATCGAGCTTGACGTCTTTGGGCTTGACCTGAATGGAGCGCCGTGGGGAGTTCTTCGGAATGAGCTTGCTGTAGTCAGTCTCATCCGGATCGAAATCGTCGTTGACCTTGGAGGACTTTGCGGCAGTCTTCACGCTGGCACTGCTCTCCGAGCGTGGGCGCTCCGAGAAGAGCTGTCGAGAACCGGCGCCAGAGTCGCCACCAATGCCTTTGACCATCATGCTAACGTCTCCAAGAAGATCGTCACCATTGTCACTGTCAGAATCGCTAGGTGCTGAGTACTTCACAGGCTTCCGAGCGCGAGAAGACTGCACTGCGGGCTTGGGAGCCTCGTTGGCAATCTCCAAGAAATCGTCATCCGAGTCCTCTTCGACCTTGGCCTTGGGCTTAGGTCCTCGTTTAGCGGCCGGCTTGGTCGCTGCCTTGGCTGCTGGTTTGGGCTTTGGCGCCTCATCCACATCCACGTCCATCGGGTCATCAGCTGGCTGAGCTGATGCGCGTGAGGTCTGGGGAACGTCGTCGATGTCGATAAAGTCGTCTTCGTCTTTCGGCATAGTTTTAGGTTTTGATGCAGCACGACTCTTCTTCGGAAGCACCTCCATGTCCATGTCGAATTCATCGTCCGATCCGTCTGCCGCAGCGGATGGGCTTGGTTTGCTCGGGGGTTTACTGAGGAAATTCATCAGGCTGTTTTTGGGCTGCTCCTTTTTCTTGGCCGCGGCGGCCTTCTTCGTCTTAGGGGCCCCGAAGTCCTCGTCATCTGGATCATCGCCGTTCGCAGCCTTGCGCTTGCGCGAAGCCGCGGCGCGACCACCACCAGTGGCCAGCTTGGCCGAGACGCGACGGCCCAGACCAGCCACCTTGCGGGCTCGACGGTCCTCATCTTCAAGCTGGAAGCGCCACTCCTGAATGAACTCGTCCAAATCGCGGGCCCAAATATCCTCCTTGGACAGCTTAATTAAGACGTCGACCTCTGTTTCCTTGTCGCCGATCTGGCGGCGGAGCTTCTCCACTCGCTCTTGGGTCAGCGACCACATAGGCATGCTCAGAAGGTAGTCAAATGAGCTAGATAGTGTTAGAGTGTCATTGTCATCCGACTCCTCTTCTCCTTCTTCTACCACAGGCTCATCTTCACCCATTTTGGGGGCCTCGGCCACCTTAGAAATTGGCTTGAAGCCCTTTTCCTTTAGCTCGGCGATCAGAACAGGCTTTTTCTTCTTGGAGATGACCAATTTGCCATCGATAATCATCTGCACAAAGCGAGCTTGGTTGCTCAGTTTCTCCAGATCTCTCTGTAGATCGGCAAGTTGGAACTGCTTGCGTCGCTCGTAATATTTGAGACGGACGACAAAGAACTCCTTGAGAATGTCATCGACGGTGGCGTACTTGGTTATGCGGCCCTCAGGATCGAAAGCCACCAGATTGGTTGTTGCAATCGTCTTGGTCAGCTTGAATTTATCTTCCAATCCTTCAGTCAGAGCAACCTTCATGTGCTTCTCATCGAGTTGAATGATGAAGTGGACCTTGGTGTGGGTGTTGTAGTCCCTGTAATCTTTGATGAAGGATGGCACCTTCTCAGCCTTGATGATTTCCTCTAGCTTGTCCTTGAAATCCTGCGTCCAGGTTCGAATAGGCAATTCGGTGATCTCGACCTCCTTCTCACCACATTCCCTGATGATACCGCTGAATTTGAATCGATCCCCACCCACAGCTACAACCTCACCGGTGAAGCCACGGAACCACGGCTGCATTGGCTCAGTAGGCTCGCCTGCCATCAGGCGCTTGAGATTGTTCACAACATCCTCAGGATTGTAGTTGGGGATAGAAGAACTCCAACCAGTTCCGATACCATCCGCACCGTTGATCAAAATCATCGGGACGACTGGAATAAAGACCTCGGGCTCAATCTTCTTGCCATCGTCTTCGTTGTACGTCAGTAGCGGTTCATCGGCCGGGTGGAAAACCTTGCGTGCAAAGGGAGACAGGCGAGTGTAAATGTAACGAGCACTGGCACAATCGCCACCACCTTGGAGTCGACTACCGAAGTTTCCACTGGGCTCCAGGCAGTTGATGTTGTTGGAGCCAACAAAGGTCTGAGCAAGACCAACGATAGTCTGCTGCAGGGAGACGTCACCGTGATGGTAGGCTGTCATTCCGGATACATGACCTGCCAGCTCAACCACCTTCATGTCCTTCTTTAGGTTGCGGCGGAAACAGGTGTGAAGCACCTTGCGCTGTCCTGGCTTCAAACCATCCACAACGGAAGGGATCGAACGTTGGTTATCCGCCATACTGAACAGGATGAGCTCCTTGTTGATGAAGTCGGTGTACGTAATCTTCGCCACCGAATGGTCCAGGAATGTGCCAGGCTTGAATTGTCGAAGCCACTCTTTACGCTCATCTGCCTTCTTCTTGGAGAAAGCCAGCTCAATAAGCCCAGCTTCACCATCTTGCATGGTGTGGAACTCCTTGAGATGGCGATCGAGGTCGCGGAAATAGACCTGTGCATCTTCCGTGGTGCTGGTTCCCAAACCCTTGTAGTACTTGTGTTCCCAGCCACGTTCGTGTTGGTGAGCTTCACGCCATTCATCATGTTCGGGCATAGTGAAGAACGACTTCTGCTTGGTCGGGTTTTTCGGGTCACCCTTCCAAACCTTGATGATGGGAGTGATAAACTCAATGAGGAACTCAGGAATCTTGAGCAAGCTGGGGAACTGGGCTTGAAGGAAATTGATGAGCAAACCCTTGATGTGACTACCGTCGTGATCTTGATCAGTCATGATCATGAGATGGCCATATCGCAGTCCCTTGGTATCTGTGTACTCCTTCTTGTGCTGCAAACCAATGAAGTTCTTGATGCTTTGGATTTCCACGTTCTTTGAAATTTGGTCGAAAGAAGCATCGCGGACATTAAGAAGCTTTCCGCGCAGGGGAAAACACCGAACAAGTCTGGTCCAACAACTGCTCTGCCTGCCATGGCCAAACCCTTGGCTGATTCACCCTCAGTCAAAATGAGAGTGCAGTGGTGACCCTCCCTAGTACCAGCTTTGTTGGCGTCGACCAACTTTGGGTTGTTCATACGCGTGCGTCGGCCAGTATCACCCTTCTTCAAGATCTGATCGGCCTTTTGCTCCGCAAAGTGCAGAATATTTGACATAACCTCGGTCTTCAACACCTTCTTGTAGAAATCTTCATCAAGGGGACACTTGCTACCAAACTGACTAGCCTTTGTCGTCAACTGCTCCTTGGTCTGGGAGGTGAAGGCTGGGTTGACAATCAAGGCCTTTACAAAAATGAAGATATGATTCCGAATCTGTGCCGACTTCAAAGTTGCACCAGACTTGTTCTTCTTCTTCACTTGGTCGGCCAAGCGGGTACAGATCTGATCGGCGATGTAGTTGACGTGCGTTCCACCCGAGGTTGTCGCAATCGAGTTTACAAATGAGACTTGCTGGAACGAACCGTCTGAAACAGCAAAACCAATCTCCCATCGAGGATTGGGGCTGCAGGTGATAATTTCATCCTTTGAGGGAGGACCATCATCACCGCGCTCCTTGCGAATGGCTTTAGTGTACATCTCCATGTACTTCCGGAAATTACGAATGGGGACACGTGTGTTGTTCAACTTGACAGCAACACCGGCTGTACCCGCCAAATCGTAGACTCTGCGCTTGACAAGGGATTCGAAATCATCATCGATGCCCTCCATGCCGAATTTGGCAAAGTCTGGCTTGAAAGTGACCTTGGTGTAGTCATCTCCCTTGGCATCTGTGATCTTTGCCTTGCCCATCTTCGTCATGTTCTCGGTCCAGGTTTGCTTGTACTTCTTCTTCTGGCGGGAGTCCTGGGTTTCGAGAGTGAACTCTGTCGAGAAAACATTACAAAGCTTGGCACCGAAACCGTTGCGACCTCCAGTCACCTTCTGTTGACTATCGTCGTAGTTCGAAGAAGTCAGCAGATGGCCGAAGATAAGTTCGGGCACGTAGATCTTTTCTTTGGAGTGGATCTCGATGGGAATACCACGCCCGTTGTTCCAGACGCTGATTTCACCGGCCTCGCGGTCAATCGTGATCCGGATCTCGTTCATGCTCGAGTCGTTGTGCTTGTTATCGGCGGCGTTGACCACAATCTCGTCAAAGATTTTGTAGAGACCGGGACGAAAGAGACATCGCGGAACTCCATCGACTCGGTTCCGGAGTTGTAAACCCACATCTGCTGTGTGGTACGTTCGGTGGATCCAATGTAGGTATCGGGACGTTTGATAATGTGCTCGAGTTGGGTGAGCTGTATTAAAGAATAGAGGTTAGTGTCCCGGCTAAGATTAGGTTACGCTAGAAGCGATGCAGCAACTTACTTTCTGGTACTTCTCTGATGCATTTCCACTCTTGCTCGCGCTATCAGCAGCAGCGTCTCCCCATGAGACTCATTTTCGACATCGGCCAGAGGCTTTGAGCCAGCTCTCTTGGGCGCAACCGTCTTCTTAGCCTTGGGAGGAGTGCGGGAGAGCAGAGAATCATCATCGGACATTTGAATATCAGACATTTCGTCCTCACTGTCGGCCTTAGCCTTCTTCTTAGTAGCAGCTGCCTTTGCAGCAGGCTTGGTCTTTAGTGTGGTCTGTGTAGTCTTTTTGGCGGCAGGTTTGGCGGCAGCTTTCTTAGGAGCAGCCTTAGCTTTGGGTTTCTACAGGACGCATAATGTCAGTAATCAAAAGTTGAGTCCGATGTGGGCCTATTGGAGTGAGTTCATACCGGTGCAGGTTCGGGAGCAAAGTCAGAGCTGCCTCCGTCATCCTCGAAGACCGAGTCTTCCATGATAGAGGAGTCATCCATGATCAATACGAGTAAACAGATGGAGCGCGATGGAGCGCGATGGGGAAAAGGAGTCCAAGCCAGTCCTCGAAGTTGAAGCAAACGAATGATGCTGTCTTTTAATTTCAAGAGCGGATCAATCAAGCTCCGGCATGCTCAGGCCGGAAAAGAGTAAAGAGAGAAGCAAAAGAGATGAGAGAGAGAATACGCGGAGGGGGACCTGTTGTTTTTTTGCCCGGGGAAGTCGCGACTGACAGGGGCGGTGGACCGTTTTAGCCACTCGGATCATCATTCTTCCTTCACCGCCTGCAAACGCGCCCCAAACGGGAAATTCACAAACAAACGAAAAAAACAATCTTCCCCTCACTCTGCTGCATCCAGATGTCTTCACGCCAATTCATAGAAATATAAGATACAGTCAGATATCTATATGTCTATATGGGGTCTACAAGACTATAATATCTCTGAGATGACAGATCCGTTGTCTTCCTTTACTCAAATGTCATAACTAAAGTTAGCGCGAATAGCAAAGCTCTAAATATAGTTTAGCCGGTAAAATCAGCGTAGATTCCTTCGAATCTCAGATCTGGCTGAATTCTATTTCGTCTTCCCTTTAACATATAGATGAGGCTTGAGCTATCTCCCTCTTCTTTATACGCAGTGTATGTCAATTTATACTGTACAAACACATAGTCCAAAGTGAGCGATTTTATGCTCGGTGGACTATGTTGTACTCATCAGAAGGAGCACATGGTAAAGAAATATCCACACTTATCTGGTATAGTACTCCATACTGTCTGTAGTAAATGCAGCGCAGATGGACCTTGCTGCGGGGTCATATATAACCCTTTGTGTCACTGCGAGAACAATGTACGTTGTAGTAATCAACAGTGATATAATCAATGACTATAGTAATAGCCATTGGTTTAAATAAAGCCACATGCTGTAACTTGGGTTCTATTTTCCCAGGTCTTTTTTTAGCGGGTTTAAGCATCAAGGCCACTCCGAAATAGGTATATATGTAGTCGCAGAAAATAACCCAACCGCCTGGCAAATCAAATAAAAGAGTCCACTGGGGGTCATGCTGTCCTGAACAACTGGTTTAATACGGAGTACTCCGTACAACACTGGAGTCCGAGAAATTCCTCGAAGTTTCGAAAAGTGGGTTGGAAACCCTCCTAGTTTTGACAGGCGGACCGCATGGGCCACACTCTGTGGATCACTGCGAGTAGTTGACAGTGCGAGCCCAAGGGGTAGCACAGAGTACAGAAATAGAAATTAAGTCTACATATAATACTTTCAAGTCAATTAATGATGTACGCTGTCGAAGTCCAAGAACGTTGGCCAGCCTCAATATTGAGATGAGACGGACAAGTCAGGGGGTGGTAATGGTATTTCAATATCAGCTAAGGGGTTCCACCAATAAACTCCGCCTAATTTACAGTACTAGCCAATGAAAGCTACGAAAGATTACAGATGAGCATCTGGGTGTATCAAAGATACAAGGTATAATCACAGTTCCCCTTTGACCTTTAATCCTCTAAATATGGGTGGCTGTACTTCGTACCTGCAGGCAATATGCAGTCAAAATAACGCGACTGGATAGACGCTCATCATAATTTCCAGCATACTAGTACTATGTATGTACTCTCGTACTCCGTACTATATAGTACATATACTAGTGCAATGTACTCGAAATCCCTCAGCAAATTCGGTGTGGGGGAAGAACAGATATGAATAGCCATTCGGAGTATCTTATATTTGATATAAAGTAATTACAATATAGTCTACTCCGTATTAGTCCAAGATTCCATAATCTATTCATTTCAATGGTCAAACAGTCGGTGTATGAGGATGATCGACGGGGCCGAGACTCCACGAGGGGAAAGCTAAAGGGGGGGGCTAACGAAATAGGTGGGATCTCTCCTGACTCCCTTTTTTTTTCCCTTTCCCCAGCCTTTTCTTCTTGTACTGGATACAAGTGATACAAGTCTAGAGTCATAGGTCCCACTTCTGCTGGAAGGAATTGGTTTTCTTGAATACTCGGACTTGGGAAAGTGCATAGCTATGCAGTTGAAAATCCGCCTGAAATAACCCTGCTATCCTCCGATATCAAGAACGCGTCGACATCCTTCATCCTTCGAATAACATCTCTGTTTTCTGTCGCGTCACAATGGAAGTTACTGAGCCAGCATCTCCCAGTGTTAGGCACGCGCCTAACCATGACTCAATGGTCACCGTCGCGTTATCCGATAATCAGTCCAGTTCAGAGCACACCCAACCGGATTGGCGCACTCTTGACATCCCTCCAACCCCAGTGGAGATGAGCCATCTTGAGAAGGAGAGCGAGGAGTCATTTGAACCGGTGCCACTACAGGACGCGGCGAGGACCACCCCCACTCCCGAAACCCCAGGCGCAGACAGGGAGAGACAGACAGGCGAGATGTTTGACAATGAGCTGGATTGGGAGAACCTTGATAAGACAGAAGAACAAGAACCGCGTGGGGAGGGGTCCGATGAAGTAAGTGTGACAAGCTGCAGAATTCTAGAACGGGTGCTAACATTCTTGACCTAATTTTAGTCCACGGCCCTACTCCTCGCTCGACTCGAACAAGAAAATAATGCTTTGGCAACCAACCCCAAATCTCGGATACCCGAGGCTCCTAATGGCAAAATACACCAGCGGCAGTCGCGCTCTGAGTCACTACACCACATCAAGCGACTCATTAGGGATCCCGCTCGGGCAGAGCTGCGATACTCGCAATTACCCCTCCCCAATGACCGAGTTAGAATTTTGGGCTGCACTTGTTGCCGATTACCACCAGACTGCTCAGCGTTTGCCGACATTGACCTCGAATAAGATTCAAGGGGGTGTGCCTCCCCCATTGCGAGGGTGGTGTGGCCTAGCCTAGCGGGAGCCCGCGATCCTACTCTGTTGAATGAATTCCAGAGACTTTCGGGTGAAACCAGTCCGTACGATGGGCTAATTGGGAAAGATATTGGTCGCAGCTTTCCCAACGTCGAAATGTTCCGCGACCCGAACGGCGAGGGTCAACAAATGCTCGGCCGGGTGTTGCGATGCTTCAGTCTTTATGATACCAAGATTGGCTACTGCCAAGGTCTCGGATTTGTGGTAGGCCCTCTGCTCATGCACATGACGGATGCTGAGGCCTTTTGTGTTCTTGTCCGGTAAGTCTCCTTTGGATGAGGATCTATAACTTGGATAAGTCGTACTGATGCATCACGTATTGTAGCCTCATGGATCACTACAACCTCCGAACTTGCTATCTTCCAGATCTCTCGGGTCTACACCTTCATGTTTATCAGTTCCAAAATCTTCTAGCACGACACAGGCCGGTCCTGTTCCAACATCTAGAAGCATTGCACGTTGAGCCGGTCTACGTATCGCAGTGGTTCCTATCATTCTTTGCGGTGGCCTGTCCATTACCGATGCTTCTCCGAATTTATGATGTTATTTTTTTGGAAGGCGCATGCGAGACTCTGATGCGAGTTGCACTTTCCCTGATGCAGCGCAATGAGAAGAGAATTCTGGCTTGCACCGAATTTGAGGACGTGATGCAACTGTTACTATTCTCGAAGCTTGTGGGACACGTAAGTTTTGGGCATCGCACAAAGCAAAGGTTGGAAACAAAGAACCCCCCGCTAACCCGTGATATTCAGATACGCCTTCAATGCCGACGATCTCGTTAATGATTTCGTGTCTCTCACCTCTCTCGTGACGAATGAGAGTCTTCAAACTCTTGAAGCCAGCTACAACCAGTCTAAAGGCTCACCATCCGGACCTTCATTTCCGCAGATGCAGGCAACGGCCTCTGGCTTCCTTGGACGACTATGGGCTGGCTCCTCAAACTCTCACAATTCGGTCAAGTCACTCAACCCGAATACTAGCCCGTCACGTCAGAACAGTACCATTCGTCGCTCTACTTCCAAGCAGAGCCTGACTTCCACTCTCAATTCCGTTGAGACTACGTCCGACGCGAGTACTGCTGCTACCGAATTATCAACGGCAGCAGCTAGTGTCGATAGTCAAAAGTCGCGCGTGAAATCCAACATGTCTTCACATCACAAAGACCGCGACCTCCATACCCAGATTGAAGAACTCTTGATGGCGCTCAGCGATCTTCAGCGCCAACAGGCTAACCTCACCCGTGAACTGCAGCAGGAGAGAGAAGAGCGGGAGGAAGACCATGTCCTGGCCAAGGAGCTGTTGAACCAAATCAGGGAACAGCCGACTGAGACACAACCGGTCGAATTAATAGCGAAAGCCCAAACACGTTTTGAATCAGTCAACCCGAAGCGTATTTCAATCACTCAGACCAAGCTTCAGCTCAATGACGATGTTACTCGATGGAAGGAAATGCACGAGGTGGAAGCCGGTCGATGCTTGAACCTCACACGGCGCATCGACGATTTTGAACAGGAGAACTCGTCCCTCAAGGAGCAATTACGGGAAGCTCGAGGTCGAATCCAAGACGGTTATCGGGAACGACAGCGACTCGAGCGCATGAACCGGGAGCTGCGTACCCTCAAAACTCCTATATCCGAAACGCCGCTAGACACATCCTCTGCGGCAGATTCTAGCGAGTCTCAATCTCCCACTAGTGGGCTACGCGAGTTCAAGCTAGCCCGCACCAACTCCACAAAAAGTCCCACATATAACAGACGGACAAGCAGCCTGGGTCTGCAGAGCGTTTTGTCGACGGAAGGTAACAAACCCGCCGAAGAGGCGTTGCTCATGGAGTTGGTTACTGCTAAGACGGCCGAGGCGGTTGCTAGGCAAGAGCTTGAGGAAGTCAAGGGCAAGTTGGATTCATTCCGGAAAATGATCAAGTCCTCCCAGGCCAATCCTGAAAACCGCCATTCTTTTGTTGGACTCTCGCAGTCGCGGATCAGCCTGGCCAATAAATCTCCCATCGAAGCCCCAAAGACAGGTGGGACGCCCAGCAACGGCGGTGGGGGATTCTTCAGTGGATGGGGTCGACGAACTGCGACTGACTAGTGAAATCCCATGAGGATTCTGGAAGAGATACGTGTAACCATATTGGATTGACTGTTTGGTATGCATTTTTCGTATCGGATTGGGCGATTGGAGTTACCCATGGATGTTTGTATTCGGTCTTGTTTTAGTATTTGAGTACATAGTGATATCCCTATCAAGACGAGTACATATTCTGTTTTGGATTTCCTTCTACTCTGTAGGTATAGAAGTAGGGCTAAAAAGATCAACAGAGATACCCGATCCGGGAGGATCCGACTATAAGGAAATTAATTAAGGCCAACCCTAACAGTTAACTAGTTATTTAGTTATTTAGTTAACTAGTAGTAAGTAACTAACTACGACATAAATATTCTTACTATTCGGACCTCTCGGCACCTGGGCAGTCTCCATGCATTGTTCTCTCCCTACGATTGGCCAAACACACAGAGGAACCCAAGCCAAGCCACTAGCACTGGGGCAGTTCACGAGAGTTATAAAACTTGCAAGGCCCCCAAATTAATGTTTGGATTTCGCAGATTCTAATGGATTTCTTGAGGTTCTTCGGTTCTCCTAGGCGCTTCGCTATCGCCTTGTTCCTGGTGGTGTTTTTCACCATTCCTTATTCCAGAGAAGCTATAGTAGTCCCATTGCGAGTGAAGCTGTCAAAGTAATTGCAGGTCCCTCTTTTCTCATTCCCCCTTAGTGGTCCATTCTGATCTGTATCAGCCCTGCAGAACAATCCGTTGACCAATTCCCGAGCGATTACGCCGGTCAATCTCGAATTTCAGCTCAAGTGATCAATGACCCCTATCCACACTATGATAGTGTAGAATGGAAGTCGAAGTCAAAGGGGTCTTACCAGCCATGCATTGGACCCCAAGGACGACTTCTGAGCCGCAAAGATGAAGATATGATGATGAGCGGGTTTCGCTGGAATGCTTCAGGTGCGCAGAGGAATATTTCAGGAGTCAACGGGAAACTAATTATTAGAGGCTAGATTTTCCCACTCCCATTTTTCGGATCGTATGAGTCGTGGAATCTGAACAAGAGTCTCTGTGCTGATCGCTACTCCCGGTATGGTGCATATGGTTACCTCGGGGGGAACGAAACCACTCTCCATAGTTGGAATGGAACATTCGGTTCCAACGAGGCTGCCGAAATAGACTGGGAACAGGTGGACTGGGCCCATTTGCAATACGAATGCCTGCAGCGCAATAGTGTTCGATATCACACTCAACCATCCGAAGGGAAGATATTCGCTCTGTACAAGTCACTGGATTCGGATGTGCAGCCTCGCGAGCCTTTGAACAGAACTGACAAGACGCAGCCCCGGACAGCTGTTATACTACGCTCTTGGATCGGAATGAAATATACCGAGAACGACTTGTACCACATTCGATCTATGCTGATGGAGTTGTCCCTCTATTCAGGTGCAGAATATGAGCTTATTCTTCTGATTGACTCCCAAGGCAAAAAATTACCCAAAAAGGATGATCACGCCGCCTGGAAGGCATTCAATGCGAAGCATTTGCCACAGGAGCTGCGCAGCCTGGCGGTATGGTTTAATGCGGATATGTTGAAGGATTGGTATCCTGGGATTGAGGTTCATGTGTATGTGTTCGCCCCCAGAGCTAGACCCGCCCTACTGACATTCTATTAGAGCGATATTACAGTACTTCCAGCCCACGCAGATCTTCTCACGACTACACCCTCAGTACGAGTACGTCTGGCAATTCGAGATGGACTCGCGATATACCGGCCATATGTACGACCTTTTGCACAAGGCAACCGAGTTTGCGAAACAGCAGCCACGGAAGTATCTGTGGGAGCGTAACTCTCACTTCTATATCCCTGCTGTCCATGGCACCTGGGAAGAGTTCATGAAGAAGGTGGATCAGGAAATGCCCGGCCATGACAACAGCAGTGTTTGGGGTCCTCGTCCCGCAGAAGGGATTGACATCGAAGGACAAGCCATAATCCCCCCCTGTGCCACACCTAGCAGATGAACCAGGCAGCTGGGGTGTGGGTGAAGAAGCCGATCTGATCACCTGGCTGCCCCATTTTAACCCAGTTGGGACGGACTGGCCTTTCCGTGACCGTGTCTTCAATTTCCCTCAGGATCAAGAGACTCCGCGCTGGGCAGCTGTTGTGGCAATGTCTCGCATCTCGGCGCGACTACTCGGCCTGTTGCATAAGGATAAGGTCAAATCGGGGGTTGGGCTCGCATCCGAAATGTCCCCTATATCCTGGGCTTTGTACTATGGTTTGAAGGCTGTCCAGATCCCTCAGCCTGTGTACCATGACGCCAAATGGGACCCCGAGGAATTGAACCGCCGCGCCAACCCGGGTGAGCCTGGCCAGGTCAACGCTGGTTTTAACAGCATCTGGAGCTGGGGGCAACATGATGATATTATGTACAACACAACGTTTATGTTCAACTCCGAATTTTTGGAGAAACTGTACAGGGCCTGGTTAGGCTATGATGGCGCCAAAGAGGTGAGTTCATGCTCCGGTTGACGATATTCTAGTGCTAATGGTGCTGCAGTGGGAGAAGGAAAACCCTCCACTCTGTCTGCCTCCTATCTTTTTACATCCAGTTAAGAATCTCGAGTGAAGACAAAGGGTGGATTCTTCTGCACACCTCTAGATGGCTTTTTTTTTTGGATTTTGATTATGGTCATATACCCCGATTTTGATAGATTAATAGAAACATATTTTCATATAAATTGAGAGCCCTGGAGAGACAGGATTGTTTGCTAATTCCACGAGTTGTCATAAAATCCCGTCCTCGATCTCTCCCTCTCCCTCTCTCTCTCTTTTCCTCCTCCTCTCTCAGCTTCACTGTTCTTTTCCAACATCACCCACATTCAAAGAACTCATCACTACATCTCCCCAAAATGGCTCCAACCCAACCCAAGGCTGGCAAAAGCCCATCCAAGCCAAAAGAACCCAAAGACTCCGATCTGAAAAAGCAGCTCTTGTTCCTATGGATCTGCCACAAGGTCTCCGATGTTAACGTTGGTTTTCTCTTGAATCTCAATTACATACATATATGCTAACATCATCTCTCAGATTGACATCCCAGCCGTCGCCAAGCACTTTGGCATCAAGAACAAAGCCGCTCAGATGAGGTACACGCGTCTGAAGAAGAAGCTTGATGAAATGGAAGCGTCCAATGAAGAAGCTCATGGCAAGGACAAGGATACCGAGGATGAGGGCGATATCATGAGTGATTAAGGGATTATCCGGAAACATTGAAGACATCCTTGAAGATACGGTGTCTCGATATTTGATCAAAACGAAGTGAAGTTTAGCCCGCGGGCCATTTCTGCGATTATTTTTGTTTCATGAGCCACGTAGAGATCAGAAGTAAAGTACATATGTAGATTGTTTAGACTGTAAGTTCCCTATGTAAAACTGTAAAATTCATAAGTTGAGTGTTTTCATATGATTCCTCTTTCCTTCATTTCTCCTCTTCTCTTCTCCTCTGACCCCCAGCTTCAATGGAAAACACAAAGAATGAAGCCCTCGCCCTCCTCTGGGCTTACGAGCTCAACCGAGAGAACAAGCAATTGTTCAAGGGACTCAAGAAAGTGAATCGATGTCTCGATGCCTCTCGTCCAACCACCTCACCCAGCTGTGCCAACGGTTCACGTCAAAACAACGGGAAAGTGAACCAACAGACAAAGACGCAAAATAGAACACAGTGATTCCAGGTCATCACAGGAGTTGTCTTACGATCTTCAGCTGCAGGAGGAGGTCACAATGATTGGAGATCACGTCGGAGATGACCCGATGCGGGGATTGAGGGGGAAATGGCTCAGATCCAACTTCGCCCTTCTCCGTGGAAGTTTTGATTGAATTCATACTATTACCTCGAGTGCAACAGCAAATACAACAAAATGGTCCTCGCACAACCCCCAAACCAGCATGTCATGAAGGCCTTCGACCTCACAGGCAAGGTCGCAGTTGTGACTGGTACGGTATCTCCCAGTCATCAAAAGCATCTCACTAACACTCTGCCACAGGAGGCGCTCGTGGGATCGGTCTTGAAGTCTCGAGGGCATTGGCCGAAGCCGGTGCAAATGTAAGCCACACCACCCGTTGCTCCAGAACAATCAAATTAACAATCTGCAAAGGTCGCCTTGATCTATCACACATCCAATATCGCCGATACAATCGCTGCTGAGATCGCATCGACTAACAACGGACGTGCAGCAGCGTACAAAGCCAATGTGGCTATCCAGTCGGAGATCGAGGCGGTTGTGCAGCAGATCGCGAAGGATTTCGGGAGACTCGATGTCATGGTCGTTAACTCTGGCATTGCCTCGAACATCGCCGCTGAAGACTACACCTCCGATCAGTGGAGCAGCATCATGAAGGTCAATCTTGATGGTGCTTTCTATTCGGCCCAAGCTGCTGGTCGGATATTCAAGGCACAGGGTCATGGAAATGTTATCTTCACGGCCTCTGTCAGTGCGACTCTGGTCAATCAACCACAAAAGCAAGCGGCGGTATGTTCTCTATTGAAAATGGTACCTTTCATGTCGCTTATCCTTGCATAGTACAATGCGTCCAAGGCGGGGGTTGTTCAGCTAGCCAAGTGCTTGTCCGTCGAGTGGGTTGACTACTGCCGAGTCAACTGTATCTCGCCTGGATACATCGCTACCGAAATCCTGGATAGTTTCCCCCAGGATTGGCGCGATAAATGGCTTGACTTGATTCCTGCTAAGAGAATGGCTGAATCTTATGAGCTGAAAGGGGTGAGATTCTGCAGATCCAGTTCCTCTAGAAATTGACTGACAACCCCATCTAGGCCTACGTGTTCTGCGCCTCGGATGCCTCTAGCTATATGACTGGTGCAAACCTCGTGATCGATGGAGGATACACTTTGCCTTAAGTCCAAGGAATAACCATGCTGCCTCGTGATTTGATAAACCAAGGGCCTGCATTATGACTCCAAGTCAAGTACGCGCGAATGAGAATAATGCAAAATAACCATATTCGGCACTATTCATGCCAAAGGCTTAGTGAAATACACATGTAGTATAAAGCTGCCACTCTCTCAGCAGTTGCTCCTCAATCCCCAATCAACAAGTCAGCGATAATCACTCAAACTCGGCGGGAGATCCTGAATATGAGTTCCCCATTCACTCTCCTTAGGTCCCAGCACAAGCTCAAGAACGCCGCCGTCAACGAAAAAGTCATGGGTGATCCAATTCTTTGTCCAAGGTTTGTCGTTCCACTTGGCGCTCTGGATATAGATGGACTCATAACTAGGGTCGAAATTAATGTTGCGGATAGTGGCGACCTTTCCAGTGAGGGCATTTCGAATGCTGACTTCTTTGAAGTATGGTGGAGTGACCAGGTAAACATCTTGACCGGGCACTGGCCACAGACCCATCATGTTCAGAACAACAAATGAGCCCATGGCTCCACTATCGTCGTTACCGGCGATACCATTCACTGTCGTGTTGAACTGGGATGGAATGTAGAAGTGGCTCTGCTTTGCGGAGAGACCTGGTCGTCCCGAGTAGTGGAATTGATAAACGGGCAAGAAGGCCTGTTCATCTCCCATGTAGAGCAAACCAGAGTCATGGAGATAGCTGAGCCGAGAGGTGAAGGATTCGGCACCGCCAAGCGTCTTGATAAGAGCGCCCATGTCATGGGGGGGCATAGCTGTAAGCAGATCGTTAGTAACGAGTACAAGCATAAAGCATAAGTGAGCACCCACAAGGTATACATCCACGCACTACCTTCATAGGTCTCGTGGCCATCAGGATTGAGATAACAACCGGTGAAGTCCAATAGAGGACTACATAAGATCGGGTCCTGGTAGCCCCATGTGCCGTTCGTGTATCGAGGTTGTAGGAATCCGGTGAAGTTGGTGTCGACCCCCTTGATGCTTGACTTCTGGTCAGGATTGAACATGTGGACCCAGTTTCCAGACCGTTTCGTGTATTTCTCATAGTCGGCCTGGTGGCCCATGCCCTGTGCCATCTCGGCGATGCAAAAGTCATTGTAGGCATATTCCACCGTCCGCGATATACTCCGAGTGTGTGTACCTTGGCCATCGGGATCAGAGTCATCAAGAGGAATATAGCCGAGGTTTTTCCAACTCCGCAAGCCACCGCGACCTTCCACATCCCAGTTTTTGGGCTCTACCTCTGCATCCTTGACAACAGCTTCATATGCGGTGTCCCAGTCAATACCTGGAACCTTTTTCAGATACGCATCTGCCATAACCACATCTGCATTGGAACCGCCTTGTGTGAATCCCTTGCAGAGTGACATGCGACAGTCAGGCAAGTACCCTTCGTGTCTATAGGTGTCCACCAAGCTGCGCATCATGAGGGATTGTGAGAAAGGGTCAACCAGGGTCAGCAGTGGGTGAATGCTCCGGAAAGAGTCCCATATACTGAGTCGTATTATTAGCATGCTAGTCATTGTTTCGAAGCGAAGCTGCCTCACCAATAGTAGCTGTCATAGTACGGCTCGTCACTTTTCCAGAGAGGGTTTTCACCGGTATAGTCTTGGGGGCTGATGAATGTTCGGTATGCTCCGCTCCAGAAGACCGTTTGTAGATCCGACGAAACTCCGTCCGCATCCACAGAGATAACATCCAGCTTCTTTCGCCAAGCTGATTCAGCAGCGGAAACGGTGCCCTCGAAATCAAAGTCGGGTTGTTCTCGCTCCGCGTTCGAGCAAGCCTGATGAACACTTATGAAGCTAACGCCAACTCGAGCAAGAATATTGTTGTCCTTAGGGGCGTGGAATCTGGCAAATGCACCGGCCGAGAGAAAGGATGATGCGTCAGACCCGAGGTTCAGCGTCCGCCTGCTGATGTCTGGCTGGTTCCTCTCCCAGATGCCGGTGTCACGAAGCTCTGCTCCTTTGAAATCAACGCAGGCATATGACTTGTAACTGCCAATACCAAAGCTTGGGCTGAAAGTGCCACTTCCCGTGAGACGGCCAGTCGATCGGTCCACGTCGGCACTTCCACTTCTTCGAGACCGAGGTAAATCCATCAAATCTAGAAGGACCACTGGACTGAGTGGCTGACTGGAAGTTTCATTGAAGGTGAACCGATATAAAGCAGATCGATTTGTGGTTGTCATTTCCGCGTGGACGCCATTCGCCAATGAAATGCTGAAATATCCTGGGCGAGCTTCGGGGGACTCTCTGTCCCACACAGCTTCTCTGTCCGATTGTTGCCATTTGCACTGGTTGATATCGTCATGCGGGCAATTTCCTTGCGCGAAGATTGGAAAATTTCCCATTGATGGGGCCTAGAAGCGAGTCAGATAGAGGGCATGAGTCTCCAACAGTCTGCAAAAACTTACGCCGCCAGTCCCAGAATCATGCATGTGTGAGAAACCGGTCACGACCTTCGTATCATAAGCGAAGCCAGCCTGATTCTCCCCCGTTGTGTCCGCCACGGCTTTGGCCATGCCTGTATTTGTTAACCTTTCTAGATATAAACATGGAGCCCTTGAGTAGGGTTTGTATTACCAAATGGCAAAGTCGCGCCCGCAAATACATGGCCTGTAAGAGTTGTGAGCCTTCGCTGACGGAAATGCTCGTCATATTCAAGACAAACCTCCATTCGCGGTGCCAATCAAAGGATCAACGTATTTCAGAACGTCGAAATCGTCCGAATAATCCTGTGTGGCTATCGCATTGGAAGCATAGAGGGCCGTTAGGATGCTACACAGGAGCCCCACGCGGAGGGAGGGATGTTGCGGTGGCATAACAGGGGACTATCCACAACCATCCACAAAGATAATTCAATAGCTGCCCAACAGCCTTACAATTGAGACGTAGAAAAGACGCGTTCCACTTCGGAAGTTAAGCTCCTTATTTAGGGATTGGCAACAAGTCGCGGGGGAAGCATTCCGGACCAGATCGGCATGCGAACTGCCTTTCGAGGGAAAAGAGGAAAAATGGGGAAGGCGCCAGTCGCATCCCGGGTATCCTTGGACTTTCGGCCAAATGACAATATGCAGGAGCAATTCACCAGTGGACGTAACATCAACGCTCGGCCAAAAAGGTGTCACATCTACCACATCTAGTCCCGGGATATACCCCTGCCACGTTCATTTGCTCCTCACATAGGAAAAGGTTAAGGAGTCAAGAGCGCGAATATGCGCAAGGAAGACGCTTGAACAAAGTCAAAGGAAAATTTCAATGATCGCATCCCTGACTTGTCGATCGTTGAGATTGAGGGGAGCAATTACTCCGAGCTGCGGGGAACGTTATCTCTCCAGGGATTTGATCCGTCAGTTCCGAGAGCGACAAGTCAAGTCTGAGCCAAAGCCTTCACTTCATGTAACCTTCTCCGCGCCATTTTATGTCAAAAATATGGAGACGGTGACAGTGACATGATCAACGTTACGATCGACCGGTCGGGACCTCTTCGGCGAAATGCAGGGTTTCCAACATGCATCTGGAACGTCGAGAAATGATGTCGGCAAATAAATATCGAGGCCATTGAAAGTGATCGTGCCGGATAATCCAAAGCTCAAGACATGCAATGTTTATTCTGTTGCTGCAGTTGCAACTCTTCAGCTTCATCGTTCACTATGAGTCAAAAATGATTCGTGCAGTCAGACACGAACAGTCAAAACATGTCAAGAGCGAGGCTGTCCCAAGCCTTCCCCCTTTGCTCAGACGCCGGTCTTGAGATGATGTTGTGTGAAACCGTCGAAGGGCTGGGAATGGCAGAATTTCGGGGTGAATGCCTAGAATCAAGGTACTCTTTGATCTGTGCATTCTCGCGCTGTAATCGTGAATAGTCCTCTCGGATGTTCGCCTTGTCTCGCATTGATGCCCGATTTGATTCAATTTCTTTCATCGCCATTTCCAGTTGGTGCTTGAACTGTGATGATTGGGCATGGCGACCTGTCTCAGCATCTGGCAGGGCTAGATATTCCAGAAGTTGAGGGTACGTCTCTGCAACAGGAAATACCTCAGCTGGCGTACTGCGAGCATTGACTTCATTAATACAGTTCATTGTAGGGGGGTTCATCATCCGCGGGGCCACTGAAGATTTACAACCTGATGCCGTTGGTGATCTATCACCAAGAATTGGAATATTTCCGGATGATGGGTCTGAATGGCTGTTTGGGGTTGTCCCACCAGTACTTGGGGCTGGGGATGGCACGGAGAACTGGGGCGGTGCATGATCCCAACCCCTTGCCCGACAAGATGGACAATGGAAGTTATTTGCAGAGCGGACCACATCCAATAGACATGCTGTATGGTAGGATCTACAGCATGTCTGGCAACCAATCAGACTATCAGGTAGACGGCACTCCCAGCAAACTATATTATGAGGCTTCCCAGCATCTGCGATGAGTAATTAGCAGGTATCACTGGTCAATATGATATCGTGGCACACCAATCCATTCGTGATATACGCGAATTTGTTCTGGGCCTGAAAGAACAGGCTGTGTTGAAGATATTGAGCCCCATCGTATCTGATCGTTGTCTTCAATAGACCGGACCAATGGAGCAGGTGTATCATGTTGGCTATCAACGACAATTGACGGTGTTCGCAGCATGATGTATGGTCTTTGTAGAAGAAAGTAGATATGACGACAGGATGTACAGGAAAACGTGACCAAAGTCCGAGTTCCAAGCGAGAAATTCCCGTCGGATTATGTAATCCGGCCTTCACACCTGAGGTGGATGGAGCGGGCCAAGGACGCATCTTGCATCATTCATTCTAGATTTCTTGCCCTCGAATAGCATCTTCACCTGATGTATTTTCGAAATGTGAAGTAACTCCGTGTGGTATAAAGACGCAAAGTGGAGCTTCCCCAATGCCCTCAAAGAGTTGAGCACGAAGCCGTAGAGATCGCTATACTGGCACGAAACCCACAATGCCTGGGGTGCCATCTAACAAGGCTTGCGAGCGTTGCAAAAAGAGGCATCTCAAAGTTAGTTTCACTAAATCTGAATATGGCTTTGATAATCGTTGCTAATCTGTGGCAGTGTGATGAGACTCGCCCTCATTGTCGGCGGTGCACCACCGCCGGGGTAGAATGCCCGGGATATGTTCAAACCCGCAAATTCATCGATCAAGGAGCCACAGTAAGGCGCCGTTATGCTCCATATCAGGAGCCTCATTCAAAGCCAGGCTCTGCATTCAATTCAAGTAAAGTAGGTCAAACCTGCCAGCTATCATTCTGCCCAGACACTTATGCTTTCTGATAGGACCCCACAGAGCTGGTTTCAGACGCAACGCAGCCAAAAGGCTCGCAAGTAGGACCTAACGAGCAGGTGTTGCAATGCAACCAACGTCAAGAGCAAATTAATCCTGCTATTCCCTTCCAGATGGGGGAGACGAGGTTAGGCTCAAGAGATGACCCGATGATAGTAGAGATGTCTGACCCTTCTAGTCGGTCAGAGGTTGCTACGGGGAGTACACAGCAAACAAATGTGCATGCCCCAGAAAGCCCAGCTATCTCTATTCCCAATTCCCTCTCTGGCTTCGAGGAAGGCAGCGTATCTACAAGAAACGCGATCTATAAGTCAATTTCACCAACTGCGGCCACCAGCGGTTTCCCAACATTTGATAACACATACAACACAATTCCACATAAGCGCCCCGATTACCAAAGAGTCATCTCCGAGAGCTCATCGCATCGAAGTGAAAGAGATGAATTCCAAGATATCTTCTCGGAACTCATGACTGGATCTGAACACGAGATCGCGTTCCTCACTCGACATTACTCGGAGGTCATAGGTCCATGGTGCGTACAACTGTCATTTCTTTTTGCAGGTACAGTGTATTGATAATATAACCAGGTTGGATTTGTCGGATACTCAGAAATTCTTCACCGTCCATGCTCCTATTCGAGCGATCAACAATCTTTCCGTGAAGTACGCCATTGCAGCGCTAGCAGCAAAACACCTAGCTCGTTTGAAAGGGGTCAAGGCTTCCATTGGTGGGATGTTCACGAGCCCTGCGACTACCGAAACCTACCCAAATGCGACTCAAGTTGACTGGTTCCTCAAGGCTGCCAATTACTATTACCTGGCAGCTTCGGATTTAAATAACATAACGTCCGATGGCTATACCACTGTGTCCAGCTCGGCTATTTTGGAATCCCCGTTTGAGATACTTTGTCGATGGATCAACTCTGGTCAGACTCAAGCGAACATGAAACCTGCGAGTGAAGATCCGAACGACGTGGCAGTCATTCGAAAGACAGAGGATCTGTTGGCGACTGCTACGCTTCTTACCATGTACAGGCTTTTAGACATGCCTGGGGACGAGTGGCACATGTAAGACATCCTCGTTGGTGGTTGCTGTTTTATTACTAACACTTAGACCGCAGGCAACTTTCTCGCATTCGCCCTTTGTTTGATTCTCTTCTCAGTTTACACGTGGCAGCATCAGCCCTGTTCTCCCATGGCATTCAGGCTGCCTTTTGGAATTTCGCTCGCCAAGACTATCTCGGTTCTTACTTCACCCGCTCACCTACACACTTCGATCCAGAGAATCTGCCCCTCTGGCGGGCAGCAGGAATTTCAATCAATGGTCAGAAAGACTTCCATCTTATCCGGAATGGGTCAACTCTATCGCAGGAAGACCAAGCTGCTAATGGCTTGATCTGGCTTGTTGCCAAAGTCATCAACTTCCTCAGCAGGTCTAAACAGTTACAGCTCGCGCAGTGGACCGGATCACCGGCAGCTTCACCCGAAATCCAGGGCACAACAAACGCCGCTCAACTGCCTTATCCGGACACAGATACCTGGCTCAAACTATGCTTCGAATTCCAAACGTGGTTTGAAAATCTGCCCGAAACGTTCCGCTCTTCAGTGCGGATCGAACGCCCCAAGGATCTATCAAAGGCTGCTGAAGGGAGTTACTTGCCATTCCCTGAAATCTTCCATAGCTTGACAACCTGTGCTGCTGCCATGCAACATTACCATTTCGGGCGCATCGCATTATTGCTGAATCGTCCGGCAGATGTGATCAGTGCACCGTCTACGGCCTTTGACCGCTTACAAGGGTACCGGGAGGTCACGAAAGAGGTCGAGTTCCGTTCCCGTGAACTCAGCGGCATTGCATTGGGTCGCCCCCAGGGTGCAGTTCGCATATATATGGTCCCGCTTCTTGTCGCTGTCGGACAGTGTCTTGAAAATCCAGAGGAGCATCAGATTATTGTTGATCTGCTACGGGGCGTCGAAGCTGATTTGGGTTGGACTACTGAATATGCCATTCGGAAACTCCAGGATTCTTGGAATCAATGATTTTACTTGATTGTTTATACATAGAGGGCCACGAACTATACTGTATCTAACCATATACCTTTCACTTAATTTCAAAAAGTTTTGTGGGCTTTTGTGGGCAAAGTACACTTATTAGATACTGAAGAATATCGCCGCTTGCTTTATCGGAAATTATTTCCGCAGTGTTGGCTATGACATGACTAGGGCTTGATGAGATGATGCCATTCTTGTATCACGCATAAGTGTATGTAGCAAATACCAGAACATGTGAAAGCAGGTCCATTATAACATCTATCAAAACAATAAAATGAAAATAAAAACAGTTCCCTAATCTAGTCGTGATGAAGGCTTAACAGAAACCGAGAAGCACGAATAATGTCTCCATAAAACCAAAGAGAAGCTTTTTGATGCAACCGGTTCTTAAATCCTGTATCAATGAATGCATACTTTTCTTCCCGCCGTTCTGATGTGAGACTCAACTCAAGCCACGGTGAAACTAGACACATATACCATCTTCATGTTTCAATAGAATCGGTTCCGAAAACGTGTCAGACACCTTTCAGCCGGATCTGGTTCTGGTCTCCGACGAGGAACGTTCAGACAGATACCTTTCAACAGGATCTGGATCACCGGAACCACAGGAAGAAACCCTGCGGCCAGCCTCCTTTCTGTCGGAAGCCAAGTTCTGCGCGAATGGTGACAGTTCTCGAATCCTAGGACCTTTCCAATAGAATATGTATATTGGGATAGTGAATAGGATCGCCATGAATCCCAAGAAGGTGGAAGCCCATTCAAGGTTGTGTGTTGTACCCATGTTCATATACACTGTATGTCGCGGTTAGGTAATATTCTGTTGTAGGATCGTGATCACTTACTGGGCATTGAGTACATCGCTGCAATACCGGCCAAGAAATCACGCGCGAATCCGTTCCCTCCTGTGGCAGAGGCAGCATATGGACCATACGAGGCAATCATGTAGTCAATTGTGGCCATGTAAATGGCGTACTTAATCATGGAATAAGCTATCAGTGTTGTATCAAGGGAGGGGTCCGTTCTTGACTTACATTAGCAATAGCTATCAAAGTCGAGAAGATCATGGGCGCAATCCAATGGACATGGGGTGGACCAAGACTAGTCCATGCGAATCCAAACAGCCCAATTGTCAACAGAGGAGCCGCTGTTACTAGTGAGTAATGAGACCAGCGATCAAGCATGGGAATACGTACTCCAAAGCAACCAATAAAGACGAGCTTCGGGCTGAAGAGCATCTGGGTCTTTCTGTCTAATCTTGCAATGCCGATAAATCCATGGAATGAACGAAAAATAGGCAATGAAATAGCCCACCATAAGTCTGTATAATCATTAGAATTAACCTAAATTCAAGATCGTGCGTACTCACGGGAGGAATGCAAGTCCAGTTGTAATCGTAGTGAAGTTCCATTGCTTGTATACCGGCGTATACGACTGAAGGAAAGTGAAGATGAGTGAATCGCTGAAGCCGCTGAGCAGAGAGAGGCACAAGACGATAGGCTCGCGGACGAACATAACAAACGGGCGTATCCAAACCATGAAAACCCAACGGAAGGACATGCGAGTTTTCTTCAGCTCGTCACCACTCCATACCATATTCCCGTTTTTCCGTCTTCGCCTAGCTTCTCTAGTGACGAGGATGCTGCACCTGGTCTCTGGAATGAAGAAGTGTAATATTTGCACAAAGCCTCCGAGGATAAGCTGAATCCAGAAATTCCAGTGCCAGTCAAGGAAGGTTGCAACGAAGCCTCCAACAACTGGTGCAATGACGGATCCTGCCACGGAGGATAAAACAATGAAGGCCACGGCATATTGTTGGCCCTCTGGCTCCCACATGTCTGCTACCATGCCGAGCGTTACAGAACCACCGGCGGAGGACACGCCGCCGAGAATGCGGCCAATAATAATGGTGCCGAAGTTGGGAGCCAGAGCACAGGGGAGTTGCCAGATATTGACCAAAAGCAAGCTGAGCTGCATTATTGGCCATCGACCGAACTCTTCGCTGAAGGGCGCCCAAAACTCGCAGCCAAATGCGTAAGCGACCAGGAACGCCATCTGGCCAACACGTGCGGCCTGCTCTGAGATGCTGAAGTGCGCCGCGTACAGGGTGATGCTGCTGGCATAGAAACTGGCATTGAAGTTCATGGATGTTTGGACAGCAAAGATGACGGAGATGATACCCCATTTCTTCCACCAGGAAAAAGAATATCCTAGCTTGTCGTAGCACTCCCATTCTTTCAGTTCTTCTCTGTCTTTTCCATCGACAGCTCCATCTGCACCCTCTTTCTTTCGGCGGCTGGGCCTGGAGGCGCCCCCATGAGAATGGATATCACCATCACTGTCATATTGCTTCTCCACATCTCCGTCTGCCTGATCATGATTGGAGAAAGGGTCTTCGTGGTGGCTCATTGTAGCGAGGTATCTGACAAAAGCAATTCAAGGGCTCTCGGCGAAATAGCACCCAACAGGACAAGAACCGCCATTCTGGACAGACATAAACCGGGGCCCCGGAGCCTAATTAAATGCCTTTTGGGGTTTCCCAGGGCAATGCCAAGAGGCCATTACATCGACCCTATAGATATAACATCGGTGTTTCCGATTGGTCCGGGTGATCAACACAGTCTGGCTCGACCAAGCTTTACCAAGCTTCTTCGCGTGTTTCGTGGTGTGGAGGTGACATCCGGGGATCATGACTCGATCGATCATCATTAGGCTCATCGATCTTCTTCCCTCCACACTCTGGGGCATTGATAAGCCCCCGGCTGACAGGCCGCAATTATAATCCGACAACGCAGAGATGTTTGGGTCCAAATTTTTGAACCTTCTAAGGACAAGAAGATAATCGGTGAAATGGTCCGGAACATCCTCCGGCGCGGTACTACATATTCCTAATAAGGCTAACAAGAGGCCAATTTTGTTGGCGAAGCCGGGATAAAGGTCATGAATGACTAGAGAAGAAAGGTGTATGGAGAAAAGTCCTGGTAAACAGACCTCAGGCAGCCACGCATCTAAAAGCAAGACATAACTACTACTACTTAACATATGTGCAGCATTTCACAGCACAAAGTGATTACTCGGTGATTTACTGGCCGTGTTTAGTAAGTAGTCAAAAGATCCATGGGTCCATAGATTCTACCTGCGATTTCCTTACTGACAAAGTCCTATTACTTCCAAGGTTGTATTTGAGTATAAGCTAATGACTCCTAAACTACCACCCGTCTTCCCCCTATCAGAAACCAACATTTTTTCAGGCCATCGGCTGTTTGGCTTTCTTCTAGTGAGGCAAACTCCACTTACTACACAAGTGTGTGGAGATATACCGGATTTCGAAAAAGACTGTACTTATTCGATCACCCCAAACTGGGATATCGGAGTACATTGCAATAGAGGTACATGCAGACTGTAATCAACAGGGGTCTCTCTCGACGATATGTGGCTGGTACTAGTAGCTGGGCCCGCTAAGGCTTGGCTGCTTTGCCCGGAGTTGTTCCCGATTAGGAAATAGTGATCATTTCATGCATCACCATCTGATTAGATTATAATTTTATCAACTTTCAGCCTGTTTTAAACGAAATGCCCGGGTCTGAATGTATTGAAGAGCTGACAGGACTTGGTAGCGAGTGTTCCAGTTCTTGTTGGGTAGGGCAATAAAGCCGCCCTTGGAAGACTGATGTGGATGAGTGATAGCCTCATATAGTCAAAAGCAAACGCTCCATCAACTATCAGCTCGCATGGCTTAGTGGTAAAGCGCATGACTAGTAATCATGAGATCCTCGGTTCGACTCCGAGTGTGAGCATTTTTGACCTCCTTTTTTACACTCCAGGGCTCTATTTTTTGGATTATCATTGTGTCTCTTTGGCTTATAAACACTAACACGATTTGCTCATTATTATATAGTCAGTCGCCTATATAGAAAGCGGGTTGAGATTCAAAGCCCGACTTACGCACCACGAATACAAACTGTGAGCCCCGGTTAGGGCTCCATCATAAATTCCGATGCTGGTCGTTGTAGGTGCCTTCGTATAGGAATGTGAATACCGAAGCTATCATAGTTAAAAACTAGGCGATATGGAAAGTTCTGTAATATAGGTAGCAGGCCCTAGTGCTGGTTAGAAAGCTAAAAAGATAAATAGCTAAAGCAAAAAATGCTCACACTCGGAGTCGAACCGAGGATCTCATGATTACTAGTCATGCGCTTTACCACTAAGCCATGCGAGCTGTTTGATGAAAGGCCTCTCACATCTTTGCATACATAGACCTGATACCTGGACAAGCTCCTTTTGAGGTACTATCGAAGGTGCTTTCAAAGGTTCATAAACTAACCGCCTTTTTCCAAGGTTCTATCTAGGATGATGACCACTTGGTTTTATTCCTCTATCTGATTAATCAGTGGCAGAGGCCGCGTACGCCCGTCGACATAATTGTCTAAATATTTAAAATAATTACATAAATACGTTATAAACGCCGATTTTGATTGTGTGCCTAGTAGGACACCCCATGGTCGTCAACCTTCAGGGATTCTCTACCTAGACAGTATCGCCGGGGCCTAGTTTTCTTAGGTGGACTTATAGCGAAATGCACCTATCCCGTTACTCCGACGTACTACCGTAATAATATAGACCACCTATTATGGAGTGGGAAAATGATAGTAAATCCATGGTTTTGGCCTGCTCCTGGCTACTCACAAATGGTTCGGCGCAGCCTTTGTGAAAGGGAAGTTAAGGGGAGGAGGAAAAAAAAAGATAAGCTCACACGCGGAGTCGAACCACGGATCTCATGATTACAAGTCATGCGCTTTACCACTAAGCCATGCGAGCTGGTTCTTGTTGAAACTCGGACTGCTTGGTTACATATGTACAAACGGATAGCACTAAACAAGAAAATTAGAAAGACTCACAGCCAATCTGTGTCAAGAGTAGTTGAGATAGAGACAAAAAAATTGCTCACACTCGGAGTCGAACCGAGGATCTCATGATTACTAGTCATGCGCTTTACCACTAAGCCATGCGAGCTGATTGGTGGACCTGATCGATCTTTTGACTATATGAGGGAAAACAGTAGAAGGGTTTTGGATATAAGGAAAAACACTTAAGAGACCGAGCATCTCATGGTTACAAGTGATACGCTTTGCCGGGCTACATTTATTGAAGATTCTGTTCTTAGCGTACAGAGCCCACAGTGGGACCTCCGAAATATTGGGCTAAACCCAGGCAGTTAAACCCAACTTTATGGCACGTGACCTGGTCGAGGTTGGCAGTATATTATAGACAGGCGGTGCACATGTATATTGGGGACCACTCGGCTCTCCAGGGTTATATACAGGAATTAAGCGCCACGTCCCGTTGTGTTATGGGAACGGGCCAAAAAGCTCCCAGTCACCGAGAATCGTGGACACTAGTCTATTAAGCCATGGAAACATTGTGAGATCGCCGTAGTTTGGAAGAGTATGTATGATGCATTTAGAAAAAATGCAAAAAAAAAAATAATCTGAATGCTCACACCCGGGATTGAACCGGGGATCTCATGATTACGAGTCATGCGCTTTACCACTGAGCCATGCGAGCGTATATCGCACAATTTCTCGGTTCTATCATTTTTAAGGAGAAGACTGTATTTGGAGCATAAACTAACTATATAAACCAGGGGCCTTATTTACGTCTACAACAGAATGCAGAGCAGTTGAAACGCCTCAGATAAAACGTATTAATCGCCATCAGCTTCCCTTTCCACAACACGAGACCGATTTAATTGCCGAGAGGCGTGACCCCAAGGTAGGTAAAATAGTGTGTTAAACTATATATATATCCAGGGGCATGTCGTTCCTGATTCCTGTATGTATGGTTGTGTGTTTAAATTCAGACTTTTACATTCAGACTAAAATATATATATCAGCACTCGCACCGTCGCTACTGAATAATACACTACATATGTAAGTACCAAAGGAGTGCAGGGTCTATAAGTTCATCACCTCGTCGGTAGAGAAGAATAGGTTTGTCAAGCCGACCAACTTGAACATGTCGTTAATAGCAGTGTGGTGTCTCTGCACCGTCCCATTGTACTCGTATGGCAAGAAGTTCCGGGGATGGGCGGCCAAGTCTTCAGTCCATAAGATGGAATAGCTGGATTAAAGGCACCAAGATATGCAATGTGGAATGAGACACAGTTCAAAAAAGAAATATCTTAAATGGCATTTCGTGCTGTTGTAGCTGGTATCATTATGAAAATCGAATGCAACGCCCGCGTTAAAAACAATCAATCCTCATCCTCATCGGGGTCGTAGAGATCAAGGTCCAGCATCGCCTTGGGCTTTGGTTTCGGTGCTGGTGCTGGGACATGCGCCCGCGGCATTCCAGCGGCTGATGACCCGGCCTGAGCCGCAGCCCTTGCAGCCTCGCCCGCCTGCTTTGTGCTTTCCGCTGGTTCCACCGCTGCGGGCGGTTCTGCGGCCCCAAGACCCTCAGATTCGCGTAATAACCGCTCGACCTCCTTTTCGGGATCATCACCAGCAGAAAGCTGGATTTGACCCATCAATCCCATCCGTATCCGTTCCTCCATCGGGTAGGGCAGCATGTAGACCTGGCGCGTAACGTTCGCGGAATCGTCCAACCACTGCGTTGCGTTTTTGGTGACAGATGCTACTGGCTCGGCGCCCTCGTCTGTTGGTTGTTCTCCGTTCATTCCCGTCATCGTCACATCTTTGTCGGCGAGGGGTTTTCCTTGTTCTTGCCGTTTCACATCGCCTGTTGCGGCGTCGGCTGCTGCTTCGTGGTTGTATTTGCTGATGCGACGTGCAAAATCCAAGAGTAACCTGTAGTCAATCTCTTTGATTCCCCGCAGCAATGAGTTCTTTCCCCCAAGATCGTCATCGGAGTCAGAATCGAGATCGCTGTCGCTGTCACCGTTGTCCCCACAAGCTGTGCGGATCTCTTTCTCGAAGCCTTCAATGTCCCCCACGATGCCCTTGACTCGGTCCTCCAACTGCTGTGCCTCGTTTCGCAGTCGAAGGATCTTTGCGTGGTTTTCTTGGTGCTGTCGAAGGGTTTCAATGGCGGAGGTTAGCGCATCGTCCGAATCGAGCAGGGCGACAGCTGCTGCGGGGGCTCCTGCAGCAGTGGGAGAGGTTGTGAGGCTAGTCAGAAGAGCATTGAGTTTGGATTCGACATCAGTCAGGGCCGACTGGACAAGTGCGTTCATTGTTGGGTTGTGTTCTTGGAGAGCGGCAGCGCGTGGAAATGAAAGGGCCGAGCTCCGATGACAGGTCACGTGGATGGTACCATCTGGGATAAGCGCGACAATTGCAATAATTACATGAGTTTCTGATTTTCTAGGGTTTTGAAGTCTATGTATTGCACAGTTAAATATCGCCTTTGTCCTTGCTGGCGGTCCGAGTGGGGGTGACAGAGCCCGGGTATATAACGATCGCCCGGCCACTTGGGAACCCCTCCGGGTTTGCTCAACTTCTAACTTCTAGTTGACTGAAAAATGACCGAGTCAAGTTTGTCTTCCGCTCAAGTGGACTTGAGCCCTCATGTGACAATCCAGCCTCCTCTTTCTCGCTGTGGACACGGTCCAGGACTGATTCTCATTCGACCTCTTTGTTACGCGACATGTCAGCAGCAAAACAAGACGCTTGATCCAGAACCCCTCAAAAAATGGGCAGAGGAAAGCTTTACAGTGGCGCAGATTACCGTGGATGAGAAGTCTGCCATTGATATATCGTCTCTACGAGAGCTTCTTCAAGAAGCTGAGCGTGGCTTAACAGAGAGGCTAGAGTGCGACACGAAGGAGAAGCTTGGATTGATAGGTACTGAAGTGTTGACCCAGTTATTCAACTAGTCTCTACTGACCTTAGCTCAGTGTACGGATCAAAGGAAGATTATGCTCCCCAGTTTGAGGGCAGTCTGCAAGGTGCACTAGTTCAAGGCACAGCTCTGATCGCCGCAGTATTTTTCGATTCTTGGAACATTCCATTCTTCCAGTCAACCCTTTTCCAGCTGTCTAGCCCAATAAAAGGTGAGAAGAAGGAAGAGGAAGGAAAAACCACACACATATACTCCAACGTATCCGCTCCCAGCTTCATGATCCCCGGCCACCCCGATTTCAAGATATCGACAGCAGGAGTAGCTCACACGCGGAGTGTCGGATTTGTTAAAAAGCACATGGGCGGCCCATTTTTTGACCTTGAGAAGATCTGGGACGAGCACACGTATTATGAATTTGAAGTGCGCTCGGTCGAAAAGACAATGGCGACGATGGTCTCGGAGCCTTACGTGAACCATGTGCCAACTCTAACAGGAGGCATTGGACGAGCTCGTTTAAGTCACTTTTATCTCAATCACTTCATCTTCAACAACCCCGATGATACAGCCTTGGAGCTTATTAGTCGGACAGTCGGCACCGACCGTATTGTGGACGAGTTTATATTTGTCTTCACTCATGTGAAGGAGATAGACTGGATGTGAGTGTTTCCCTGTGATTGAATCGAGCAATCAACTAACATCTTCACCCTTAGGATCCCCGGAATTCCTCCTACGGGCAATCACGTTCGCGTTCCATTTACATCTGTAGTCAACATCCGCGGAGATCGCTTATTTCATGAACACATTGCATGGGACCAAGCAACAGTACTTGTGCAGCTGGGTCTATTACCCGAATATCTGCCTTTCCCATATGCACTGCCCGATGGATCTGTGCCAGCACATGGGAAACGGTTCGAGTACCGTGTGCCAGCAGCGGGCGCCGAGAGTGCCGCGAAACTCCAGAATGAGCATGAAGTGCCCTCTAACCAGATGTTCGAGTATAAGATCCGTGAGGTCAATGATTGAGGGATTAATTCAACTGTGGAATTAATGAAGTAAACCAATTCTAGGCAACAATGCATAATCGGAATCTCCGTCTGAATGTTGTTCTCGGAGTACCCCGCAAGTCTGTGCTCAACAATTCCATTCTGTGCCTTGTACGGAGCTCAACCCCGGATTTAGTATAGCGTTGATGGATTGAAAGACGAATCCTGGGGAATCTCATCTCTTATTGGTTTGTTATAAGCGATGTCACGCTTTGACATCATCACGCATTTCGCAGAAAAGGAACGCTGACCAGATTTCCCACATGGCTAAGCTTGGCTTACACTGATTGGCAGGGAAGTTTACTAGGTCAACTAGTATACACCTCTCGTTGTCCAGTGGATCATATACTCCACCTGGGTATCCGTAGACCTCCGGGTTCCCGGCATTAATATACAATAGAACACAGAAGATCTAAACGGCCTCCCCGCGTTTTTATTTTGCTGTTCTGGGGTCAAGATGGTCATCGTATTACTGCTGACGCTGGCTTCAGCGTGTCTGGCCTCCAAATTACCTGTGGTTGATCTGGGATATGAGCTACACCAAGCAATTTCATTCAATGTCAGCTAAGTCTTTTTCACATTCGGGATTTGAATTTATTATCTAACACTCGGAATAGAGCTCCCATGGCCTCTATAATTTCAGCAATATCCGCTATGCGGCACCTCCAGTTGGTGACCTGAGATTCCAGGCACCTATACTCCCAAATGAAAACAGAGAACACATCCAGAATGGCTCTGTGGGAAAGATATGCCCACAGGCAGCCCCATTGTGGTCGACAAACGTTCAACCGGCCTTCCTCTTGAGCTACTTCTATAACCAGTCCTTCTCTCAATCCACCAACATCTCTTCCTATGGGTACAAGGCGGCGGAGCAAGACCCACGCACCACTGAGGACTGTCTATTCCTTGACGTTGTTGTCCCCAAAGACATATTCGAACGTACAAAGAACAAAACCGCGGCATCTCGAAAGAACTTGGCACCGGTGCTGGTGTGGATCTATGGCGGAGGGTATGTGGGAGGAGACAAAAGTAGCTCGAACCCAACCGGGTTGATCCAGCGAAGCAGGCTGGGAAACAATGATGGGATTGTCTACGTCGCCTTGAATTATCGAGTAAGTCAGAACGATAACTCTAGGTTGGTGCCGTGAAAATGCTAATTTCGCTCCAGTTGGGTGCATTTGGCTGGCTTGGTGGTGACAGTATCACAGCCAATGGCACCGCCAACGCAGCACTCCACGATCAACGGTTTGCTCTTGACTGGGTATATAAGAATATTCACCTTTTCGGTGGAGACGCAACCCGGGTCACAGTTATGGGAGAGTCTGCCGGAGCAGGATCAATCCTTCATCAGATCACCGCCTATGGAGGCACACGGGGTGCTGCACCCTTCAAGCAAGCGATCTTGCAGAGCCCGGGCTGGGTCCCCGTCATTGGTGAAGAGCAACAAGAAGACACCCTGCAGCAGTTTTTAGGGATTCTCAATGTTAGCACGATCGAACAAGCCCGGAAATTGCCATCGGACAAATTGATCGCCGCCAATGCGTACCAAGTCGCGACCAAATCTCAGTGGGGACAGTTCACCTACGGGCCCGTTGTGGACGGCAGCTTCGTGCCTGCTCTGCCGGGGCAACTTTTGCTTCGAGACGATTTCGACCACAACTTGAACATCATGGTTGGCCATAACGCGAACGAAGGGTTGGTCTTTACTTCGCCCGACAGCGTTAACAGCACCGGTCTGGAAACTCAAATGAAGACCTTGTCACCGAATATTCCGACAAATGTGTCCGACTTTGTCTCGGATGTCCTCTATCCACCGGTCTACAACGGCTCCTATGGATACACCGACTCGGTCGCGCGCACGGCGCTCGTCATCTCCGATCTCATCTTCCAGTGCAATACCGATTATATCAATCGTGCTTTCTACAACGAGACCTATGCGTATAAGTTCAGCATACCACCCGCGCTACATGGACAGGATGTCTCGTACACTTTTTACAATAACGGGAGTGGTTCTTCGCCCTCGGGGGTTGCCAATGTGACTGTGGCGTTGGCCATGCAGGACTATTTCACTAGCTTTGTCCAGCATGGTGTGCCGAAGTCTCCACTGGCACCGGTTTTCAGAGAACATGGCCAGCATGCACGGCTCATGAACATTGGCAATCACACTATCCAGCCGACGCGAGACCTGACCAATAACCCACGCTGTCGGTTCTGGCAAAATGCGCCCTATTATAAGGAAACTTGAGCCTGTATGTTGTATTGTGTTATAGGTACGATGTACATATGATGTCTAGTAAATATGTGGGCAGGGTTTAAAGTGTCTGAGACAATTAAATGAGAATGACGAGATATCCTTCGCATACTACACCATCCACGTGTTACGTAGACGAGGCCGATTGGACTATGAATAAAGAAATAGTCTAACTAGGTAGCTAGGTACCTAGGTACCTAGGTAACTCTTCAGCATGATTCAGATGATTCATTCTGAGACAAAGGGTCTTAAAGTTTGAGGGAATTTGGCCTTCGGGACATTGTACTCGTATGTCAACCGCTTATATAGCCTAAAGGCTGGGGTTTCTTGGTTTGCCAAGATTTTCGAAGTTCTCGATGTTTTCTATCCTATCACATCCATGGAGGTCCACGCTAATAATTCCCCCATTGTTGGCAATGTTGGGGGCCGTGGATTTTCAGGGTCCAGTACGAGGTACATACGGAGGAAGGGACGGGACTTTCAATCTTTACGGGATCTTGTCTGCGACTTTTTGATCATTTGCTCACTTACCATATTAGGGTTTCGCACTCTTGTCTTAAATCGTGTCGATCTATAGCCAGGAGCGGTTCGGCATCCGCGCACCCCGATGAAATCCCACGATTCCTCGAGAACCTTTGAAGTCAGTTTCGAAGGATTACGCTAGAGCGAAGATCGTTAGACCATCGTAGGGAACTGGTACTCCGTAAGAATGGTGTATATACCTAGGCAGCAGGAAACTGAATAATGCCGGATCCGTTCAGATCGGCACTGTTCTAATATGTACTCCGTACTAAATACTAATAGATACGTGCTCTCAAGAGTTATACACGAGTCTGCAAGTCCAGTCAAAAAAAAAAAAGGAAGGGAAAAAAAGGAAAGAAGTTTGAGACATGAAAATTCCAGGTGAGGCTCTCAATAATGAAAGCAGAGTCAAAGATACTAAGAATAGCCCCGAAGAACCACTAAAAACGAGTGAAACATGCTCGGTGGATAAAAACCAACGCTAAGCTTTCAAAGTTCCGGTCTTATATATGTACTATTAGTATTGCTTAGTATACTTAGTATACCTAGTAGTAGAATATTATAAGAGTAGAAAAACCCCAGAACCCTGGAAGGTTAAATCTTATCTCTCTCTCTCTCTCTCTCTCTCTTTCTCTCTTTCCTTTCTACTTTCTTCTCTCTACAGTTCACTCTCTTTCTATTTCTATCCTTTACTTCATAATACCCCCACTATGCTGCTGTGGACAATCCTCTGCCTAGGCGGTGCTGTGGCTTCTTCCATCCCCAACCCTCATAAACTCCGACTCCCTTACGTTCCTTCTTCCCACAACCTCGAAGATGGCGTTAGATCAAGACTCGTGGGTGATACATATTTTATCAATTAGTCGTCACACTAACATAATACAGTCCATAAGTTTATCCATCCAAAATGGAAGCCTATACGCCAATGAACACCAACTTTATCCTCCATCAAAGATAATGCAGCTCCACGCGCCCCTCTATGAATTCAACCCCAGTGACGAGACCGTGGAATTATCCTACACGCTCGACACTCAAACACTCCCCACAGACAAAATGGAATCCACGGCGGATATGATCCGCGTGCGAGTCGAGTGGTTCGATCTGCAGGGAAACCTCGTGTCACCGGACGCAGTGGTCGTCGACCTTCTCGCCTTCCAAAATGGAAAGTACGAGATGTCTCGTCTCCGCGTCGAACCAGCTCGTGGCAGTGATAAGGGAGATCATGTTTCCCAGAAGAGCCAGACGTGGGTGATTAATTACTGGAGGACACAATTCGGTTCCATTTTCGACAAGCCCAAGATCAAGGCCAAGACCACGGCACCAACCCGCGATTCATTCCCGGTTACGGAAGATTCCGTTCAAAACCGTGCTACCAAGGTCATCAGCGGTAAAGCCACAACCGACTCTGGACCGGAGACTCATTTCTTTTCCTTCTGGGCCACTCCAGCCCACCTTCACCACCACGCTGAACATCGTCGTCCTCACCACGACCGCCATCACAAGAACGCCTTTATGCGAATCATCCGGCCCATTATCCTTCCTGCTTTGCTGGGTACTGCCGCTGGGCTGGTGGCTTGCTTGGTCGGGTTCTTCATCGGAGAGCTACTGATGTCCTTGGGAGTGAGTCTTGGATGGCAAAAGGTACTCGGCGACAGGTCACGGATTATCTCAGTGGAAGAAGGCACGGTTTCTGAAAAGACCCCCATGGTGCCGCATGTTTATGTGACAGACACTGCCGAGTCAGATGTATGACTCGGCCTAGGCGATATGGGCGGCATCTGATTTTCGGTTTCTGTCACGGCGTTTTCTTGCATTAACATACCCTCATACCACGTTTTTCTTTTCTTTACCTTATATATATCTCTTCGTACTGATCTGTATCTATGACTCTATCACAATACACCTGGAAATGAGCATTTTCTGGGATGAGAGATCTCCAATATCCATTGGCCCAAGATAGTGTCATATTTTGCCCGAGTCTACATCACAAGGCCGGCTGGCCCAATGGCAAGGCGCTTGACTACGAATCAAGAGATTGCAGGTTCGATCCCTGCGTCGGTCACTACATTTTTGCTTCTGTCTGCTTTGACAGATAAAATTTTTGTTCGACTCCACCGGACCCAGCCCGAGCCGGTTCGGCATCGCCGGCATCGCCGGCATTGCCGAGGGTGGAGGGTGTACGGTTGTAGACATCTGTATTTTTTTTTTCGCATTGCCGCCCCTGGGGAATCTGATGGACTTGGATAGGCTTCAATTTACAGAGTATATCCTTCCAATTTCGTAGAGGGGGTTTGGGATTGAGATTTTGCTCTATTCAAAATTTTATTGATTCAGGCCGATCCACGTTTCGACTTTTCATGGCGACGAATATAAATATGTAATCTACGACATAAATATTGAATAAGAAGCATCAGCACTTGCGATCGAACCACATCTTCTCCCCATTCAAAGCGGGTTCCACATCCATGCCCATTGCCGTGGCAATTCCATTGGAACCCACTATGAATTCGGTTGCGTAGTAACCAGAGAGAGATCCGATTTTCTTGGGTTGGTAGTGATGCGCCACAAAGAACTCCCCGCTTGCATGGGCGAGAGTGATAAGGGAAGGTACAGCACGGTCCAGTAGGTCCGCAACCAAACATCCGTTTCTGAGGGATAGAGTGATAGAACTGTACGCGGGATGCTCATATCTCCCCGCATACTGGCTTAACTGTAGAGAATGGGAAATAGCAGGATCGGGGAGAGACGGATAAAGCCGTTTGATGGCTTCTTCCATACACTCCGACCTCGCCTTGATCCTCCTGTTTTCTGCTTCGGTCGCCTGGCCCACTGAGCGTGGGATCCCTGGCCCACCGGAAATCTGATCCAGAAGGTGCATGTAAATCTCCACCTGCGCATTCCGGGCATTGGTTGTGTTACCCATCATAGCAAAGCCAAAGCCTTTGCTCGGTACGAAGCCCACCATAATGCCGAATCCGGCCCAACTCCCACTGTGCCAGTACAATGGCTCGCCGCGGTAACTACTCACAAACCACCCCAGAGCATAGAGATGACATGGGACCGGAGGAGGTCCCACAAGCTCCTCCCAATCTGTGATGACCGTGCGTGGCTTCAGCAGTTCTGCGTGGCCTTGTGGAGAGATAGGACCCTTTTGGTAGATCATCGCGCGTAGCCACTTGGTGTACTCGAGTACGCTGCTCACCATAGCGCCGGCTCCAGTGATAGCGACATCGTTCATGAAGGGTTCTGCGATGTAAGTTTCGGTGTCTGGGTCCCAGGTGTAGCCCTGCACGAGCCGAGGACGAAGAGATGGGTCCTCCGAGACATCTGTCACGGAGAAATACGTGTCGTTCATCCCTAATGGATCCCAAATGCGTTTCTTGAGAGTCTCGCCGAGATTTCTGCCTTCGATTTGTTCCAATGCATGAGATACAGCCATATACATGTTGTTGTTGTAAGAGAAGGTAGTGCGGGGAGCGTAGGCTATAGAAAGATGTCGCAAATTTCGAACTGCTTCACGTAGTGATCTCTGGGGATGCGCTAAACTTAGACAAGCGTCGTGAGTCGATAGCCCTGAACGGTGCGATAGAGCATCTTCTATGGTAGTATGCATTGTGTTGTAGTCTTTCCCCAGCACGAAATCATCTCTCAGTATGGATGCCATTGGTGTGTCCCAGCGAAGGGGAGATTCGGTATTCCTGCTATCGTCGATGGCGAGAGACATGGCCGCTGCGGTGAATGCTTTGGTGGTGCTACAAGTAGAGAAAAGAGAATCGGTGGTCATCTTGCGATCAGGAAACTGAGCGAATCCATACGCCTAAAATGTAGTTTAGTGATATGCACTCTATGCTCATCAAGTGAATCATGTCTCCATACCTTTGACCAGGTGCTGGAGCCATGAACCACTGCCATGGATAGTCCGGGGACTTTCCATTTATCCATCTGCTGCTGTACCAAGGCATCGAATTCCAAGGTCAATGGTGAGTTTGAACTTCTGAGAACCATTTTGATAAACAAAACTGGGTTATCAGTAATAATTGGAACTCTCTAGGTTGCCCTGGAGGTTTGCATAGAAGGGGGATTTTTGTAGCGGGGAAGTCGAGATAAGCGCCTCGTGGTCCAGGCAGTAGTGCCGGAATCAATGTAACGTCAATATTATTAGTACATTAGTGATTTGGTACATTAGTACAGGTTGGGATTAGCCTATAGAGTAGAGATAAGAGACCGTTGTCAACACGGTACTCCGTATACTGACAAAACCTCAGCCTTGTGGGTAGGGAGTCAGGGATAGTTCAGCCTTGAGGGTATAGGAAGTTAGGGATAGCGGTCTGAAATTTGCCAAGGGAAGGGTGACTTTATGCAGGTTCCCAGGTAAACAGAGCTTGACATCTGGACGAATAGGAGCTTCAATTGATGCAGGCTTTGACAACAGCGGGAACATGCCGGTGAGTACGGAGTACAGAGTACACACAGCTGCATTTGCTACATATGTAGACAAATGTTCAGCTTGCTTGGCGCATGATGCTGTATTATATCAAAATGTCAACAAATGCGCCAGGAAATAGGACTGACTCTCGTACCCTGTACCTACTCCATACTCTGTACTGATCAGGGGTCACAATTTCACGTGATGTCAAGCCTATAAAAAGTTTCAGGGTTAGTATATGTGCATAGTGTTTTACGTTATGTGGAAGGGGTACGGACATAGTTATAATCAATCTGATTATTCTATATGGAGTACTCATAATACTATGTTGTATGTGCATTATTTTGGCTATTTATGTGGAGTATTGTAATATCTCGCATTCAAAGTGGATGTTTGATTTCGATCTGCGAAAGATTTGAATAGTTTAATGAAAAGGAAAAATAAGGAAAAAAGCAAAAAAAGGAAGGAGAAGATGCAAATCCGAATGATTCCAATTCTAATACGGAGTACTCCGTAACTCCGTACATACAACATAGTAAATGTTATGTATCTCAAATCTTCCCAATCCCTTTCCAGGGGCCTCCCTTGACAACAAGCCTCGATCAGCAGACGGGACAGAGTACTCGGTACTCTACTCGGCAGACACAGCTTTGGAATAGTCCTTTGGTAATAATAACTAATAAATAATACCTAGGTAGATAGTATGTAATAGTAAATAAGTGTGGCGTTGTTCAGCCACAGTGGCGAAGTTGAACTGAGTTTCCCAATTTTCAATAGTGCGATCGGGACTCCAGCGATTCAACAATTCAGATTTCCAAGGTACGAATCCCCGGTCCCCCGATTCGGATTGATCTCCACCCGATTCGACCTCTCAACATTGTTCAGATCGGCCAAAAAGGAATGGAAAACCTTGGGAACCCCATGAACCGCCCTCATGAACCACCATGAGCCACCATGAACCACCTATCAATCCTTGGTTTACCCCTGCAGCCACACGGAGTTCTCCATCGGCAAAATGGGAGGGCTCCAATAATGGAGAACATCGTGAAAAAGCCAAATTCTGAAATCTGAAATCCAATTCATTAAGTGGAGTAAGACCCCCCTTGGCGATTGGATGAACCTATAAGATCGGCATCGAGAAGGGGTGCGAGCTATCTCCGGGACGATCATCCCCCATTTCAGTGAGCAGATCCAGGATTTGGATACTGTGATGACTTCATATGGGTCAGGCAATGGATTCTCTCTCGCTCCTATAGCCACGTTGGGTAGCAGGACAGTCCCAACTGGCCCTGCGAGGTAATCCACACCTTCATGATGATTGGGCTGTATCGTCCGCATCGTCCACTCTCTTCCTCTTTTGTCCACGATGGAGACTCAAACTTATAGTCTGGGGCAGGTGGCTGGTGTGTTTTGATGCAGAGTTTGTTTTTCTTTTGGTTTCTCAGGGCTCTCTTTATAAAAAGACCCCCCCCATCTCCATATTTCTTCCAGTTTCCACTTTGCCGATTCTTCTTTCTCTAACACTCACCTACTACTCCGTATCCTCAATTCCTTTTCCCTAATCTCTAATCATGAAGTCCTTCACCCCCGTTGCTCTGGCCTTGATGGCCGCCTCTGGCGCCATGGCCGCTGACCCTTCTGCCTCTGAGTGCGCTGTAAGTTCGATTTACTCCATGTTGAATCATGCTCAAAGCTAATCTCATCCCATGTTATAGTCCATGTGTCTCTCCAACATGAGCAACCAGGCCGCCGACTTGGGTTGCAAGGCTGGTGACGTCGCCTGTCTCTGCAAGAGCGACAACTACAAGTTCGGTATCCGTGACTGCACCAAGGAGGCCTGCCCCAACGACGACGCCGAGAAGGTTCTCGCTATGGCCGTCGCCAAGTGCCCTGGTACGTGACTACCCTAGATCATTTCCATAACACTTGATACGGTAAACTAACATTATATCGCAGGTGGTGTTGCTGGCTCCGACGCCGACTCCGACTCCGACTCTAGCTCCAGCTCTGCCTCCGGCTCCGGTGCTGGTGCCTCCACCACTGGCTCTGATGCCAGCGCTACTGGCACTGATGCCTCTGGCTCCAAGACTGCCACCGGCTCTGACGCCAGCGCTACCGGCTCTGACGCCTCTGGCTCCAAGACTGCCACTGGCTCTGACGCCAGCGCTACCGGCACTGGCGCCTCTGGCTCCGTCACCGGCTCTGCTTCCGCCACCGGCTCCGTCTCCACCGTCACCGTAAGACACACTTCATCTTCTCCTTACGAATCCCGCTGACCATATCTCTAGAGCACTGACGCCTCCGGCTCCATGGTGACCCGCACTAGCACCGGCGCCTCTTCCACCTCCACTGGCTCCGGCAGCGGCTCTGAGTCTGACTCCGAGTCTGGCAGCGGCTCTGCCACCGAGTCTGGCTCCGGCTCCGGTACCGACAGCTCTGCTTCCGGCTCTGCTTCTCCCTCCCCCAGCGAGGGTGCCGCTGCCCCCATGGCCACTGTTGGCAGTGGTGCTATGGGTGTCCTCGGCATGCTCGCCATCCTCGCCCTGTAAATTTCCCACATTTGAAGGCGTAGAGTCCACTCTCATGTATCCCTCTATCAATTTATGGGCTACGATTCATGTGTCGCCGTCTGGCTTGTATAGGTACAATATGGAACGCGTTCATGGGTACAATCACGTTTTGTCTTCTTTTTACTCTACGGAGCTGTTAATTTAATGTCGAGCTTAATGAATGAAATCTATCTTATGGCATTTATCCTTCTACTCCGTACTGAAGCGTTGAACAGGAAATCAAACCCTGTTTTGTTTGAACCCAAATTGCCTGACTTTCAATGCTCCAGATGTCCCATAACGTATGTAGTTATAGATCTGACATGGCCGTAGCTAACCTTTGAAGGTATCCACAATACCTGTGAACCTAATTACTATTGTTAGCGTCTCACTGATAAAAAAAAAGCATGTGGATTTCCATGTGATTGCGACCGGTGCTCGGTGCACATAGTACACATGTAGGTAGATCTCACCTATTTTTCCAAGTACTTACACATATGTTGTAGTTATGCAATATAGGTAATGTATATCTGCACTGCATCTACTCCGTATATATTTTAGGAATATAGAGAGATATAGCAATAAAACCTAGTCCTAACGCGGCCATCCTTTATTCCGCGGAGGAAACGTGGAGTAGTTGAGCTTTCCCGTTCACCCGGACCAACGCACTCGGAGGCCCCCGACGTTATATAAGAAGAGCATACCTATGTCAATTCCTATAAAGATCAAACCATCCTCAAAGTCTCATACAATATTTAGTGCTACAGTACTGTAGACTCCCTTTCTACGTGCTATCTACGGGAAGTCTATTTTTCCGTTGCCGAGCCGAGGCACACCTTCGTCCGGGGAAGACCAGTCGGCTTCGGTTTGTCGGTCTCTCAATCATTAGATCTCCGGTCTTTTTTTTTTTACTTTCTTATTGCACTATTAATTACTTCTACAGCTTACCCTTAGCACCTGTCCTGTCTTCTCCTTCCTCTTCCTCTTCTCGTTCTCTTCCTCCATCCCTATCTCTTCCCCGCTCCGAATCGCCCACAATGTCCACCTCTACCACCCCCACACAAGAGCTGAAAGACGAGCTCAAGGTCGTCGAGACCAAGGCCGTCAACCAGACAATTGTACAGCTGCGCTCTCTCGCAGCTGGTGCCGCTGGTGGTCTCTGCGCTGTGATTGTCGGACACCCGTTTGATCTGGTGAAGGTGCGCCTGCAGACGGCCGAGAAGGGCATTTACTCGGGTGCCATGGATGTGGTCAGGAAGACAGTTGCCCGTGAAGGATTGGCCCGAGTATGATTATCACGAGCACATCGAATATTTCGCGACCGAACTGACAATGGTGTCGTAGGGCTTGTATGCCGGTGTCTCCGCACCGCTTGTTGGAGTCACTCCCATGTGTAAGTTCTCCAGCATCAGCTATAATGGCTCTCACATAGCAATTGGCCGAGTTATGCGCTAACCAGTCCTGTTTTACAGTTGCTGTCAGCTTTTGGGTACGTTTGTTTAATTTAATATTGGAACCCAGAGCAGCCGCGAGCCGGTCGGAAGCAATGCTAACAATACATTAGGGTTACGACGTCGGCAAGACTCTCGTGAACAAGTTCTCCACCGTCCCCATCAAGAACGATACCCCGCAGTACTCTATTGCACAGATCTCTTCTGCAGGTTTCTTCTCCGCTATCCCTATGACTCTGATCACCGCACCCTTCGAGCGTGTCAAGGTTCTCCTCCAGATCCAGGGCCAGAAGACTCTTGCCCCGGGTGAGAAGCCCAAGTACTCCGGTGGTATGGATGTTGTGCGTCAGCTGTACAAGGAAGGTGGTGTTCGCAGCGTGTTCCGTGGTAGCGCCATGACGTTGGCGCGTGATGGTCCCGGCTCCGCCGCCTATTTCGCGGCCTACGAGTACATCAAGCGCTCCTTGACCCCCAAGGATGCCGAAGGCAATGTGACGGGCGAGCTCTCCCTGTCTGCCGTTGTGTGTGCTGGTGGTGCTGCCGGTATCGCCATGTGGATTCCTGTCTTCCCCGTTGACACTGTCAAGTCCCGCCTGCAGAGCGCACCGGGCAAGCCTACTATGAGTGGCGTTATCCGCTCAGTTTACGCTAGCGGCGGTTTCAAGGCCTTCTTCCCTGGATTTGGACCAGCTCTCGCTCGTGCGGTGCCTGCTAATGCCGCCACTTTCCTTGGCGTTGAGCTGGCACACAAGGGCATGAAGAAGCTCTTTGACTAAAGTTGACGGGAATGCTTGTGTACATACCATGATTGATCTCTTTTTGCAGCGTTTTGTGTCCCATCCACGGATGGTTGTCTGCGACCATGATTTGGCTTTGATTGGTTTGCATCTTTCTGATCACGTCTTGTGTCATTTTAGATCTTTTGGTTGATTACCGATGTTCTATAGAAGGTCTCTTTTTGTGTGTGAGTGCTGGGAGTTAGCCATGTCACATTAGATCTAGAATGTGCACAAGCTTTGGGCAAATTTCATCATGAAATACCATTCGTACATGTAGGAATTGATCGATGTGATATAGGCAGCGTACTCACATCGCCTGAGACAATTGAGGCTCAACAAGGTTTTTTTTTTCCTATCTCCACTCCATATCTGCGCTATATCCAAACCGGTTTAAAGGGGCGAGGGGAAGAATTGGCCGAGCCAGCTTCACCTATGAGAGTGCTCTACAGCCTGGATTTAGCGCTAACACGGGGGGGCCATGGCTGATTGGGGGCGATGCATGGTCGGCACGGAGGAATTGGACGCCGATGATCTCAGGGGGTTCTATATTTATACCACCAGAGTATGATTTTGTGAACCTTTGAAAAGTAAATAGTCAAAATATGGCCATCTTAGTAGAGAGCAAGGAAAATGTTCAAGTTCCAACTACAACTGGAGTGAGGCTGATTAACGGGTACAAGGCAGGTACCTGAAATTGTAGGTGGAGAACCAGCAAACTTTAAGTACTGTAAGAGTACCGACGGGTCCGGCGCTAGCGGTCTGCTGCCTGCCTTTGTATCAGATAAAAGCCCCCATCTTCCCCTCTCATCTTTGCTCTTCCAACCTTGGTAGGTTTCCATCTCATTTTCCATCGAATATATATATTCACCATCGGTGTCGGCTTCATTATGTCCGTCACTAATGTCCTGATGCGCCGGGGCACCGAGCTTGTGGCTACTCACATGCAGTCATCGGATAAGCCTCAGCAGCAGCAGCCAAATGGAGGCGTGGTGGCTCTGTTTTCTATCACTGCTGTCTTGTTTTGTTTTGCTTTCTGGGCTGTAAGTGATACAATTTTCCAGATGTAATCTCATGGAACTAACACCCGACAGGTCGAGTATACCTACGGAATGGTGGTCGCGACTCTGGCTGTAGTTGAAGATACCAACCCCGATATCTACGTGCGCATTACTCCCAGTCCTGATCCCACCAAGCCATCCAACGAGGAAGATCCTGAGCTGGTTGCTCCTACTCCCCTCAAGCCTATCACCAGCAAGCTGCGCACCACTGTGAAGCACCTGCGCTCCCGTGCTGGCTACTGGTCTCGCTTCCGTGGAATGAACATGTTCGTGGGCTACACCGTGGTCCGCGGATTCCTGTCATCTTTAATCCCTGTTCCTACCACGTCATACCTGGGCCAGTTTATTGTTCAGTCTATTCTGAGCGTTCTCCTGGCTACTTGGCAGATGGCCTGGGTGCACATCGTCATCTCTGAGCCCTCCCCAAAGAGTGCCTACCAGCGTATCCCCAGCTATAAGACCTGGATTAAGATTGCGCCAGCTGCTGCTCTCCAGGATATTCTCACCGCTGCTGCTTTCTTCATTCCCATGGCCATTGCCAACTTTGCTGGCTGGCTCGATGTTGCCGGTGACCAGGATGTCCCACCTATGGTTGCCATCTACCGTTTTATGGGCGCCGGCGTGATTCCTGCTCTTCTGGCATTCCTAATCTCTATGCCTGCTCGTGTCATCTTTGTCCGGGTGGCTGCATCTATGCTTCCTGAAGAGGATGAGACTATTGTGCCGTTTGATCGCTCTTTCGGGGGTAAAGTCAGCCCTGCCATCACCGGTGGCAGCGGCAAGATCGGCCTCATGGATGCATGGACTACCTTTGACTGGGCTGCCCGTGTCCGCTTCGCCAAGGTTATTGGCAAGACATTTGCCATGGAGGTGGCGCTTGGTATCTTCGCCGCTTTGGTACTTGGTGCTCAGGTCTTTTGGATGTTCAAGACTGCCAAGCCCGTTGACTCAGATGCCCCTGGGTTCCAAATGAGCTGGGAATAAAAGACCATAGAGATCCGATGAATCTCAGATGGTAGATCGCGAAGAATGCTCTGGATGTGTGTGTAATTGATGCCTTTGCTATATCTATATCACTGGGAGAGATTGGAATGTTTGCCCCATACGATAGTCTAACTTGCTTTACGAACTACGAGATTCAAACATCATGACATTCCTAAGGTCCTCAAAAATCAGGTCTGCACCTCCAGATAGTAGCTGATTACGTGCCCATGGTGCATACCGCCTTCCCATCTTGGCCATTTAAACCCCGCTTTAGTCTTACCGCCTTCATTTCTTTTTACGCCCCTCACCTTCTCCTCACCTTATCCTCTTTGTCCTCCTTTTGACATTGAAATCGGCTTCGGATATCGACCGAATTTCCCATCTCTGTATTCTTCCTTTCTCTTCCCTGATTATCAGCATGGCAACTTCACCTGCCGGGCGCATGCTGTCCCGCCAACTGCAGCAGATGCAGTCCGATAAGGACATCCCCGGAATCAGTTGCGGCTTGGTCGATAACAACGTTTTCGAATGGGAGGTTATGCTCATGATATCAGACGATGTGAAGCTCTATGGAGGTATGTGATGATTGTGTTATATCGGGATTCAACGCCAGATCCCTGGGCTGGTGCCGTAGCAAACACAACGCCGCCTGGGGATATACGTTGTCCTGCCCAAAAGTGTGTTGAAGAATACTGACAAGTTTGCTTGCGTAGGTGGTTTCTTCCGGGCTCGTCTCTCTTTCCCACCAGAATACCCTCACCGGCCGCCAAAGATGAAGTTTGAATCCCCTATCTTCCATCCGAATAGTATGTGGTTCCTATTGAATGATTTTTCATAGACAATTCACTTACAAATTACTGCGATTCGATAGTTTACGAGAATGGCGACGTCTGCATTTCCATCCTGCATCCACCCGAGGAGGACAAATACGGATATGAGTCGGCTTCGGAACGCTGGTCTCCTGTGCAAACCCCCGAGACGATCCTGCTGTCCGTCATTTCTATGCTTTCCAGCCCGAACGATGAAAGCCCGGCGAATGTGGAGGCTGCTCGGCTATGGCGTGAGGACCCTGCGGAGTTTAAGAAGCGCGTCCGTCGGTGTGTCCGTCTCACATTGGATGACTAAAACACGGTTTAATTATTCATGGCAATTTAAGATGGTGGGTTATGATCTGATTTAACACGGGGTTGCAGGGGTTCTTTTTCTTCCCTTTCTTGTTCAATGTACCGTGGTGAGCGGTGGTTCTCTTCTTTATTGCATAGAGCGAGCAATGCTTTGCCATGCTCTCGATCTCTGGTTTCTCTGGTTCCTTTGTGGTGCATTTCTTTGCGATTTTCATGAGAGCTGGAGTTCAGTTCCTGACGTCTTTTGTCTCACTGGTTTGGGATCAAATCTATTTACGAGGAAACTCCTGAATATTTGACGTAAATTTGGCACAATCGTAGAGTGGCAATTCATCCCTTAGATATTGTTTACACCCTGATTAAGTATCGTTTCCAGCATAGACAAACAAACCGGAAGAAATGATTCTAAAACAACGCCAAAACGCAGAATCACAAGAAAACATGGCGTTTTATGCGCGGTTCTTGGGCGCGAAGCGCAGCGATGGAAGGAAGACTCCGGGATGGAAGATGGTGAAGGCCAGGCAGGCCAGAGCAATCATCCTAACGACGTGTCAGCTATGACTCCCCCCCAGAGCTTTCAAAGGAACCAAGAGGCCACTTACATTCCATCCAAGACAAGGAACTCATTCTCCTTCTGCATCAGCGGGTTTCCCCAGCCACCAGCCATCTCCGGGATACTAGACATCGAGGTCAGTAAAGTGCCTTATTTGACTCGGACATTGGCTCTTACCGATAGATACACCGAGTCAAGACTGTGAAATAGGCAAAGACCTCAGCGCCCACGACGAACGGCATCCACTTGGGAACAATTGGTGAAACATCGAGGTTCTTCTCTCCCGAGAACCCATCGCCGCGCTTGAAGACCCTCCAGAAGAAGACGACAGCAAAGAATCCACATACAGCCATGGTCGCAACCTGGAAGGCGATACCGGCGATGATAATGTTGTCGCCTGCTTTGAGCATCTCAAAGTCCGTATGTCCAGCCGCTGCAGCGACGCCACCTCCTGCAGCCTGCAAAACGAGAGATCCGATGTCGCATCCGATGAAGATCCAGGTGAAAAGGCGGGGCTTTAAGATTGAGTGTTCGGCTTCCCAAGCCCATAATGATATGCTTCAATGTCAGGTAGACACCCGCTGCGACAAAGGTCGGCGCGAGTACCAGGCACACGATCTGCAGCTTGAATGCAGGTCCGGACCATGGGTTGTCATGCATGAGAACCCTGCCAATGTACCCGGCCATTTCCATAAATGTGCCAATGAGGAGAGCCGTCAAGAATGTCCATGTTCTGTAGTAGAGGCCGAGACCGGTTTGGCATATTCCGAGCAAGCCAAAGAAGACGATGAAGAAGATGTTGCCGGCGAAATTGGGATAATAACCGTAAGTCGTGAGTTCAACGGGACATAGTGGGCCTACTTCGGAGCAAGTAGCGTAGCTCGCCATGTTGGGGTGAGATACGTGTAAACGAAAGGAAAGAGAGATGGAGCAGAGGAAGGAGAATAAGAGAAAGAGCCGGGTGAGAAAGTGAAGGTAAGTCCCAGGAGTGAGATGACAAGATGACCAGATCAAAACAAAAAGAACTGTCTAGAGTCTCACTGAGAAATCCCAGGAGAATTTGATATCAAATCATAAATTATCAACTATCAGGCAGGACTACGCCAAGGGACCGCAGCAACGACCGTTCCAGCAAGTGGAGCCTTCAATTGGATTAGACAGGCTGAAACTGCTCCAAAATGCATTGCTATTGGCTGTCCACTGCTGTCGTTCTCGTTCGTTCTCGTTCTCGTTCTCGTTTTCTCCACGTCGCTTACATCGGGATCCACTTGTTTTCTATAAGGCGCTTTGGTCCTGTCGGAGAATTGTTGCTTTTGTCCCGAGATCTTTTTGTCCGAGATCTTTTTCTTTCTTTCTAGAATCTATAAAATCTAGATATAATGTCGATCGGGACCGAGTTCATAGTTTCAAATCCTCTCTAGGGCTCCATTGAGACATGTGATCCTGTAATGATGCCTGAGTGTACGGGTATATTGACTGACAGGGGGGCGAAGCGACCATGGCTGTTTCAAGTGTCATGGTCAAATGAGAATCATCCGACGAAGAAGTAGACGGCAGAAATTATAAAAGACAAAACCATACAGAAGAGGGAAAACAAGACAAGTTGTGAATAGTTTTTCTTATAGTTCCAGTGCACGTGATCCCTTCGTATTATCTTCTTCTCTTCCGCATCTCAAAGGATCCGAGCCAACCGATTATATGGACTCTCACGTACCGAAGTCTCCCAGATGCCTCCTCGCAGAGCGCATACAAAATCCCGCCAAGGCTGCGACCAGTGCAAGAGACGTCGCGTCAAGGTTAGTTTTGGAAGCTTGGGATGGCCCCATAGATTTGATCCGGGCTCCATCAAGTAACGAGACTAACGACCGCAGTGTGACGAAAAGGGGCCACCGTGCTCCAATTGTATTTCGCGGGAACTCTCATGCACATATTTTAGAGCGCCGCCTCGGCCCGATTCGCAAATCAGCCAGTCCCCGGCCCCGTTGGCTAGAATAGACCCAAGTCCCCTGCGGTCTAGGATCCCTAGCCTAGCATCTTCCGTTTCTCCAACCACTTCAGGGGTGCGAGATCTGGAGCTTATGCACAAGTTTTCTACCGAAACTTTTAGGAGTCTTTGCTCTTCCAACTCGGAGCATCATGTCTGGCAAATTGCCATTCCTCGTCTGGCTCTTCAGTATGACTTTTTAATGAATGGCATCTTGGCCCTGGGGGCTCTTCATATTGCCGCCACCATTGAGCCACCGGCATCGCTGGTGTACATTGACGTTGCACTTCAATATCACAATCTCACATTTGCACCATATCGCGCAGCCGTTGACAGCATCAACCCACTGAATTGCGAGGCTGCGCTGGCGCAGTCCATTATCACCACTGTTATAGGCATTGCTCTGCCAAGAGTCACTGCTGCCCGCGGGGAAAGTTCAAGCATAACGGAGAATATTGTCGTCGTATTTGAACTCTTGCAAGGCGTGAGAAAAATCCACCGGATTGGTGAATCTTGGATGAAACTAGAGCTCTTTCGTCGAAGAAACTATTGGGATGCTGGATCAGCGGGTCTAGATAGCGATACGCGGGCTGCCCTGGACCGACTCGGTACTTTAAATGATGAGACCCTCGCCGGCATCGACCCCAATCAGCATCAGGTCAACAAAGATGCTATTGTCTACTTGCGGCACTTCTCAACCAGGGTGGCCGATTCTGTTGACCCTGCAAACGTTCTGGCCTGGCTCGCTATGATCGACAAGGAATTCGTGGACAATGTGCGACGCCGACAGCCTTTAGCATTGCTGATTCTCATGCACTGGGGTGTGTTGCTTGGGGAGCTTGATGGTCAGCATTGGTGGGCTCGAGATTCGGGCCGGGCATTGGTCTCTGAATTGTTGGATACACTGCATCCCGAAGATATTGAATGGGCTAACGCTGTGGCTTGGCCACAGAAAAAGATGGGTCTCTGATGTACTATACCTGCTTAGAATTTACATAAGGAAACAAACAATCGCCGTTCAGATACCACCCTTTGCCCTTCCTAAGCCTCATTCGAAACTGAATGGGAGGAGCAAGCACCGTCGAAAAGCGAGATGCAGCTCCAGCAAAAATTAGCAGTCGCCGCACTGAGGGAGATAGATAAAAAATGAAGAGTTACTAAATTGAATTTATTTTTGTTTAGAATGAATTAATTATGCTGGGAGGTGTACTCCAGATGCTAAACCTTGGAATCGGGCCGCTACCTACATATTTACACAGCCAGGTAGTAGACACCTGACTACAATTTAAACGCTAGGCTGAAAGATCAACAATCGAACAATCGAACAATCGAAACGCCTAACTGTGGCTGCAGCGCTATATATATAATAGCCCCTCGATTTCGCTAGGGGCCACACTAACTCATCCACACCTGGACTAGGATGTGAGACAGCACCAGGGCGTGCATGTGGGGGGGCATGTCAAAAATATTGATCAATATGACATTATTACCATCAGCATGTATGGACAAGTCTTTATCGAGATTAGATGCCGAGCCCCAAAGTTGGGAGATGAAGAAGCATGAATTTGTTGAAGGAGTCCATAGAGGTAGCATCGTTCGAGATGTAGATCCTACGAGACAAAAGCACGTTTTCGGTTAATTTCGAAAGATTTCCAAATTCACCGATGTCCCCCACGTTTGACCTAAATTAAGAGTTAGGGGACCAACAATAGCATTGAGGGGAATGGAAGGTCGACCTCACTACGGGAAGCTGATGAGGTCAACTGGATCATATAATACCCCTGGTCTACGGAGTAGAATTTTTGACTTAATATAATTAATAGATCTCCAAGGGGTTTCGGCCAATTAGACAAGTTAGCGAGGGTTGGGTATTGAGGAGAGAGAGACAAGAAGAGACAAGAGGGGAAAGTCTAGCGGCCCCCATGAGCTGTTTATCAAAAGTACCCTGCGCATATATACCTACATATAGGTAGTGATTGCAAGTGTCTCTCCAACGTGAGGCTACATTACTTGCTTACTTGCTTCCCTGGGTACGCCTGGCACCTGGGCATGCGTCATTTGCTTACTCTGAATAAATTAAACAAATCGTTAGACCGATTCTAATTGGCCAAAATCGTCGAGTATCCGTCACTTCCAAGGTTCCTTGTTTACGTGCTATCTTGGTACGGAGTATTCCGTACTTCTCACTTCTTACATCGTGAGATTGTGGGATCTTTTATGCAGGAGCTCAGCAAATCCGAGTGCTTAGTGTAGGCCAGGTTCACAATCCTTCCAAGTTGACTAGATATTTAGTGCACACCCCGACGACACGAGACATGCCAACATGGTTACCGTTATCCTGTCTTCCTTTCATCGAACCATGGGAATGCAAGGCTCGCAGCGCATGGGGAACTCGACATTTTTTATTAATATCGAAGACGTGCGCAAAAATAGTCTCGACACCCGTGTTTATCCATCCCAGCAAGCAGCATACATACACTTCCTACTGCCAATCAGGTCATGCCATCGTGTTGGAGTTCAGATCTCAATAATCCCATTTTCCCTACGTGGATTTCAAGGACAAACCTTTCACTTTGCGCAAGGGGCCTTTACACGCTGTTGTGACCAGATTCGAGACGGTGATATCATTTTACCTATCAGTGATGTAGCAGAGGCTATATATAAAACTTCTGTTCCCTGGCACAAATGGAATTTAAGGGCACCAGGCTTCTGGTAAAGTTCCCCAATGCAGATAATACAGGTGTAAATGTGAAACTGATCAAAAGTCCATATACAGGAGCGAGCTTCATCCCACTTCTCGCCCGTACTCCCGAGTTGATATATGCATGGACAGTGCGAGCAAGCGATTGGAGCTGCTGATGACGCAAACCAAGGCCTTAGAACTAGCCGCGTCCACAACTAACTTGCATTTTATCGACGAAAGTGACGTGCAGCCGTCAAGCACCAGCTCATATTCGCACACCAGGGCCAGCTCTCGCGACACGTCCGAGTTGGCGTCTGAAATCCAGCACCCCCTGAAGAGAAAACGGAAGGACGAGCCTAGCCTTTCCGTCGAGCCTGTGACTGCAACAGCGAATGCTCTCCTGGAGCAACTTAGCTCTACGAGCGTCCCCGACGACGAGGTCTCGTCCTATCTTGCGCTGACCAATATTAGAAACCAACCCATAGCCCCACGCGGCGAGAACGTCTCCCGGGCGTGGGCGATGTGTGTAAACTTTGCCCGCCGCTCGAGTCAAAAAATCAAATATGGCCGTTTTCTCCGTTTCTTGTCGCTTTGCTTCTTTTTGATATGGGAGAAGTACTCCGACAAACAGGGAAAAAGTGCGGCTCGCGAGGTAAGCTCGGAAAAGACCACCCAGTCTCCAGCTAAGTACAGAAGCTTGGATCCAACGCTCTGTTTCTGGTAGCGAATTTAGCTGAGAGGTCGTAGGTAAATGCTAAAATGCGAGAGGCCGGCTTCAGTGGCCACTCAAGAGGCCTCAAGACAATGCGTGATGAGACAACTCTGATCAATAGGATGGTTGCTTCTATCCAGGAGTCCTGTGGCTCTAAACAGGCTGGTACTCTATACCACGTTGTATTTGGTATGTCCGCACACCCTCCTTTGACACATGGAGCTGACGTATTGCACGCGATAGAACCTTCGAACTATCAGCTCATCCGAACGATCAACCGGTTAGGCAACGAGAAGAAGTCGAGTATCCTGGAGTACATGTGCCAAAATGTTCAGCTTGAATCTCTTTCATCCTACCACACGTCAACCACATGCGTGCAAAGCATTATCCAGCAATATCTTCCTAATTTGTCGTGAGTCACGGTTCGGTCGGATATCTTTCTATAAGCTCTAACGAAATATAGGGCCGACGCAATTAGCAAAGCAATTGGATACGAGCCCATTGGTAAGACTCGCCTCATGGACATAGAAGGTCCCACCAGGTCCCAGAACAGTGTGTATGGTAAGAAGCCCATTTATCCAGTTCAGACTTCATATCAAAGTGCACGGAATCAGCTGATTACTGAGCACTTCCAACAGGCGCCAATTCCCAGTGCTTAGAGGACAGCCGACCATTTACACTGCGAAACGGCCCGTCCATCGACGGCGATACCCTGTTCGGCGGATTCAACCCTCGCATGTTAGATGCAGACAGCACTGGGGGTATGACAGGTGAATTGGACATGCTGCAAAACGACGGGAGTCCATCCACCTTGTTCCCTACCGATATGGATGGCTTGGAATTTGGATTTCCGTTTGACATGGACATGGGCGACATGGGCGGGGACATGAATGGTCTCACAGAAGCCGAACACATTGACTATATCCCGTCCTGATAAAAGGGCAAGGAGAGATATCTCCTATTGTGGAATGGGCGTGTCAAATCTATGAAGGATAGAGATAAAGTTGGAGTAGCGGAGGGGGATAGATCCTGGACATATATATTGGCCCAAAGAATGATACTAGATGGTCAAATGATTTGCATATGAATTCGGAAACAGAACTAAACCAAGGCAATTCCAGTAAAAGCTCGACCCTCTTCGAACAACAGTCTGATTTTCTCGCTCCCATCCAGATTGCACCTACAGATCGACCCTCCCAAATCCGCCACATACACGTGTTGATTTTGCTCATCGATTTTCAGACCGATAGCCTCGTGGAACTTCCTTGCAAGGATCTGGTAATTGAGCAGAGGCGTGTTATCAATCTCCAAGACCTGTCCATTATCGGAAAACCGAAGCCGATTCAGTGTATTCCCAAAGGGCATCTCTCCCCTATCAGTCCAATATAGGCTCCTCGACTCCTCGTGAAATTCAAGATCAATAGGCTCGGCAAGGTTCTTGAGAAGACAGACCTTGTCTGATCTGGTGTCAGGAGTCTCACCAGATGGTATGTCTATATTTGCGGTAAAAATGCGACCTTGCCAGCCTTTAGGTCCACCTTTCTGCGTCCAGAAAATTCTGCCTAAGCTGCGCGACAAGGTGATTCCAACACACCAGTTTGTCGCGTCCCCGTCATTACTGTCTGACATGTTCACGGTCGTGATGACCTTTTCGAGCCCGCTGCCGTCCAGGCCGCAGCGCCAAATACAGAGACCCTCACGGTCGGCAAAGTATAGCTTTCCACCAACCGAGTCAAGCGCTATTTGCTTCGGAGTATTGATTCGTCCCTTGTCGATGAGTGATCTCACATCACTGCCATCTAAGTTGGCAGAGTATATCATGCCGTCGTTCTGACCAGGATAGCCCATGCATGTCCAGAACATCTGCTCTTTTTCTTTGAGGACAACGATGCCATCCGGAAGGTACTGCTCGTCAAATATCGTCCGGATATATTGACCAGCAGAAGTGTATTCTAGTACCTTCCCTTTCTCCAGCGTCTCAACTTGGCCAGACAACCCGTTGTCTAATACAAGTATTCGTGGCCCTGGTTTGGTTGGCACAGTTGATGGTGGATAAAACCCGCCATTGTCGCTTTTCAAACCGAGCTTGCCTTTCTCGATGAACTCTCTCTGCAGAAAGTCAACTGTGTGAACAGTTGAGAGATTTCGTTCCTCGGCAAAATTACGCTCGATCATGGCCACCGTATCGAGTCCGACAACTAGCACAGCGTTAGCGATGTGTCTTGAAAGGCCAGAGTGAGGAACCAACGGTCCATAGCTACGAATGGCCTCGTGCCTGGTTTGACGATTGCCTCGAAAAAGATGTCATCTGCAGTCTTCGGATCTGTTACACCTTCTGACACCACCTTGAGCAGCTCTCGCTTGATCGCGGCCCATACTCTGTTGTGAATGAACCCCGTGGATTCTTTCCTTGCGACGTATACGCTCAAGCCAGCTTCTTCCATTCGTTTCGTCAGAAATGGGAAGATATTGGGTGCAGTACACCCATTGGTCATGAGCTCAACGATGCGCACATGCGGGGGCATGAAATAATGCGTATTCAAGATCCGATTCCGGGCATGCCTCGTCTTCTCCGAGATAATAGAAGATTTGTATGAGGAGGAGTTTGTGGATAGTATGCAATCTGGCGTGCAAACTGACTCGAGGTCACAAAACACCTTCTGCTTGAGATCAAGACTCTCCGACACACATTCCACCACAAGCCAGGCGTGCGAAACAGCGTGTGTCAAATCCACGGCAGGAATGACCTGCGCAGGGATGACAGAGACATATCGTTGATAAGTCGCTTTGTTCTCATCGAAGTAATTTACCGCCTCACGACATTGTGCGGCGTCGGGGTCGTAGACATAAACATTGTAACCCGCACATGCCCAACACGTCGCTGACCTCGTTAGCTAAAGTGTGAAAGTGACCCCGAGAGATCTTAGTCTTACCGATCCGGCGTCCTAACACGCCAGCCCCGATGATAGCTATATGCCGACTTTTGTAATCGGATGACTCACACCATGGATATTGAACCATCTTTCCTCGAAGCTATTCGTTTTGATACGTGGAATGGAGGTTGGAGGCAATAAAGCATGGAGAAAAAAAAAATAAGGCATTAAATATGTAAATAAGTGTAAATAAGTTCTCTGCCCACTGGTGACGAAGTCCATCGATTTTTCCAACTCGCTAAAGTACAAAGCGGCTGTATAGAAGCATACGTACAACATAAAGACTTCAATGTTGCTACTTTGGATAGTATCTCTGATATATTCGCTATTACCTCTGGGGCTCTAGATGGTAAATTACCCTATGGCAATTGAAACCATCAAAATTGGTGCTTTTCTTTTGTGTAATTGAGCTGCACTTCACAACTATACCATTCGCTTATTGAACGGGATCAAGGGCTAGTCTTGTATCTCATAGTAATTTCGACCATAATCTGAGAATGCTTGCCCAAATATAAAAAGTAGACTTCAAGCCTGAAGACAATATGCAGTTACAACCAGCTCTAAAGAGCTGATGTGGGGGAAATCGTACAGCGAATAAGAATTTGAATTATAGATAAAAACTGTGGCATTGATACAAGGATGATAGATATGATAAAGGAGAAAGAGACGAAGATCACTAGTTTCAAACGTAGAAGAGCATGTTTCTTCTTGCTCGCCTTTTACGTATCTCAAAATAGTCAGACCCAGGGCGTCGAAGCGAATCATCATGCGATGTGACGCGAAAACGCGAAAGCTATAAGAACATTTGAAGCCTTGAACAAAATTTGTACCAGCAAATATTCCCTTTCACCTCTCCAATCTAACTTTTATATTTTCTCGGCCAAATTAGCTCCCGATGACTATCACTGAGATACAACAGCGGCCAAGGCCGCTGGCCATCGTGGGCATGTCATGCCGGCTGCCGGGAGATGTAGCTTCACTAGAGGACTTTTGGAAGCTATTGACCAACTCCAGAGACGGATACAAGGAGTTCCCCGACGACAGGTTCCATTGGAAGGCATTCTACCACCCGAACGAATCCCGCAAAGACTCCATTCACGTCAATCATGGATATTTTCTCGACGATGATGTGGCCAACTTCGACGCCCAGTTTTTCAAGATGAATGCGACAGACGCAGTTTCGTTTGTACGACCCGCTCATATGTTGATCTGCATCCGTTGAGCAATTCGAGCTGATACAATATAGGATCCACAAGGGCGCATCGTGCTTGAATGTGTATACGAAGCATTGGAGAACGCCGGAATCCCAAAGGAGAGCATCGCTGGGACCAAGGTTGGGGTGTTCTCAACATCCAATACATCCGACTACACGCTCGAATTGAAAGAGAGCATTTGTTCCATGCCGGCGCAGGTAGGAGTGCTCGGCCACAATTGTATGATGTCAAATGTTGTCTCCAACGTGTTCGATCTCACCGGTCCCAGTGTCAGCGTTGACACGGCATGCTCGTCAGCGTTCTATGCGCTACAGATGGCGGCGCAAAGCATCCGGTCTGGTGAAACGGATATGTGCATTGTATCCGGATGCGCGCTCAACTTGTCACCTTGGCGGTGGAATATGCTGTCCAATCTAACCATGCTCAACCCAGATGGTAGGACCCGTGCTCTGGATCCGGAGACGGACTCAGGTTATGCACGCGGCGAAGGTGCTGGTTGTATCATATTAAAGTCACTAGATTTAGCGCTGAGCGACAATGATCGAGTGCACTGCGTACTGTCACACATTGGTGTGAACCACAATGGCCACACTAATGGCTACACCATGCCGGACGCAGTGATGCAGGCCAAGCTGATGGAGGAGCTGCAGGCCGACATCAATATACGACCTGACGAGTTCGGCTTTGTCGAGGCACACGCGCCGGGCACCCGAGTCGGCGATCCTATTGAGATTTCAGCAATCCACAAAGTGTTTTCAAGCGAAGGTCGCACGCAGGAAGAACCACTGCTACTCGGCTCGGTGAAGGCAAATGTGGGACATTTGGAGTCAGCGAGCGGCTTCCCTTCGTTAATTAAGGCTGCGTTGATGTTGAATAAGGGTCAAGTTGTATCCAACCCTAACTTCAAGAATGAATCTATGAACTCAGAGCTGCGCAAGCTGAATATGGCGGTAGGTTTGCTCCCGAAGACTCCGTTGATGTGTCCCCCACGTACTAAGAGAGACTAGGTGCCGACAACCACACAAAGTTGGCCCAAGGGAAAGCAGTACGTCGCGATCAACAACTACGGGTTTGGAGGTTCCAATGCACATTGCATCATCAAGATGGCCCCGGAATCCGATGGGCTACCGGACCAAAACGGTACCTCTGCCGATGGAGAGGCCTTCTTGTTTGTTCTTTGTGCCAATGACGAGCAGGCTCTCACGCGGACTAGAGAGCAGTTTGTTGAATTCCTTGAATCGGACGAAGCGGCCAACGTGAGTATGCGCGATTTGGCTTACACGCTGGGTCAGCGTCGATCCCTGCTTAGCTGGCGTTCTGCTCTCGTTGCAACGGAATTAGACGATTTATCCATCAGCGCGGCCTCACCCCAAGTCCTACAGCGACGCGTTGTTCGACCACCTAGAATTGCCTTTTCTTTCACCGGGCAGGGTGCTCAGAGTTTTGCTATGGGTCGTGAGTTGTTACAATATCCCATCTTCGCGGAATCACTTGAAAAGTCCTCCTCTTGTGTTGAGTCGTTTGGTGCCAACTTTTCACTCCTGGAGGAGTTATATGCATCTGAGACAACGTCGCGAATAAACGATGCCGACGTCAGCCAAGCCGCATCGACAGCGGTCCAGATTGCCCTCGTGGATCTTCTACGGTCTTGGGGCGTTGAGCCTGCGGCAGTGGTAGGCCACTCCAGTGGTGAGGTTGCTGCTGCATATGCCGCCGGTATTCTTTCCCTGCCAGGCGCTATGCGTATCGCCTACGCTCGTGGCCAGATGGCTATCAGGATCAAGACAGTACAGCCGGACTTCAAGGGCGGCATGATGGCTGTCAGCGCCGGAATGGAGGATGTCGCTCCGCTTTTGGGCATTGTTACATCTGGAACTGTGGTGGTGGCGTGCGAGAATTCACCCAGATCTCTCACAGTATCGGGAGAAGATGTGGCGTTGGATGAGTTGGAGACTCTGCTTGAGGAGGATGGGGTGCCTCATAGACGGCTGGCCGTGGACTTCCCGTATCATTCACCTTTCCTTGAGCCATTCGTTGACCAGTATGAAGAGGATATTTGCACGACCGACACCTTCCCGACCGCGACGAGTCGCAACGTTGAATTTTTCTCGGCCATGGCGGGGCGGAAGATCGACCCAGTCGCGGTAAAGAAACCATCATACTGGGCAAGCAGCGCCAAGTTCCGAGTTCGATTCACATCTGCTATGAACGCGCTCTTGAAAAGCAAGACACCCCCCGATGCAGTGGTAGAGATTGGGCCCAACCCCACGCTGACATGGGCGACGAAAAGCATCTTGAAGGCACTCGGGAAGCAGGCGCCAGCGGCGATGGCGACACTGCCATGTCTGCAGCATGGAGAAAACGCACGCGTAGCTATGCTAAAACTAGCCGCCTCTCTCTTCGGCCTGGGCCAATGGCTTGACATGGAGCAGGTCAATTTCGGTCATTGGAAAGATCAGGGTTCTCGTCCACGCCTGGTAGATGGCCTGAAACCATATCCGTGGACACGTAGCCGCTACTGGATCGAATCCAAAGTTCGAGATGACGTTTTGCTGCGACAATTTTCGCGTCACGACCTGCTTGGCCATGCGACGACGCATTCGAAAGATAGCGAAATGACCTGGTCGAACAACTTCGAGGTCGACGATATGCCTTGGCTTCGTGGTCACCAGGTTGGATCATCTATTACCTTTCCACTCGCGGGTTATGTGTGCGCTGCGTTGGAGGCCAGCAAGCAGTGCGCCATCGCACATAGGGGTAGCGACGATGTTATTGCAGGTTTCACAGTGCGTGATATGCGCATGCAAAACAACCTTGTGTTCGAGGAAGGAGTGCGCGTGGAACTGGTTATCAAACTTCGCCCTCTAACTGGAAGCGATTTCGACGAATTCGAGCTCTCAACCTGGAGCAAGGAACAGGAAAAATGGGTATCTCACTGCAGGGCCCTTGTGAGGTGTCACTTGGAGGACGTGCCTGAGATGGGCGGGCTGGCACAGTGGGGCGACGCGCGTGAAGATTGTCACAGCCGCGTCGGCAGCCCGCTGCTTTATCAGGGATCAGCAAAGGCCGGCCCGCGTCGTACTGGCACATTCCGCAATGTGCACAACTTGTGGTATGGGAGCGGTAAGACTACGGCAGAAGTGGTAGTGTCGGACACTGAGGCTGCTATGCCTCACCACTACGAGACCACCTATGCCATCCACCCAACAACACTAGACGGTCTGCTACAGTGCGGGAGTTACATCCCTTTCCTGGACCCCTCGAATGCTCCTATTGGCAGCAGAAGCAACATTTGGGTCCCGAATGCCATTGAAGAGGTGATCATTGGCTCCGAGGTTCTCTGCAGACCAGGCCTGGTCCTGCAAACCGTGGCCTGCTCAGAGCAAGCGCCACAAAAGCTCGGGGGAACATATGCCATCGATGCTAACTTGGACAATTCGTCCAATCCACAAGTTCAAATCCGTGGTCTCCACTTAAGTGTGGAAGAGGGCCTTCCGCTCCTATGGCCTGAGCCACACTATGGATGCTATAAGGTAGAATGGCAGCCCGCTGCGCAGCTTCCGACAGACGCCACCAAATGGCACATATTGCAGGGGCCAGGGGATGACAGCGACCTGGCGCGTATCCTCAGCCACGAATTTGGCACCTCCGCCGTGCCTGTATCTCAATCACTGCCCGTCGAAGCTAAGTTCTGTGTTGTATTAGACGTCGGCGAAGGCTTGCTCGGAAGTGTCGATGAGGCCTCCTTCGATAATATCAAGCACACTCTTACGACTTGTGAAGCCGTGGTCTGGGTCACTCGTGGTGCCTTCCACCGGGCAACAAACCCGATAGCAGGAATGGCAGTCGGACTGCTCAGGACGATCCGCAGCGAAATGCAGGCCCCGGTCGCAACCCTGGATCTCGATCCGTCCACTTCCAGCGACGCCACGTCGCAGGCGGCCCTTGTTGGGCGTATTGCTGGCCATCTTGCCGTCGCGGCGAAGAAGGCCGATCCCAACATGGAGATGGAGTTCACGGAGAGCAGCGGCGAGCTCCTTTGTTCGCGCATTGTGCACGACAACGAGCTGGCTTGCAACACACATGCTGCCACAGGCGTCGCTCCTCCCCAGGATGAAGCCTTCAAGCCCGATACTCGCGGCATATTTGGACTACAACAGCCGGGGCTGGCCGACTCGCTGTATCTTCAGCGAGTAGACCCCGTGCCACAGCTGGCCGATTATGAGGTGGAGATCCAGGTGGCAGCGACTGGAATTGGCGCTGAAGACATCAAAGCCCTTCAGGGGCGCGAGTGCAGTGGTACTGTGGTTCGTTGCGGTGATAAAGTCACGCGCGTGAATATGGGTGACAAAGTGTTCGGTCTGGCAAATACCTACGGCGCATTTGGAACTTTTGCTTGCGCGCGTGAAACGAGCCTTGCCCTTGTGCCAGCTGCCATAACACTAGAAACAGCTGCGGCACTACCAGCCACATTTGGCGCTGCTCAGCTTGCTCTCATCGAAGTCGGCCGAGTGCGCGAGGGCGATAGGGTCGCAGTTCTTGCAGCCGGGTCCGCCGTAGGTCAGGCGGCGGTGCAGGTTGCGAAAGCGGCGGGCGCCTATGTCTACGCTATCATCGATTCGCCCTCATATCATGAGGCTGTATTATCTGTTAACCCACCGCCCGACCATATTACCGGTAGCCTCAACGAGGTGCCACCGGTGGACGTGGTGCTCAATCCCATTCCAGGCACCAATAATGATGGTGCCCGTGTCTCTCGGGTCCTGGCGCCCTTGGGGCGGTTTGTGCAGATTGGCGAGCTGATGCCGGACTCTGCACCTTGTCTACACGCAGGCTGCAGTATCTCTGGCGCGTCTCTGTCTGCCGTAGCTGACAGCCTTCCCGCTCGAATGAGCGCTGCGCTGGATGCGGTAGCCGGCCTCTTCTCGCACGATCTTGCCAGTGGCCTCTCGCTAATCCACACGGTTCGACTGGACCATTTGCCGGAAACACTCGCAACTGTCTCTCTCCGTGATCCGGCGAGGAATGTGCTTGTACCCACGGAAGGTGAGATAATAAAGGTAATGAGTTCTTCCTCTTGTATACGAAAGCTCGCCCTACTGACTCTTATCCAGACCACACCGGCACGGCCTGCTTTGCCCAAACTTGACCCAGCAGCTGTATATCTGCTCGTGGGTGGTGGAGGTGGCCTTGGCCGTGTCATCACTAGATGGATGGTGAATAATGGAGCCCGGAAAATTGGCTTGGTCTCCCGCAGCACATCCATGAGCTCCGAAGTGAGCGCGCTTGTAGAGGACTTGGCTGCCTTGGGAGCTGATATCTTCTTGCTGCCTTGCGATGTTACAGATAAGCAGCAGTTGCAACAAGTGGTTGACCGGTGTACTATCGAAAAAGGGGTCGTCAAAGGAGTCATCAACGCCGCGATGGTGTTCAAGGTATATACAGCTCGTTTCAGATTTTGCCCCCGACCGTACCAATTTTGACCAATTTACAGGGGGGTGTCTTCAGCTCTGTATCTCAAAAAGATTTCATTGCTGTGATTCAACCAAAGGTTTATGGCACATGGAACCTTCACCACGCCCTCAGTAACGCGCCTCTTGACTTCTTTGTGCTCATTTCATCGGTTGCTGGTGTGATGGGCACGCCCGGGCACTCGTCGTACGCAGCTGCTAACACGTTCTTGGATTCTTTCGCAAAGTACCGCATACAGCAGGGTCTCCCGGCTACTGCACTTGCTCTGACGGCTGTGGTAGATGCTGGTTACATGGCTGAAAACGCCGAGAATTTGCAGAAACTGAAGTATGTCGACGAATACGAGGGAGAAATACTTACTACTCAAGATGTACTTGCTCTCCTCTCTGCCGCCATCTCCGGGATAACTGGTTCATCCTGTGATGGTTTCTCAATAACCGGCGCAGGATTCGGCGCTGCTCGAAAGCTGCCACCCTACGCAAAAGATCCTCGGTTCTCTGCTTTGGTGATGCGCCATGCCAAAGATCAGGAGACAAATCCAAAATCGACTGCTCTTTCCACCGACACTTCGCTGTCTCATGTACTTGACCAGACCGACGACAAGGCTGAAGCGACCCGCATCCTCCTAAACGCTGTCCGAAACAAAGTGGCGGAGCTGCAGCTCATGCCCGTATCGGACATTCTCGACGGCCAAACCATCGTCGCGCTCGGGCTCGACAGCTTAACAGCCATGGAGCTTTACTCGTGGATTGGGCGGGTTTTCCGTCTGAAATTCCGGGTTCAAGAATACGCCAAACTGGATACCCTGGAGAAGATTGTAGATAGTGTCATGTCCAAAAGGGAAGCCGCTGATGCTGCAGCTTGATGGAATTCCCGGCATCCACTCCAAATAGTACTTACTGAAGATTACTATATATATATCGTTAAAAATCTGTTATTCTTCAATACTAATATCCCTTCAGCACCTAAGGACGTGCCTAGTCATCCACGTAGCTTTCTAAAACATCCCAAACTATCAAGGTTCTCGATCACTGCAATTGTAGGCTATTTGTGCGAATGGGATTCTCAACACAGAAAGGCCACAAAATGCTTGAAAATGTGAGATAGATTCGAACAACCATCGTCACTCAACTGCTTTTTAACTGCCACACCTGCCTTTTCCCGTTTCACCTATCTTTTCTATCTTTTCTTCACATTGAGTCAAACCATCAAACTCTAGCTTACCCATCACCATGGCTTCTTTTCCAACAATCTTCTTGCGCGTCCTTGTTTCCATGAGACCCTTTCTTTCCTCCAAGTCTTTTCTAATTCCTGCTTGTGTTTTGGGTATTTGGAAGTTGTTGCACCGCATCAATTCACACCTCTCCACCCGGAGTTTGAACAACTTCCAGACGGACAAGTCGTGGGACTGGACAAAGGAGATTGTCCTCATAACTGGCGGCTCCAATGGCATCGGTGCTGAAATTGTGCGCAGACTTTCAGATCGTGGAGTAGCGGTAGTCATTTGGGATATTGCTTCACCTCCGGCTGAGCTACTCGGTGAGTTTGGGTTCGAGTATACAAGGTTGACATATCTAGAGCATCTTTTTTGACGCCTACATAGAACAACCCTCAGTGCAATACTATCACGTCGACGTGACATCGGAGGAGTCAATCCTATCAGCCGCTCGGCAAGTCCGAGCGGACCTGGGTGATCCTTCCATTCTGATCAACAATGCGGGCATAGCGATAGCAGAAAACATTGTCGAGGAGAATATACAGCACCGAAAGCTTCAGTTTGAAATCAATGTGTTCGCCCAAATGCGACTCGTTCAAGAATTTCTTCCTGCAATGGCCAAGCGCAACCATGGTCATATCGTGACCATGGCAAGCGCATCAAGCTTCATCTCAACTACACAGCTTGTCACCTATGCCAGTACCAAAGCAGCCATTATGGCCTTCCACGAAGGCGTTGCTCAGGAATTACGTATGCGCTACAATGCTCGGCGGGTCAGAACAACGTATGTGACCGTTACTATCCCCAACCCTGTCTAGCAGAGGCTAACGATTTTATTACCCTAGCATCGTCTTTCCTCACTATGTCCGCACTGATATGGTCAAGAAGCTTACCACACTGCACGACTTTCCGGAGCTCCTTCTCGAGCCCGAGTATGTGGCCGACCAAGTGGTGAAGCAAGTATTGAGTGGCGATGCCGGCAGACTCATTTTGCCTCCAAGCAACTCTTGGTTAACGTACCTACGGGCTCTGCCACCGTGGTACATGTATCGTATCCACTCGATGGACCCTGATGTATACAAACCGCGCGCGTAGATGACCGCCGTTGTACTCCGCATGTGGCTTTTGATATCCAAGAGAGAAGGATACAAGCATACCTCTGGGCGAACGATAGTCAAATTCCCGACAGAGATTTATGAGAGTACTAGATTATGCTACGTGAAAATTGAAGCCAGATACAACGCGTTTCAAATTGCGTACAACACAAATTGTCCAAGGTACACACATTCCCAACTTATGTCCACATGCATAAATCAGCTCGTAAGAGCCGGTCTCCATTCAGGATTGTCTCACAAGCAACAAACCCTCCTATATCAATACGAATATGTAAAAGCATGAATCGCAAGATTCTTTTTGATTCAAGTCTACTGTTCTACAATGAACGTACTGGAAGGAAAGGTCGCTATTGTCACTGGTGCCTCACGCGGTATTGGGGCGGCGATCGCGCTGGATCTCGCTAAACAAGGCGCCAAGGGATATCACCCCCTTCTAAGACTCCCAAGGTCACAAATGCTAACGGCCAACACAGATAGCAATCACATTTGTGTCGACTACCAGTGAACCGGCAGCTCAGGAAATTGTGGCTCAAGTCAATGACCTGGGAAATGGGGCAGGCGCCATCAAGATTCAGGTCGATATCGCACATGCCAATGCGCCGCAGATCATTGTCGACCAAACACTAGCAGCATTTGGTCCAGGAATTGACATCCTCGTCAACAATGCGGGTACGAGTGTCCGGAAACCATTCCTCGAAACAACTGTGGAAGACTTCGACCGAGGTATCAATGTCAATTTGCGAGGCGCGTTCTTCCTCTCGCAAGCCGTCGTACCTCACCTTCGTCGCCCCGGTCGAATTATAAACATCAGTTCCATTGTTTCTCGTACCGGAGGACCTTTGTACGGAGTGTACACTGCATCCAAAGCCGGATTGGAAGCTTTCACCCGATCTCTCGCTGCGGTCATCGGTCCCTATGGCCACAGCGTGAATGCCGTTCTGCCCGGTTTGACAGACACGGACATGTTGCAGGACATTACGGATGATGAGGAGTCTGCCAACTTTCACCGGGGAGTGGCCGCTGCGACTCCAATGGAGGGACGGGTCGCGTCTCCGCAAGAAATCGCACGCCTCGTCTCATTCCTTGCTGGTCCACAAAGCCAATGGATAACAGGGCAGTCTATTAGTGCTACTGGTGGTCTCCTGATGCTGTAGATGCGGCAAAGAACAGAATTTGGTCGGGCAGCGGATGGCATAATTCTACTTAAACACTGTGATATCTGTGGTTTCTAGGGTCGGAGCTAGGTGACGAGACAAAAGACCTTTTTTGACGTAGCATCTCTGAATTTCCATGCAGGGAATATATACGTCTTCTATTTAAAAAAAGCTTATGCTGTTTTCTTGCCCGCCATTACTAACATTCTTGCACAGATTTGTTCTATTTCTGGCGACTGCATAGGAATTCGGTGATCTCCATCCCATTCCAGTAGACTTTTCGAGTCTTCCGAACAGTATATGTCGTGAAGTCTCCTCTGTGAAGGGGCCCATTCGTCCTGAACGCCTATGACGTGAAGTGTTGGCCTTTCAATCGCTAATTTTCCGGTGGGATCTAGCTTATCCAACTCTTTGTGAGAAAGATCTAATTCGGTCGGACTCTGCAATGGTAGATCGCCAATGTCAGGCGAGAGTGCGACGAGCGGCGCGGGACCGGAGAACAATACTGCGAACTGCCAGTGTTGACTCCAGAGCATGGAATCCAAATCCCCCTCGTAGCCCCCCCGTTTTCTCGCCCTTTTGTTGAGATTCCTGGCGTCTCTGAGACTCGAATAGGATAGAGGCGCTTAGTCTTGCCCCTTGACTAAAGCCCAAAAGACCAACCCACGGTCCACATCCACCAGTTTCATCGTCTCCAGCCATTGCATCTTCGAGGCATTTTCTGATCGCTTCTATGTGGTACTTTGGCTTGAGTACTCGATGTGAGGGTGACCATCGAAACCATCGTCGAAAGGGATCAGCGCCTCCATAGACGGGGAGCATCCCTGGCCCGGCTTCGCAGAAGAAAGGACCGTTGGCGAAGACGAAACGAAAGGACAAGGACAACCTATCGCGTAGAACTCGAGTCTGGAGAAACAACACATCCGCGTTGGAGCCAACCCCTAGGTCATTGTTAGATGAAAAGTTACTACGAAGTACAAAGTCCAACCTTATGTTGAATGACATACCATGAAGGCAGAGGACTCGAGGTAGCTGGAGTTTATCAGCCATGGTTGGGATACTAAAAGTTACCGTTAATGCTACGGAACAAATCTATGTTTAAATATTATTTTCGAAGGCTCATCAATTGTTTTGATTCGAGATGTATGTTGTACATAGTATATCTTCTGGATCTCAAATCTGAAACAGTGACGTGTCGCGTCACAGGCTAATTATCATTGCCTGATATTTTGAAGGGTTCACATATATGACGACAGAGAAGACAGTACAGCAGTCTTTTATTGGTCCTGTTGATCCTTAGCTACATAAAGACCTATAATACCCCCGTTCATTTCTCCAGGGGTTATTATATGTATTAGGATCATTATTGGCCGAATATAACTAGCGGTAAAACAAGAGTGTCCTCTTACAGCATTTTAGAGATATAGAATGCAAGAAAATATCTAATTGATAGAAGTGAAAATCAAAGGTCGAATCAGACAAGATGCTGCTAATCTATAATTCCACAGAGGCGTAATCGTCATTTTATAGTTCTTGGAGGGTCAATTTTTATTGTTCTCGGACTTTGTATAGATACCCAACCAATTTATATTAGGTATCACAATTTTGATTAATGCAAGAATAGTCGCGTATGCGCCCGTAGGCTGGTCTCCTCAGGTAGTCTTCTCCGATAGTCGTTTTAGATGTCTGGTTATATAGATATTTTTTCCCTCAGTTTGTTGGGTAGACAGACAGCAGGAAAAAGGCCCCAAAAAAAAGGCTTGATTTGTGAAATGGTCTTTTCTATATATAACCTTTGATATAGGCTTATACAGCTTTTATAGAGCTATAAGAGCTATGTGACTGTAACTTTTGTAACAAAAACGTGAGAGCCTAGTGGGATCCCTGTCACTTGGCAGATGGGGGCGATAGATCACTGATGTTCAGGTCATCACTCGTTTGATTCTTTTGACTCTCGTTATGTTCACCATCCACCTTCACTCTTTGACTCGGTCTCTTTCAGTATGACAAGTCTATCGGAGCAGGACATACTCGCCCAACACATCGCAACCCCCATAGTCAAGATTAATTACTTTCAACTCTTCCGATATGCGACCAAGAAAGATTTGTTCATTATCGGCGTATCCTTTCTTGCTGCGATCATCGCCGGGGCAATCACAACAATGCCGGCCCTGTTAACAGGCTTGTTGATTGGCAGCATACAAAACAGCTGGTCCGGTGGATCATCCCAAGACAGGTCCAATAGCGAATTGACGCGCTTCACAATTTACTTCGTATACCTTTTTCTGGGCGAAATAGTGTCATGCTACATTGCGAATATCGGATTCATCCGCACTGGCATCATATTATCGAGTCGGATCAGAGAACGGTACTTGGCCGCGCTTCTGAGTCAAAACATTGCCTTCTTCGACAACATCGGAGCCGGAGAAATATCCACTCATATTTCCGCCGACGCAAATCTGATTCGAGATGGTATTTCCGAGAAAGTCAGCGTGGCCGTCCAGTGCTCCGCATCGGTTGTCGCAGCTTTTGTCATAAGTTTCATACGAGATTGGAGGTTGACCCTCATTTTGGCCTCCAGCCTCGTATGCATCGCCCTGGTATTTGCTGCCGCCGGTATAATGCTCACAAAGTATCGCCAGCAATGGTTGGGAGAGACCGCAGAATCTGGTACCATTGTCGAAGAGGTCTTTTCGTCCATCAGAACGGTCGTGGGGCTCAATGCGCAATCTGAGCTTGTGGCTCGATACGATGGCTGTCTCAGCTAAAGCTGAACGCTTTGCAAATAATGCCAGGCTGATATCTGGCGCCCTGCTCGGTGCTGTTTTTGCCGTTATTTACCTGGCTATCGGTTTAGGGTTCTGGATGGGTTCGCGCTTCCTAGTAGCGGGCACATCCTCGTACGTCGATATCTTGACAATTATCCTCGCGACCGTGACCGGTATCGCCTGTCTCGGTGGCATCGTTCCTCCACTTCAAGTATTTACTATTGCCACGGCTGCTGGATCGAGACTGTACAGCACCATCGACCGAAGGCCTCCAGGGACCGCCAATCGTTCTTCTGAAGGAAGGTTGGACAGTGTGCTTGGTCATATTGAGTTGCAAAATGTGAGACACATTTACCCCTCAAGACCAGATATCGTCGTTTTGGACAACTTGAGCTTGGATATTGAGCCAGGAAAAACGACAGCTATAGTTGGACCATCCGGATCCGGAAAAAGTACAATAATCGAACTTCTCGAGCGTTTCTATGACCCCGTTGCCGGCGATATTCTCTTGGACGGTCACAACCTCTCAGAATTGAGCCCAAATTGGTTGAGACAGCAAATCTCGCTGGTCCAACAATCACCGACATTGTTTGCTACGACTATCTTCGAGAACATCCGGTATGGCCTGGTTGGCACGCGGGATGAAAACGCATCAAAGGAAGATATCGAAAATATTGTTTATGATGCCACTCGCCTCGCAAATGCCCACGACTTTATCACCAAATTACCTGACGGCTACGATACCCTTGTCGGCGAGGCCGGCGTGTTGCTTTCTGGTGGCCAGAAACAGCGCATTGCCATCGCTCGCGCCCTCATTTCCGATCCTCGAATTCTTCTCCTTGATGAAGCCACCTCGGCCTTGGACTCGACGAGTGAATCCATTGTTCAAGCTGCAATCGAAAAAGCGTCTCAAGGGAGAACGACGATTGTTGTAGCTCATCGCTTGTCAACTGTCAAATCCGCGGACAAGATTATCGTCTTGTCTGGAGGTCAGCTTGTTGAACAAGGCACTCATGACTTTCTTCAAAATATAAATGGAGTTTATAGTCGGCTGGCCAAATCACAGGCTGTTAACTTGAGCGAGAAGAAATCTCCCGACGATGATGATTCTTTGGGGGTTTGCATCCATCATGTTAAGTCTGTCGATGAAGAGACAGAAAAGGAGCATCCGCCGCTTGGCGGAAGCGGAAGTCCTTTATTTGGCACAATGCATAAGGGCGCAGATACTCTCGAGAGTCTGGATCGGCCACGCCATCAGTATTCGATGCAGACCCTTCTGAGGTTTGTGAATAGTTTCCACAAGGACTCTATGATATTGGTGTCAATGGGGTTTCTCGCTTCAATCCAAACAGGAGCTGGAGCACCCGTCCAGGCAGTGTTTCTAGCCAAATGTCTTGTGGCACTCGCCAGACCTCCCGCTGAATTCCCGCAGCTTCGGTCTGAGACAAATCTATGGGCTGGAATGCATGTCGTCCTGGCTCTCGTACAGTTCTTCGCCTACTCGGCTCAAGCTTCTGCTCTCGGAAAATGTACAGAGAGGCTTATCCGTCGTCTCGGTGACCTCTCCTTCCGGGCCCTTCTCGACAAAGACATGTCTTTCTTTGACATGGAGGAGCACGGTGTGGGCGCATTGGTGTCATTTCTCGGAACTGAGCCAGCCAGTATGGCAGGCATGGGTTGCTACGCGATTGGGAATTACATCATGGCACTGACAACTCTCATCGGTGCCATCGCAACCAGCATAGCTGTCGGATGGAAACTTGGACTTGTCGGTGCAGCTACAGTACCTGTTCTTTTGATGTGTGGATTCCTTCGATTCCGCGTCATGGCTCAGCTTGAGGCCCATCTTCGCCAAGTGTATCAAGAAACAGCATCATTGGCCAGTGAAGCGGTCTCGGCCATCCGCACCGTCATATCTCTGAATCGTGAGTCCAGGGTTGCAGCAGTATTCCACGATAAGCTAGCCGAACAAGACTCGAAGAGCATTCGCTCAAGCCTGACATCTTCGGGCCTCTTCGCGTTTTCACAATCGGCACCCTTGCTGTGTACTGCACTTGGCTTATGGTATGGTGGCACCCTCGTGATCAGCGGGGAGTATGGATTGTTTCAGTTTATCCTGAGTTTTGCTGCTGTTAACATTTGCGGTGATGCTGCTGGCTCGATATTTAGCAGCTCGCCAGATCTCGCAAAGGCAAAGCTTTCGGCCACCCGACTTAAAGGGCTATTGGATCGACAACCACGGCGCCGATTGGACTTTGTCGAACCTCAACCTCTTTTGCAAGGAACCATTGAATTCCGGAATGTCCACTTTTCGTATCCTACGCGTCCCGATCGGCAAGTACTAAACGGTCTCGATCTCACTGTACACAAGGGTAAATACATCGCCCTAGTTGGACCCAGTGGATGCGGGAAAAGCACCATTGTTGCACTTTTAGAGCGTTTCTACCATCCACTAGCCGGCCTTGTCACAATGGATGGTCTGGATCTCTCCTCAATGGATATGAGCGCATACCGCAATCAAGTGGCACTCGTGAATCAAGAGCCCACACTCTTCCAAGGCACCATCCGAGATAATCTGCTCCTCGGACTCGATGCATCGAAGTATTCCCAGGAAGAATTGGAGACCATCTGCAAGGATGCGAATATCCTTGATTTTATCCATTCACTGCCGTAGGTCATCCACCAAATAATAATCACTAGCAGCAACTGACTTGACCATACAGTCTCGGATTCAATACGATGTGTGGAGGAAAGGGAAACAACTTCTCCGGTGGCCAGAAACAGCGACTAGCAATTGCGCGGGCCCTTCTGAGACGGCCCAGTGTCTTGTTACTAGATGAAGTCACTTCGGCGCTGGATTCGGAATCCCAAAGTGTCGTCCAGGCTGCGCCTAGACCAAGCCGCAAAGCAGCGGACGACAGTTGCAATTGCCCATCGCTTGAGTGCTGTCCAGAATGCGGACCTCATCTGCTTCCTAGAGGACGGTGTAATCGTTGAATCTGGGACACACGCTGAGCTCATACGAAGACGAGGGCGTTACTTTGCAATGTTGAGCTTACAGAACCTAGAAAAATAGGTGATAAACCCTTTTGGCTCAAATATTTTCCAAGTTTTATATTTAATCCTTAAGAATAAGACACTCTTTGCTGATATAGAACTATATGTTTGCAAGCGCCAGTGGATCTGGGTCCATTGTCTGAACGATTCTCTGGATCCAAGATGGTAGACCTCGAAGAAGTGCGAGATAGCTCATACTCCTAGGAAGAACAAGACTACTTCCGTAAGTAGACAGAATAATTTTTACAGCCTCGGCTGCCACTTCACTAGGCTCAAGAACATTCAAGGGAAACTCCAGCCCTTTACTTGTCAAGGCCTGAACCAGCGGGGTACGCACAAAGTCTGGATAGATAATTCTGAGGCCAAGTCAGTATATTCCTATTCAACATAAGGCGCAAGGCGCAACTTACGAAGTTCGAACCCTCCGTGCATTGAAACGAGCCCGAAGCTCTTGGCCAAGTCCTTCATTAAAAGCCATGGCTGCCGCCTTCGAACAGGCATAGGACACATTTTGGGCTTGGGAGTAGAAACTTCCCGTACTTGCTATTGTCATTATGTGACCGTGATTCTTCTCTATCATAGCCGGTAGAAATTGCTGCACCAGTGTAAAATGGCACAATGTGTTGACTTCGAACACTCGCCGGCGTTCAGATTCGCTCTCACTTAGTATCGTTTGAGCTGTCCCGGTTCCAGCATTATTGATTAATATGGAAGGGTCGCCGTGCTTTCGCTTGACTGTGGATGCAAATTCCGATATTGCCGAGGAGGAGGTGAGATTGACTTGGTAAAAGGTCACACCTTCTTTCTTTGGGTTAGGGATATAACTGCAAAACATTAGAATGTACGTACCCAGTTTTGAAATTGGCTTGTTGATATCCAATATAATTGTTTTGATCTTCCTTTTTGCAAGTTCACGCACAATTTCCGCTCCAATGCCACTTGACCCTCCGGTAACTACCGCGGTCTCGTTGGGCCAGTCCCAAGTTGGATCGTCAACAAAGTTGTTGATGCTTCTCCTTGTGACCCACTGGCTGAGTGCTTTGATCAGATTCAAACCAATGAGGCCATAAATAGCTGATTGCAGGGTCTTCAAGGCAACCAAGAAATGATGTGATTGGGTTGAAGCTCCAAGAGGCATGGTTCTCAAAAGTGTCAAGGCTAAGAACAGGGCAATTGAAGAACGATCGGATAATATGGAGCGCAGAGACATCAACATGGTGTAAAGGAATATTCCAAAAGGGTGAATGAATGAAATATTCGTACAAAAATAGAAATATATATATGTCACTATTGACAGCTTGAAACGAGAACGATTCGAAGCGGTGAGTTGCCTGTTGATACTTCATATGCAGCAAGGTCAAATCATTCCATATTGACTGCATACTTGAACCTTTAGTCATGTATGTTGGAATGATCCAATATTATCACTAGTATCTATGTTTAGTGTTTTATGGCAGGGGAGCTGTTATACTATCCCTATTTCATATGTGAAGGGTGGATATGGGTTGGGATTAGAGTCAACGAAATAAATATCGAGGAGATACGCAACTGAAGATTTACACATTGCCATTGGATATAGACTAAGGGTTATACAAATGTATGTCAAATAGAGCATAGCCGTACGAAAGTGTATTAAAGCCAGGTAGTTATAAGATTTTTGATTACATCAATTTCATTGTAAACCAACTAGAGTTTAGAAGTTGTGAATATCGACCGGTGTAATTGTAGCAGATGTCCCTCTGGAATAGTGCGCCGAGATATACTCCTCTACAGGTGTGAGATGGAGGGGATCAAACATAGACTGAGAAGGGAAGTTGATTGATGCCACACCCTCCCAGATCTGCCGGTGCTGTAGCTTGAATTCCACCTCGGTGAATTGACGTATGTGAGGCGTCTTGTCGGGCATCGGGGAAGGGAGGATGCGCAAGAACAGAGTATTTAAACCCGGTTCGACATGTTCCTCTATATCCAACAGTACGGTTGGTTTGAAGAGGATATCTGCGATGGGGAAGTCGCTTGGGCGACATACACGACCCCGATAAAACCCGTCCACTCCGTCTTGGGGAAGTCGAAGGAGCCCAGTACTTTCGGTGACCCCCACAACTCTCGACCCGAATAGGCCGCATCCTCATTATCCAGAATGATGAGGAGTGAGTAGTCGTATTTGGTGCCGTTGAACTCCACTTCTACACTTTGTAGCAACTCATGGTATGGTCCGATAGGCGAGCAACCATAAGAGATTAACCGAGTTGTAATGATCGGCTTGTCTTCGATAGTCAAGTTGTCTGGGAGGAGAGTCCGGACATGCGTACCATCTGTGCGGTACTTGATAACGATGCAGTTGATGTTGGAGAAGCGTGAAGGGAAGGCTGCAGGTCGATAGGCTGGAGCAAATACGGGGACCGCATTATAGAGCGTAGCAGAAGGGAGGGTACCAACGAGCATGATTCCCGGATAAAGATACAAAGATACTGTGTGATTATTTCGCCTTTTAGTACTGAAAATTTGAAATGATGAATTTGGTGAAAGAATGCGCTCTTGAGAGCTGGTATACAGGGGCTTCAAGTGGCATACATAAGTTAAAATTAAAAAGTTCACATTTCAGTCATAACATCCGAACCGATTATCTAGGTTATTTAGGCATTTAATAAAGGCGTTTAGTAAAATTATATCTCAGGGCCATAGCACTTGTCATCATTATTAGGGCATATACACCTTAGGGTATCTCGCTGTCAACCTGTCAACTACAAAACCTTGCATCAAGTTCCTCCATTTTTCTCTCCTTGACACTATGACAATGTCGCCCAACGGCCAGAAAATGGATAACGTGACACCCATAGCGGTGGTGGGAATGAGCTTTCGCGGTCCCGGCGATGCCACAGATACAGAAGGTCTCCTGCGAATGGTGGCCGAAGGCCGTGAGAGCCGATCTGAGATTCCAAAGCAGAAATGGAACCACGACAGTTTCTATCACCCAGATCCGAGTCGATATGGCACAGTAAGTAAAAGGCCTCAAGATTATTCCCAGCTATCGGGGCAACTAATCTAGAAGAAAAAAAAGCACAATGTCAAGTATGGACATTGGTTCGAGCAAGACGTGTACGAGTTCGATGCGCCATTTTTCAACATATCAGCACCCGAGGCAATTGCTCTCGATCCCCAGCAGCGGATGCTGTTAGAATGTTCGTACGAAGCTTTCGAGAACTCCGGCATTCCAATGTCCAAGGTGATTGGGACAAACACGTCCGTTTTCGCGGCTTGCTTTGCGACGGACTATACAGACATGCTCTGGAGGGACCCCGAGACTGTACCAGTCTACCAGTGCACAAACTCCGGGTTTTCACGGGCGAACATGGCAAATCGCATATCCTACTCTTTTGATTTAAGAGGGCCTAGCGTAACAGTCGACACAGCATGCTCTGGTGGCTTGACTGCTCTGCATCTGGCTTGTCAGAGCTTACTATCTGGCGATGCAAAACAGGCAATTGCAGCCGGATCGAGCTTGATTCTGGGCCCTGAAGTTATGGTGACAATGAGTATGATGAGGTAAATGAACATGTCGACTTCAAATTCAAACTCGTCCTGAGATAGATTAACTGTCATGTAGGTTCCTGTCTCCTGATGGGAGATGTTACGCTTTTGACGAGCGTGCGAACGGTTACGCTCGGGGTGAGGGAGTTGCTGTTCTGCTTCTGAAGCGATTGGATGACGCGCTCGCCGATGGCGATACGATCCGAGCGATCATTCGCGGCACAGGTTGCAACCAAGATGGAAAGACCCCTGGTATCACAATGCCCAACGGGGTCTCGCAAGAGGAATTAATAAGATCGGTGTATGAGAAGACCGGCCTTGACCCACTGGAGACATCATACGTGGAATGTCACGGGACAGGCACCCAGGCAGGTGACACGACCGAGACGGGGGCTATACGAACTGTTTTTGGCCGTCGCCAGCCACAAAACGCACTCGCTATCGGGTCTGTCAAAACAAATATTGGCCACCTTGAGGGCGCGAGTGGTCTTGCAGGCGTCATCAAGTCAATACTGATGTTAGAGAACGAGATCATCCTCCCGCATCGGAATTTCGAGAAGGCGAACCCACGTATCCCACTGAAAGAGTGGGGTCTTCGCGTAAGCTATTCAAGCTTTACACATGCGAACCTGATGCTAATCCACAATTGAAAGGTACCAATTACTGTCGAACCTTGGACGTGCTCATCGCCTCGTCGTGTGTCCGTAAATAGCTTCGGCTATGGTGGAGCGAACGTCCACGCCATCCTCGAAAGTGCCAAAGACTTTCTGCACGCACGAGGTTTCGATCCTAATGTTTCTACGAGAAGGTCCGCATTTGCTGTCAGGGCGATTCAAGAAGCTCTTCAACTCGGGCCCACCAATGGCCACTCTGTCGCCAATGGTCACTCATTTACCAGCGGTAATGGGATCTTAGCGCAGTCGACCCCAACAATGCTCTTTGCGCTTTCCGCCTTCGACCCAACAGCTGGAGAAGCATGGGCTGGGAAGCTCGTGGAGTACGTGACTCAAAGACAAAGCGTACCAGACGCGGCATTCCTTCGTAGCCTTGCGTTCACCCTCAGCAACAGGAGAACCATTCACTCGTGGAAAGCCGTCGTGGCGGCGTCCTCCAGTTGGGAGTTGATCTCACAACTGAAGAAGGCGCAGTTCGTCAATATCCCTCCAAGGCGCAACCTTGGCTTTGTATTCACCGGTCAGGGGGCTCAGTGGTGTGGAATGGGAAAGGAGCTCATCAATGCCTTCCCACGGTTCCAAGAAAGCCTTCAAAGATGCGGAGAAGCGCTAGTACGCCTAGGAGCTCCGTTTGATGTGCTAGGTAAGTCTTCTGACGGTTCAACAAGAAAGCACTAACTGATTCTGGTCCCAGAGGAGCTCCAGAAAGACTTTGAGACTTCCCAAGTGAACAAAGCAGTATACAGCCAGCCTCTTTGTACAGCGCTACAGATCGCCTTGGTGGACCTACTCGATTCTTGGGATATCCATCCCAATTCCGTCACTGGACACTCTAGTGGAGAGATTGCGGCCGCTTACTGTGCCGGTGCAATTAGTCTTGAGGATGCTATGCTCCTGGCATACGCCAGAGGATGTGCGACGACAGACTTAGCCAGGAAAGGTGTCGACGGTACCATGGCCGCAGTGGGCATGACGCGAGAAGAGCTTAGCCCAATTCTGTCGGACTTGCGGAACGGAAAGGCTGTGATAGCTTGCTCAAACAGCCCTTCAAGCATCACTGTTTCTGGTGACAAGAGTGCTATTGATGAGCTACAGCAGGTGCTTCGGGAGCAAGGTGTCTATAACCGGAGGCTAGTTGTTGGGGTGGCATATCACTCTCATCATATGACTCTTGTCGCGGACAGCTACCGGGCCGCCATTTCTAAAATCAGAGCCAGCGAAGGAAACAAGCTTGACTTCTTCTCTTCTGTAACAGGGAAGCTGTTAGAAAAATCAAAGCTAGGCCCAGAGTATTGGGTCAGCAACATGGTTGGCGAAGTGAAATTCGCTCAATCACTCGGCCAAATGGCAAATCATCAGGCCCCTAACAGAGTGCAAACTCTGGTCGAGATTGGCCCTCATGGAGCACTCGCAGGGCCAATCAGGCAAGTTCTTGAAGCCGATGAGGGCCTGACAAAATCATCAATAGAATACCTCTCCATTCTTACTCGGAAGAAGAATGCTGTCACTACAGCGTTGAGTGTTGCATCTACCCTGTTTGTTTCTGGAAATACCGTTCAAGTGTCGGCCGTGAATCAATGCAGCGGGTTGAAGATTCCGCCATTGATCGACCTGCCATCCTACGCCTGGAATCACTCGAGGACATACTCCGCTGAATCTCGGATTAGCAAAGTATACCGTGAACGAGAGAATCCGAGGACTGACCTACTTGGTGTGTTGGATGTCCATTCAAGCACGCTGGAGCCGCGTTGGCGGCAGATTATTCGTTTGTCGGAGTTGCCATGGCTCCGAGACCATAACATCCAATCCACTATCATTTATCCAGCTGCTGGATACATTACCATGGCAATGGAGGCAGCTAGGCAGCGGGTCCTGCGGGCAGCGCCGGGGACGCAGGTTCTGGGATATCAATTCCGCGACGTGAACATCAGTTCCGCGCTTCTTATCCAGGAGACGCCTGGCCAAGTTGAAGTCAGCATCACGCTCAAACGCTTCTCCGAAAGTGTACGGTCGCCATCGGATCTCTGGGACGAGTTTTCGATTTCATCCGTATCGAGTGAGAACCGATGGACAGACCACTGCCGGGGTTTGATTGCGGTACAAACGCCGCCCAAAACGTCAAACCCTGTCAGTGGAGCAGCGCATGATGCTTCCATAAGAGCAGCCAGCAAGCACCTAGTTGAAAGTTTCGAGGGTATCTGTCAAAAGTCAGTCGAAGCGGGGGGAGTTCTATTCCCGCCTCTCACAAATCGGGATGCGATATGGCCCAACATTTGCCAACATTCATGATATGCGCTCCGCGCCGGGTCATTGCATCAGCCGAGTGGAAATCCCGGACACGAGAGTGGTGTTGCCAATGCAATATGAGCAAGCCTGCGTCATCCATCCATGTACTCTAGACAGTATATTCCAAACTTACCTGCCAGCGCTAGCGGCGCAGATGGATGAACTAGGCAATCCTGTGGTCCCGGTCTGCATCGAAGATATGTTCATTGCCCATGAGTCCTCCAGACAGCCAGGCGACATTCTTGCCGCTTACTCGTCGACCATTTCCAAGGACAACCAGTTCTTCACTGCGGAAATTACTGTCTTCGACGGCCCATACGAACCAGGCGACAGGCCAGTGGTTCACGTGGGCGAGATGACACTGGCGGCCCTAGATCAAGATGGTGCGGATGAGAGCGATGATTACGTTCCTCCAATGGTATTCAACTTGAAATGGGCCCCCGATGTGGACCTGTTGAGCAAAGCGCAGATTATCGACATAGTTGGCCAGGCGGCAACTACCAACCTCATAGAAGAGATCGGCGCGGAGGCTGTTGGTGCGAGCTCGGGAGTGTCTGAGAACAACAGACTGGCAGCAGGTTATCTTCACCTCCTGGCTCACAAGAAGCCAGATCTCAGTGTGCTCACCGTAGGATTTCAATCTGGACCCGCAGCGCTGAACCTGCTTTCTCTGCTATCCCAACTGGCCGGCAGCGTTGCCCCATTCAAAACGTTCCATCACACCGATGCGGAGTTTGATCTAGACCAGGTGGCTAAGGCCAAATTCCCTGCCTGGGTAGATTCAATTACTTTCAAAAACTTGAAAACAGAAGGCGGCATTCCGAAGGACACGATGAGAGGTGTAGAGGGCACATACGATGTTGTGGTGGCGTTCAACGTCCTCGGATACAGCAGAGGTCTTTCGCAAAGCTTTTCGTCAGCCTCAAAACTGCTCATGCCGAGCGGTAGATTGTTACTCGTGGATCACGCCCCGGCTTCATCTCTTGCTACTCTGCCACAGGATTCTCTCGTAGGTTTTATCTCCAGCGAAGATGACCCCTCCACCGCCAAGTCATCATTGACTGTTGATCTTTTGGCGCGAAAGGTAGGGTACAAAACACACCAGGCACTGTCCGAGGGCGTCATGGTTTTCCAGACAGAGAACGAGCCAAGCTTGGGCAGCAATATCACGGGAGTTCTCATCGTTGTTGACGACGAAGCTCAACCAGCAGTTGACCTGGTTCGTTTGCAAACGATCTGCGAAGATATCGGCTTGGCAACAGAGATAGTGCCACTCTATGACGCAAACCCCAGGCCAACTCAGGCGTGCATTGTGCTCTCTGAGCTGTCAAGGCAGGTGCTGGCAGCGCCTGAGCCCGCCGAGTGGGAGGCCATCAGGACAATGGCCCACCGTGGAGCCGGCCTTCTTTGGCTCACCCAAGGCGCTGGTGGTGATATTTGCTCAAATCCTGAGGCGTCACTTGTGCATGGGCTCGCCCGCACCATCCGCTCAGAGACAGGAGACCGGCCCATAGTTACATTTGATCTGGACAGTATCCAGACTCTCGGAGCCGAGGCTGCCGCTGTATACATTGCAGATGTCTTCCAGTACATGGTGCAATATGCCAGTGGCAGCGAGGTTATGGAACCAGAGTTTATTGAGCGGAATGGCGTTCTTCAATTACCGCGGCTAGTCGAGGACGTCGGTGCTAGAGAGAATCTGCAGTCTGGAAGTGGGACGAGAGGGTCCAAGGCGACGCCATCACTACAGCGGCTGGACAAAGTGGGCTCCTCTCGTCTATTTGTGGGTACGCCTGGGCTGCTGGACAGTCTTCACTTCGCGCCAGACGACCGTACCGCTAGCCATCTGGAGAATGGGAAGGTCGAGGTAGAGGTCAAGGCGGTGGGCATCAATTTCAAGGATGTCATGATGGCGATGGGTCAGATCCAGGTGGATGATCTGGGTTGTGAGTGCAGTGGCATCGTTTCGGCTGTGGCTGGTGACGTCGTGACTGACCCTCACGGTCTTCGGGTTGGAGACCGGGTCATGTGCTTGAGTTCAGGATCATTCTGTACGAGGTTACGGCTCGACGCTAGGCTGGCGGCGCGCATTCCCGATTCCATGTCCTTTGAGACAGCGGCTGCGCTACCAATCACACACGTAACCGCATACCACTCATTACACAACATCGCGCGCCTACGCAGAGGCGAGACCATACTGATCCACGCCGCCACAGGTGGTTTGGGTCAGGCCTTCGTCGAAATGAGCCAACTGGCTGGCGCGGACATCTTTGTCACCGTGGGCAACGCGAAGAAAAAGAGTTTCGTTATGGATCGATTTGGGCTGGCGGAAGAACGGATCTTGTACAGCCGAGATATGAGCTTCGCTAGCGATGTGATGCAGTTGACAGGAGGCCGCGGCGCCGATGTGATCGTCAACTCTCTAGCTGGCGAGGCCCTCCGGCAGTCCTGGAACTGCATCGCCCCATATGGACGTTTCGTCGAGCTTGGTCAGCGGGATATCACCATCAACACGCGACTGGATATGGCACCTTTTGCACGAAACGCCTCCTTCACTGCGTACAACTTGGCCTACACAATGCGGGTTGACCCGCAAGCAGCACGCGACGTCCTGGTCGAGGTACTGACGCTGTTCTCCCATGGTGCACTGCGAGGCCCTGATCCACTTGAGACATATGGCTTCTCCGAGCTCCAACAGGCCTTCCGCAAGATGCAGACCGGCCGACACATGGGCAAGCTCGTGGCGATTGCCAAACCGGACGACATTGTAAAGCACATCGCCGTCACTACTGGAAGACCGCTACTCCGGTCCGATGCTGCTTATCTGCTGGTCGGAGGTCTCGGTGGCATCGGCCGTGCCACCGCTCTATGGATGGTCTCACGCGGAGCCCGCCATCTCGTCTTCCTCAATCGATCAGGTACCGAGAGCGAAGCGGCGCGGGATACGGTAAGTGCGCTACAGGCAGCGGGTTGCACAGCCACGGTCTTCGCATGCGACGTTGCCGATGCAGCTCAACTTGCGTCTACCTTGGATAAAGCACGGCAGCAACTGCCACCCATTCGTGGTGTTATCCAGGGCGCCATGGTCTTACGTGATTGCATGCTAGACAGAATGTCCCTTGAGGATTACTTGGCTGTCCTCCGGCCCAAGATGCACGGCACATGGAACCTCCATGTTCACCTGCCGATGGACTTGGATTTCTTCCTAATGGAGTCGTCAGTTAGCGGCATAATAGGAAACACAGCGCAGGCTTCCTATGCTGCCGCAAATACCTTCCTTGACGCATTTTCCCGGTATAGAAGATCCCGCGGCCAACCGGCTACCACGATCGACATAGGCGCCGTGTCGGGCGTTGGTTATATTGCGCAAAACGAAGAGCTCAAACAGGCTATGCAGCGGCAGGGATTCGACTTCACAGATGAAACCCGTCTGATGCATCTTCTGGAGTTCGCGATAGGGAACTCCACCCGTGAGCCCCATCGTGCTCACATCATCACAGGCCTAGGCGCCTACCATCCGGACACATCCCTTCCAGCCTTGAGCACCCCTATGTTCTCACGCTACCGGATGCTATCTTCATGCGCCACTAATATCAGCAATTCTAACGACACGCTCCGTCAGGCTCTCAAACAATCGAAAAACATGAATTCTGCGGTCGAGGTGGTACTCGCGGCTCTGGTGGACCAGATCGTCTCCCACACTGGTGTCCCCATCGAAAATGTTAGCACAGGCCACAGCTTGCAGGATTACGGCATCGACTCTTTGGCCGCTGTTGAGTTCAGAAATTGGCTTTCCAAGGAGATGGAGAGCGTTGTGCCTATCTTTGAGCTGTTGGCTGCTGAGTCTCTTGCTGTTTTAGCCTCCAAAATCGCTGGTCGAAGCAGGCTAGTAGTTAGTGCGAGCGGACAATTTTAGATTTAGCTCAGTTTTGTTACTGTTATTGCGGGTTCGTGTGAGATTTCTGTTCACTTCTTTGCTTGCCGGGCATTACTTCAATGTCTTGGGCCGACTCGGGCCAGTATTTGTATCAAAAAGCACCCTGTGTACCCCCACGGGTGGACCTACAGTCAACGCAATGTAGACTCAGCTTATTTGAATTGGCTACTACCCCCAAGAGGGGAACCATTCTCTAGGATAAACCAAATAAAGATAAATTGAGGAAGTATTATGATAGGCGTAGCACCGGCGGACTATACGAAGCTCATATTTCTCATGTATCTCGAAAATCACGGTTACGAGTATCCTGGCCAGTCTGGACTCCCCAGTCTCCCCGTGGCTCATTTCATATCCGAGCTTTCTCCTTTCTATGCCCGAGGACATCGTGAGTCCGTATCAAGTTTAGAGCATCTGCCTCATGCTTGCACACCTGCATGCTCAATGGCCCGCTCACCTGCTTGAGCCAGTAGGATCGTCCGCAATCGAACAACCAGTTACGAGTTCCTACTCGAATCAACTCAGCAAGGAAGCACTGTGGTGTGCTGCGATCTTCAGTGAAGACGATCTTTGGGAAATCTCGTTGAGCTGCAGGCGTCGAATTTTCTAGGCCGATTCGGAAGACATCGTCGAAGGTAAACGAGTGATAGAGCTGGGAACCGACCTGGACAATGCCCGTTGTCCGTGCTGCTGCATGCAATAGACACGCGTTTGCTACGAGGTCAACGGGGATCTCGTCCAGGATATTGGTGCCTGTTTTATAGCCTTCCGTGGCATGCCAGACTTGTGTGCTACCCCGATCGGAGAACCAGAGCCTAGTAAACTTGGTGAGAGGTGTGGAGTCTTCCGATCCGTATAGTGGGTAGGGGTGTCTAAACGCAGGACCGAAGATTGTCGGCCTTAGCAGTTGAATTGGAAGACGAGGAAAGCGGCTAAGCAGTAGACGTTCCATCAGATGCTTGGCTTGGGTGTAGGTAGACGAAAATTTGCCGTCGTGCGGTGATGTGCCAAGCGTCAAGATGGATGTCAGCTCTTCCTCTGGGTCTTCTTCACCTCCCAAGGGGTATATTCGCTCTAAAACTGTGCCATCGGGAAGATGACTATTGACGTATGATGTAGAGATCTGGATGAAGAGTTTCAGGCGACGGAATTCCGAGGCAATCCGTGCCATTTCCAACGCAGGGAGGCAGTTGCTTTCGAGTGCATCACGAATGGGACCTTCGAGCTTGATCTTGGCTGCTGCATGAATGACCAGCGTCACTTGATCTTGAAGTTGTCGGAGGATAGCAGTTTCAATACCAAAGTTCACCGTTTTCATATCTCCAATCACAAACTCGACTTTCCCCGTGGATAAAATAGCCTGTGCATGGTTTGGCATCGATTCTCTCAACTTTCTAATAGCCTGCTGGGAGTTCCCTCGGACCAAAGCGAAAATCTTGCGAGTTGGTAGTTGCAAAGCTAGCTTGTATAGGAGACAACCTCCCAAGCAACCAGTACCTCCGGTGAGGAAGACTGTATGGCCTTCGAAGATCTTTGCATATCCTCCTCGCACGACTTCGTCGGCATATGTTGCTTTTGCAGAAGTTGATGACATTGAATAGGCTGGGCAAGATATCCGGGGGCAGAGTGTAGCCAATGTCTCTATAGAGGGATTAGGCAAATGACACAAAAGAATGGCGGTTGGGATAATGTCGGAAGGTATATAGACGTAACATCTTTTCGACCCTGGAAGTCCAGTGGTAGGACAGGACCCAATGTCACTATTACATTCGTCCAAATGTACAGTTTTGGATGCTAGAGGTTATTTTTCTAGAGCTGTAGCCCGACAAGTCGCCAGTGGCCTCAAGTTGGCCGAGGTTGGGAACCTCCGAGATGGAACGGGTGTTGTTGGAATAGCACAACAGGTAGACGTGGACTTTCCATGTGCCGAGGTTCAATGTGATTGTGTGACCCGAATGAGCATCGTATCGCAATTCATGGAGATCTGGCCCAAGAGACACCGACAAAGCTGCACTCCATTTGCCTGAGAAATGTAGGGCTCGGAGCAAGCATATCCATTCAGGACCATGACCGAGAAACGGGTTGTACAAGTCTCCACCCCCTGAAAGGTAATGTCGTCTACATGTGATGCAATGTAATTGGAATTGAAGTATTTGGAATTGAAGTATATGCTTTCCACTTCCTATGAACGCCGTGAAAAAAGACTATGTGCTGTTGATTGGTGTAATGCTTCGGCGAACCGATCCAATCCTATCTGTACAAGAGGGATATAGACATCGGGGCAAAGCGATGTTAAACGCACCGTAAATCTTGGCTCTCTTTTTGAGAGTGGTTGATTGGCGAAACATAGTTTTCACTAATCAAAAGCCTTTGCTTCCGCCACTACACCAGCAGCGTGCATCTCCGTCACGCTCAACTTGGACGAGAGTATCCATATTTTTCTCTCGAAGGAAGTCGACGGTCCGTTGACGTACATCTTCCAAATCTGCGCCCCGAGAAGCGACGACGTGGATCACCCCGAAAATGTTCTGGGAATTTTTCTCATGCACATGTTCATGATCATGATCATGGTCATGGTGGGTGTGACCGTGGTCGTGGTCGTGGTGCGGTTCATGATCATGACCATGATGGTGTTGGCTATGGCTATGACCATGGTGATGCTCACAGTTCCCATGGCTGGAATGGTCATGGGAATGGCTATGCCCGGAAGACACCGCCCCTGTATCATCGAGCCAGAACTTGGGTACCGTATAACTAACCACGCCTCTCAAAGTGCTGACTCCCGCTAGTGTTTCCCGGAGATTATATTCAGTGTCGGCTGGCATAGTGAGTAGCAGTGTCTTGGCCGTGCTGCTAACTAAAGGAACGGCCGAGGCGAAGATCAATATGGCGATGAAGCACGACGCCAATGGGTCGTAGCCGGCCCAACCGGAGTAATGGACGAGAATGGTTGAAATGACCACCGCCACTGATCCAAGCGTATCGGCGAGAATGTGCAAGAAGATGCCGTGCATATTCTCATTGCCATGGGAATGATCGTGACCGTGATCATGGCCGTGATGAGCATGACCGTGCTCAAAGCTGAAGATGCCGACCAAGTTGACTGCAAGGCCAGCGATGCTGACGATCAATAGCTCACCAAGACGATGCATCTCACTCCCAGATGAGAGGCGTTCCACCGCTTCATAAATGATCTCCACGCTGATAATCCTGCATGTTGTTAGAATTTGGCATCCCGCGCCGCTTCAATAAGACTCACATAAGGAAAATGCCATTAGCAAATCCTGACAAGGTATCAACTTTGCCATAGCCGTATGGAAATCGAGCGTTCGGGGGCCACTTGCTCATAACAGCGGCACATAAACCAACAACAAGCGCAAGACAATCGAAAAACATGTGAATGCTGTCACTAAGCAGTCCGAGTGATCCAGTCAGGAACCCATATGATAACTGAACAAGCATAAAAGTGAAATTCAGGCTGCAAAATGTTAGCGGCAAGCCAAGAGTGATGGCTTTTAGATTTCGTAACTCACCACATAAAGTAGAAGATGCTACGAGAATCCTTCTCCTTGAGAATGCTATACAGCAACGGGTACGGTTCGCTTTTGTGAAGAAGCCACTTTGATACTCGGGAGGATTCAGATGTAGTGTGTGAATGTGAATGGCTGTGAGTGTGGTTATGCGCATGCGCATCCAGATGCAAATGCATATCATCCCTTCGAGAAGCGAAGAAAGAGGCCGTGGCCAAGACACCACGTGTGGCATAAACCATGAGCAAGTCATCCTGGGCATGCGGGGAACAAAGGAAAGCTGCAGCCCCGGCGTTAATGGCAAGTCCGGTCTTTTTGGGGGAGCGGAGGCTGGAGGGCAGTGAAATCATAAGAGAAGTAGCAAGGATCCCCGTAGGAATAAGAAGATAAATCAGTTCCGAGACGCTGAAGACAAATCCTCGGTTGAAAAGTATGGTCAGAAGTGCAAGGGAGCACCCGGACACAACGGCAAGTGGTGCATCAGTTGTGACCACAGCGGAGGGGTGGACCGGGCGTGAAGCCTTGCTCTGTGCAGCAACAAGACCTGGCTCAGGGATAGGTCCATTGTGGCGAAGGGAGGGGAAAGGCAGAGGTGCGACAAACACCGATCCTAATAGGGCGGCATATCCAATAACTGGAGATACGTCCCAAGGGTGGTTCAGCCCAAGGAAACTCGATACAATAACCGCGACTAGCAGAGCAACAGATAGGATCTTTCGACTGTATTTCTCTTGGGTACGCGAGGCCTTGTTGATGATGGATGGGACCCCTGATGCTGTCGCGAGGAGCAGCGCAAATGCAACCAAAAAGCCTCCGAGCTTGAATGCTGCAAATATTGGCAGTGCCACGGAGGCAATTTGTGAAAATGAGGATTGGGCAGTCTTCACATTTAGTTTCGGTAAATTAACGGAAGCTAGTGTTGATGAGCCAGCCTTTTGGTGGTTGGTCCGTAGAATTTGACCAAAGCCGAAGAGGATGAGGGTGATCGCTGTCAAAAGGCAGGTCTTTTGACCAACTTGTCCGATAGGAATACTTGCTCTCGTACCAGGTATACCTTCGGCGGATAGCTTTGGGCTTTGGACATTCTGTCTCTGGTACCAAGAGAGCACAACCCACGGCAGCACGATGAGTGTACTAGTCAAAATCTCGTGGCTGAAATTAGGGTCAGCTTTTACTCCTCAACCACACTCTAGCCCACATACATCTTCTCTGAACTATAGTCTGCCTGTATAGTGGTATCCATAGATAACATTCCATAAACGCCGGTGAAATCTTTCAAATGGTGGTCATCTAGCACATCATTGTGAAGAGATGACACACTATGGTTATGACCATGGTGTGTACTGGAGTGCGAGTGCGAGCGCGAGTGCGTATGGTGACTGTGGCTTGATGTTTGAGATGTACGTCCATATGAATAGCTCGTGTTCACAGCATTGATTGGTTCCGGGTGTTCAGGGAGGCTGGCATCAGCTGGTTGTGAGAGTGGAGGTGGAGGTTGCGCCCAGCGGTTGGATCGATGGCCACGACTGCGACTATGACCATGATTATGATTGTGTCCGTTGGAGGACTGTGTGAGATCCACACTGGGCGACGGTGCCCCCGTCGACATGATCTTCAGATGCTGACGATGCGCAGCAACTGGGAGCTCCAGCAGGCAGGATAGGAGATGGGGCACTGCCAAGATATCGAGGGTGGAGCGGGAGTGAGGTCAGAATAGCGGGCAGATTATCAGCAAATACAGCATTGCGAAATAACACGGGAGGATAAGAAAAGGAAATAATATAATTGGGAAAGTGAGTGCCAGCACAGGCTTAAACAGATCGCCACTGTCTCTGGGGAAAAGCCCGTCTTTCCCCAAGGTTCCCATAAGGGGAATCACGTGAAGTCTTATCAGATTACGTATCGAACATTGAATGTTTCGACCGGGCCCGCAGACGCACTCACAACATTGAACTGTTGATATTCCACCTTCTGTTTGGTTTTCAAAGGACTATCTATGTGATTGGAAGCTGATCAATACCATGAGCGAAATACTTGAAGTGCCATTGCCATCATGATCGAGACCCTTATCAGCGTAGTGTTCTGCCTGTCTAGCGCCCTCACTGTGTTGATCCTGTTACTTCCTTCGCAATACCAGCCAGCACAAGCAGGATCTCCCTCAAGATCTCATGATGCAAAAAGGCACAAGACATGTGTCCAAATCCTTGTTCTTGGCGACATTGGCCGAAGCCCACGCATGCAGTATCATGCATTGAGCATTGCGAAACATGGCGGGGAGGTGGTAATTATTGGGTATAACGGTTAGTATAAATCTCTTGACAGAGAGTGCAACATAAGATCGCTAACTGCTATATATGAAACAGAATCCGATCCTCATCCTGATATCATATCTCACCCCAACATCTCGATTGTTCCGCTTCGCTCGCATCCTGCTCTCCTACAAACCAGTAACAAGTTGCTATTTACAATTTATGGGCCCGTGAAGGTACTATTCCAGATTGTTTGTCTCTGGAAGTGTCTCGCATATACTACAAAACCGTCCCGGTGGCTTTTGGTTCAGGTATGTTCGTGAAAAGGATATTCCTCGATACTCATTCGAAGTGCTGACTCGCTCTTGCAACAATAAAAAGAACCCACCTTCCATTCCTACACTGGCTATAGCGTCTCTTGTTTGTTTCTTGCGGCAAACAAAGCTGATTATTGATTGGCATAATTTTGGATATTCCATACTCGCGTTGAAACTCGGCCAGACCCATCCATTGGTGAAAATGTCGATGTGGTATGAGAAGGTATTTTGCAAATCTGCTTCGGCTCATCTTTGCGTCACCAACGCTATGGCATCCGTTCTCAAGAAGGATTTCAACCTTCCAGTCCCTGTCCTGCCACTGCACGACCGCCCTGCCAGTCATTTCAATCCTATCCTCGATCCCAATGCACGGACGGATTTCCTCACAACTCTACCGGAAGCTAAAGAATTCCATTCTTCTTTGAAAGCAGGATCCCTCCGGGTTCTGGTCAGCTCAACCTCATGGACCGCGGATGAGGATTTCTCGGTCCTCATCGATGCGCTTCTTCGGTACTCTGAACTGGCCACGACAGTGCAGCCTCACCTCCCTGAGGTTTTGGCCATCATTACAGGGAAGGGCCCACAAAAGGAAATGTATTTGGGCCAGATTGCCGCTCTTGAAAAGGCCAGCAAGCTACAGAAAGTCACAATTCGAACTGCGTGGCTGAGTGTACCAGAATATGCCCGGCTATTGGCATCCGCATCTCTAGGGGTCAGTCTCCATACTAGCAGCAGTGGGGTAGATCTCCCAATGAAGGTTGTAGATATGTTCGGGGCTGGCCTCCCTGTTGTTGGATGGGATCGTTTCGAAGCATGGCCCGAGTTAGTCACTGAGGGAGTTAATGGGTTGGGCTTTGGAAACTCGGAGGAGTTGACTGGGCACTTTGTCGAGCTGTTCGGTAAGAGCGACAAATTGGAGAGTCTTCGCCTAGGCGCCCAAAAAGAAAGCTCTCGGCGATGGGACGACGAATGGAATCCTATTGCGGGGTCCCTTATTGGACTGACATAGATAGCTCACTCTAATGACGTGAATATGATTATCCTTTGGAACCATTATGTGGAATACATATGTAATCATATTACATTTTCAGGTAAATATTTCGTCCTTTCTGCAGCCGCAGCCGTCAGCCGTCAAGGAGACATTCTGTTATCATTGCAAATCCTATTCAAGGACATCTAGTAACTGGCCTGGAATTTGGCTGCGCAGTGCAAGCAGATATCAAACGTCTCAAAGAGAGCATCGAATGTCCGACCTTGTTTTCCCTCACGCATGCATGCCACAAGCTCTTCATCGAGGGCTTCTTTGCGACATACAGAACAATACTTGGATACCCCAGGCTCTTGAATGGCAAGGAAGGACAATCCGCATCGTTCTATATGACGGAAAAATGTCAGCATGTTACTAACAAATCTGAACCACAAGGTAACTTACCCCAAATATGGCCATTAGCGCACTGTGCCAACTGGGCCGAGGGCCACCCAATTCCCGCATCACAAACTTCGCACTTCTCGTAAATGTGACCGCCTGGGCCAGTCAGTTGATCCATAGATCTCGCAGATATAGGGGCAGGGTGGCCGTTGCATTTGGAAATCTCATCCCTCAGGTCCGCGCCTGCTACTACTGCTAGACGCTCTAGAGACCGCCGAGCGTGAAGTCGAAGTGACTTGTCCTCTTCACCCACAATGGCACGACAGGCAACGGCATAAATCAGGCGTTGGCTCTCCGTGTCAGGTTCAATATTGCCATCTTCATCAGGTAGTACGAAACGTATCACTTCTCCAGTCTGGCTGAGGTCGGAGGGTTGACCATCGGGCATGCGCGCCGCAAATAGGGTTTGTGTGTCTCTCGTGGGTTCACCCTCCTGTGAAAAGACAATCATAGACCTGTCATCAGAGGTGATGCGATATTCGATCATGTCCGTGGGATGTGAAGTGAAGATAGCCGCAGTCATGTTGCGATAGGCTGCGAGTCCCCATATCCTCGAGACTGACATTCCCCCTAAGTCGTGCTCCAAGTCATAGTCATCCTGGAACTCTTCAATCATGCGTTTCCATTGTGGCTGTTGCAGAGCGCCGTCACTTTGAAGTTGGTGAAGTTCTGTTACTAAACCAATGCCGCCGAGTGTACCTATTTGGAGTTTACATTTGTCGCTTTGTTCATTCATGGAAGTGAGCATTGCTATAGTGGGTCAGCGGTGCTGAAAGGCCTTGTGGATATTGTATATCATACCAGAAATCGGCTCTAGGTGCCTTGGTAGGTGGCCCTTGTTGTCCTCGGTCTCTGGCTCATAGACAGGGTAATCGCGGAATTCGAAGGCATCAGAATTGGTAACGCTACCCGTGTACGTAGCGCGGGGCATGGATATGGCGATAAAACCTGCCATGGCGCCCGCTGCCAGAGCAATGGTTGTGGATGATCTCTGGTAGGTTCTTATTAGCGAAACGACCCATTTTAGCATGGGTATAAGAGATTGAGCGTACGGTATGGAGCCATCTAAGGGGACCAGCAATGTTGTGATATGCCCATTTCTCATTCAACTGGTCCAAAGGATGCTCTATCAAATCTGCGACTAACGTGTACTGTTGCGAGGTTTCCCCGAGCGAGCTTCCAAGGGTGACTTCGAGTCTCATTAGCCGAAGCTGTGTTCCGCATACCGCAGCTATCATGGCGACTGCGCAGCCAAAGTTGCCTGGGCGCGTCGCGGGTGAAATCTGCCACGGACCACAGGAAAGCGCAGTAGTACGTTGTCTGTCTTTGATTGTCTTTTCAAAGAGCGATCCAGAGCATACCGGGCTGTCCTTAGTTTCTGTGATCTTCGGAGAGTGACGCGCCAGAATCTGAAGATCATAAGGCTTGGAAGGGCTATTCGTTGGGTCTGATCTGCGGACCCGCACCAGCATGACTTCATTCAAGTCGTTCACCACCGTTAGCAGTGGAATTCCCCAGCGACTTTCGTGCGAATGTAGAAAGGAAGAGCCTTCAGAAGGCGTTGAAGGCTTCAAAGACTCGCACCAGGTGAAAGACCGAATGTTAACCTTCCGAAAGCCATGGCTATTTGGGTCCTGCGAAGGCTGAAGCTGTGACCAAAATACATGATTGGCTACGGCAACCCTAGTCCATTGCTTCTTAAGGCCAATGGGCTCCCAGAGGGACAGTACCAGATTCGATGTCAGCACGGCTAGGACACTGCGTCGATATTTGCCTAGCCCTGCTGGCGACCAAGCCAGACCCACAACATTACTTTCTGAAAGGTCTGCAGCGACCGAAAAATCATCTCGATTCCCCGGAAGATAGGTCGGCCATTCAGAGTTCGTAAACAAGTTGGCTCTAACACGAGTCATGAGCCAATCTTGGGTTGAGTTAGGGGCAGACTCCTCATCCCTGCCTTTTTTGGGTGTCTGTCAAAATGTCAGTTACTTCTTAGCCCATCAGATAATTAGATACATACCAGGATTTGGAAGTATTCACCCGCAGCGATAGCAAGCTCCCCGTCCGGGGACCAAGAAATGGCGTCATGACAGGATGGAGATAATGATAGGGCCACAGGGTTCAACATGGCGTCATATATTGGATCTTTGCTACGCCGACATTATTGGTAAATAAAGGGATCGCGAGGTGCAATATGAAGATATATGAAGAAGAGAAGCCAGAGATCTGCTTTTGTTTGGGTCGCATTCTGCGCGGTTGATTCCTGAAGAATCAGGCAACAACAAGAGACCCGAAGAATACTTCGAGGATCATTTTTGAGTTGCAAAACGGGCGATTAGTGAGAATGAAGATATGGGAGATGAGACTAACAGGGAAGTGTATATTAATGGCCTTGTGAAGATATGTAGTCGACCTAAGAGAGGAAAAGAAGAAAAGAGGGCGAAAGGGCAAGAGAGCGATGCACACTATGTATTCCCATACAAAAGGCCGGAAAGAAGCACGCCAAGAGTTTATACAAAAAAGAACCTCCAAAGCAAAAGCGCCAGGTAAATATATAGGATTTTGCCAACCTGCTATTCCAAATAGCAGAGAAGGTACATATGTACACCCTGCTACACGGGATGATATCCAAGCTCACATTGTCCATTTGAGGGTATCAGTCATAACATGCCACCGGAGACAGTGCACAATTTTTGGTGAAGTCAATCCACCCGATCCAATCTCTGCACAACCATCGCAGTCGCAGCACCACCGCCGTTGCAGATCGCAGCCACTCCATACTCGCCGGGCTGTAATTGGTGGAGCAAGGTGACGAGAATACGCGAGCCTGAGCTGCCGAGAGCGTGGCCGAGAGAGATAGCGCCTCCGAGCATGTTGACTTTGGCATTTTGCAAACCGAGAATCTAGGCGAGTTAGATCTGATGTGGAAGTGAGACAAATACGGTACTAACCTTTTCATTGGCTTTGATGACAGCTGCGAAAGCCTCGTTGAATTCCCATACCGCCACTTGATCCTTGGTGATACCGGCACGCTCCAGCGCAATCGGGACTGCTTTGGCAGGGGCCACTGGGAAGTCCACAGGGTCGATGGCGGCATCGGCTGTAGAAACGATACGGGCCAAGACACGGCTGCCAACGCCATATTCGCGAGCAAGATCCTTGCTGCCCAGGATCAGAGCAGATGCTCCATCATTCATGGTAGATGCGTTGCCAGCGGTTACGGTACCAGTCCCATCTCGTAGGAAGGCGGGTTTCAGGGTCTTCAACTTATCGGCACGCAGGTTTTCGAAGCCTTCATCCCGTTCGACAACGGTATCTCCTTTCTTACCTTTCACAGTAACTGCGGCAATTTCATCGGCAAACTTGCTCTCCTTCCATGCCTCCTGGGCCCGCTCATATGACTGAATGGCATATAAATCCTGGTCCTCCCGGGAGATGTCATAATTCTTCGCAGTGTGTTCGGCGCAGATGCCCATGTGGAACTTGTTGTAAACATCCCATAGACCATCCTTGATGAGACCATCCTCTAGCTTAATCTCACCAAAGGGGGCAATTGGCTAGCACGTGCCATATAATAAGGGACACGAGTCATGTTCTCCATACCACCAGCCACCTGTGCTTCTGCTAGGCCAAGTTGAATATTTTGTGCGGCAAGTGCCACAGCCTTCAAGCCAGAAGCGCAGACCTTGTTGATTGTCGTAGCTTCGATAGTGGAAGGGAGACCGGCAAAAATAGAGGCCTGACGGGCGGGCGCCTGGCCTACTGAACCCTGCAACACATTTCCCATATATACATCCGTAATCTTCTCAACGGGTACCTTAGACTTATCTAGGGCGGATTTGATTGCAACAGCGCCGAGCTCAGGTGCTGATACGGAAGCAAAGGAACCATTGAACTGGTCAACCGGAAGTTAGTAAATTACTCCTCAGAACATTTATCGAGGTACACATACCTTTGCTGTCGGTGTCCGAGATGCACTCAAAATGTAAGCTTCCTGAATCTCCTTACAAGTCGGGCGTGCGGAGCTGAACTGTCGCTGGGCGCGGAATGCGGGGAAGGCCCGCTTGGGGAGACGAGCAGACAGGCCTGGGGAAATCATGGTGTATTCAAGATAGAAGTGAGTGGTAACTTGACGGTATTGAAGAGTAGAAGAGTTATGAGAAGAGAGAGTTAAGGACGAAGAGCTGAGGAATGCTCTTGCATGTGCTTATTGGGATTCATCCGCCCGTATAACCGCCTGTAACCGCCACTCCGCTTGAACCGAGGTCCCCAAGGCGGTCATCGATGACATAATAATTGCTGAGTCAAGATCTCCCCGGAGCCGGAGCTCTCTTAATTTCATTCTAACTCCTTTTGGGTTGTTTCTCCATTGGGATATTTCTTCCGGTCTTCCCCTCCATCGCTTCGCTGCATATAGCCTACCGTATCAGTGACCTTTCAGGTTTCCTCTCTTTCCCCTCTCCGCTATTTTCCTTCTCTCCTGGCTGTCCTTGCAAAGACCTATCCGCAGCTACATACACACAGCTTTAGCAACCCATTTTAATCACTTTGCGCCTTCCCCGATTGTTCTGTCATGTCTACATCCGCCCGCCGTCGTCTTATGCGGGACTTCAAGGTACGCGTCAATATCATCACCTCGCCTTGGATTATCCGAACGTCTCCGCTATATCCATAAATGGACTCATTTGAAGCTATTCATATATTGCCTTTGCGCCCAATTTGCTTCTTAAATTCTTCCTCGGTGTTCTGTGTCCAAGATGATTTGCCTCCGCTAACATTTCCATACTTGCAGCGCATGCAAACCGATCCTCCAGCTGGCGTCTCTGCATCTCCAGTCGCTGATAATGTCATGACATGGTATGTTTCTTCCGCATTATGCTTTGAAGTTCTTGGCAATGGTTCTGATGAAATGTCAGGAATGCCGTCATCATCGGCCCCGCCGACACGCCGTTCGAAGATGGCACATTCCGGCTGGTCATGAACTTCGAAGAACAATACCCCAACAAGCCCCCGGGTGTGAAATTTATAAGCCAAATGTTCCATCCCAATGTGTATGGAACCGGCGAGCTCTGTCTTGATATTCTGCAAAACCGCTGGAGTCCGACATACGATGTGGCGGCTATTCTTACTAGTATCCAAAGGTAGGGTGGGCTTGATTATGAAAGATCTCTATACGGATGCTAATAGCTTGTCAATTCTAGTCTTTTGAATGACCCCAACACCTCATCTCCGGCCAACGTTGAGGCCTCGAACCTCTACAAAGACAACCGCAAAGAGTACACCAAGCGAGTGCGAGAGACGGTCGAGAAAAGCTGGGAGGACAATTGAGCAAATCAAATACGCTCAGACAATTTTGATGGCCTGACATTCTTACGAATGAGCACAACAGCTTGGCTGTTTGATCTGCACAGCATGGGGTTTCTGGCGCTTGGTATCTTATTCTTTCAGGTTGTGTATTCTTTCTTCTCCCCTTTTCTTGACGTCTTTAGTTCCTTCTCATCTTTTATCTTTATCCTTTTTTTTTCGATATCTCTAGTTTCATGGTTCCTCATACTTCGCCAGGTCATGTCGGGCGAGTTTTACAAGATTACATAGTCTCATTGTTTTTAGTGCATTAGCCTGTTTCCCGCAAACCTTGCGCTCTGGTACTTTGATATATACATTGTAGAGAATATAAATGGGCATGCAAGTAAACCAGATGTTCAATTATATCCTAATTATATCCTTGTATAGTTCCCTATATATACATTAAGCTTATCTGCAGGGGGTTGCATATCCGAGTCCGGGGGCGGTAAGCCCAAACGGGGTGACTGTCAACAGTTGAAATCCCACTCTTTCGCGTCAACCCCCTCCCCTGCAAACTCCCGTTGTAGGCCTTCTTAGTTTGGCCGTCCTTTCTTTGCGGCCTGGCTGTTGATTTGTCTTTTTCTTCATTCCTTGAACGTTTTGGTCCACGGTGCACGTGGACCCCCCTGATCCTCAACCCCCCTCCTCCGAGCCACTACACCGCAACAGACGAGTTCCCATTTGAAACGCCTCTGTCGAACTCAGAGGCCCACCTACCCCTTCTCGGGGTCTATCTTCTAGCTTGCGCGTGTCATAGCCAAGTCACACTCTACAAATATGGCGTGAGTATATGCTCAGCCCTATCATACGTTGGTCATCACTAATTAATATGGTTCCACAGGTCCGCGGGGTCGAACACCATCAAGGGTATGCACAGATTGGCACTATGAACCAAAGTGCGTTTTACTAGGTCTGATACTGATTGCATATATATAGTGGTTGCAAGGTTCCGTCCGCAGAACAAGGTTGAATTGGCCTCTGGGGGTAAGCCCATCGTCGAATTCGAGAATGAAGAGTCATGCAGCATCAACGTGAGTCCAAACTTAAACCAGAAAGTGTGAGGGCTATACTGACAAATATTCTAGTCCCGAGAGGGCACAGGGGCCTTCACCTTTGATCGGGTGTTCCCTATGGACACCGCGCAAAACGACATCTTTGACTTCTCTATCCGACCGACTGTGGACGATATTCTGAACGGATATAACGGAACAGTTTTTGCCTATGGTCAGACTGGTGCCGGAAAATCATATACGATGATGGGTTCCGACATCGATGATGAGATAGGGAAAGGTATCATTCCACGCATGATCGAGCAAATCTTCGCCAGCATCCTGACTAGCCCGAGCAACATCGAGTATACCGTACGGGTCAGCTATATGGAAATTTACATGGAGCGGATCCGTGATTTACTCGTGCCCCAAAACGACAACTTACCAGTTCACGAGGAGAAAGCTCGCGGAGTTTACGTCAAAGGATTGCTGGAAGTATACGTATCCAGCGTGCAGGAGGTCTACGAAGTCATGCGCCGCGGAGGAGCAGCACGCGCCGTCTCTGCAACCAATATGAACCAGGAATCTTCTCGCTCCCACTCCATCTTCGTTATCACTGTCACCCAGAAAAATGTCGAGACTGGGTCCGCCAAGAGTGGCCAATTGTTTTTGGTTGATTTAGCTGGTAGCGAAAAGGTCGGCAAGACCGGCGCAAGTGGCCAGACTCTGGAGGAGGCCAAGAAGATTAACAAGAGTTTGAGTGCGCTAGGAATGGTCATCAACGCATTGACGGACGGCAAATCGACACACATTCCTTACCGTGACTCCAAACTCACTCGAATTCTCCAAGAATCTCTCGGTGGTAACTCTCGAACGACCTTGATTATCAACTGTTCGCCCAGCAGCTACAACGATGCCGAAACAATCTCAACCTTGCGTTTCGGTGTGCGTGCCAAGGCCATTAAGAACAAGGCCAAGGTCAACGCAGAGCTAAGCCCCTCGGAGATGAAGCAACTGCTGCGCAAGGCGCAAAGCCAAATGACGAATTTCGAAAGCTACATTTCAGCGCTTGAGGGCGAAATCAGCATGTGGCGTAGCGGCGATAGCGTCCCCAAGGACCAATGGACCCCCGCGCGAGGAAGCGAAATTGTCAGTGCTGCGAAAACTGAAGCCCGCGCCCCACGTCCAGGTACGCCCTCCCGTTTACAGGAGACTGCGCGTTCAGAAACCCCGCGCCCAGATTCACGGGTTGGAGATAGATCCAGCACTCCTAGCCTGGTACTGGAGAAGGATGAGCGCGAGGAATTCTTGCGCCGTGAGAATGAATTCCAAGACCAGCTCTCAGAGAAGGAGTCCCACATTGTCAACGTGGAGCGCAGCCTCCGCGAGGCACGCGACGAGCTTCGGTCTATGAAGGAGAATGGCGCACGAACCGGCAAAGATAATGAGCGCTTGGGTACAGAAGTCAACGAGCTCCGCATGCAGCTCGAGAAGGTCTCATATGAGAGCAAGGAGGCTGCCATCACGATGGATGGCCTCCGGGAGGCCAACTCAGAACTCACAGGCGAGTTAGATGAAGTCAAGCAGCAGCTTCTGGATGTCCGGATGAGAGCAAAGGAGACCACCGCGGCGCTTGATGAGAAGGAAAAGAAGAAGAGTGAAAAGATGGCTAAGATGATGGCTGGGTTCGACCTCGGTGGTGATGTGTTCTCCGATAACGAGCGCAAGCTGCAGGATCTCATCCAGCGCGTCGATGCTCTACACCAAATCAGCTCCGAGGGAGAAGTCATTGCACCAGACGACATCCTTGACCTTCGCACGAATCTTCTCGAGGCGCAAGGCTTTATCCGACAAGCCGAGCTGACCGTGAATGACCGAAGTGACTTTGGCGAGCTGCAGGACAGCCGCCGTGCAGATTTGGAAAAGAGACTGGATGACCTTCAACGAGAGTATGAGGGTCTATTGACGCGCAACTTGGGCGAGGGCGATGTGGAAGAGATTCGAGAACGGTTAGAGCAGGTTTACGTGACAAAGAAGGAGGCTGAGACTGCGGCGGCAGAGGATCTTCGTTCTGACATTTTGCGCAAGGATGAGGAGTTGACCAAGTTGCGACAATCTCTTGTCGACACTCAGTCCCGGACGTCCACCAATGGTGCCGCAAGCAAGACTTTGCAGCAGCAGATCACCGAATTCGATGCCATGAAGAAGTCTCTCATGCGTGACCTTCAGAACCGCTGCGAACGTGTTGTCGAGTTGGAAATCTCCCTGGACGACGCACGAGAGCAGTATAACAACGTCCTTCGATCCTCAAACAACCGGGCTCAGCAGAAGAAGATGGCCTTCTTAGAGCGCAACCTCGAGCAATTAACCCATGTACAGCGTCAACTCGTGGAACAAAACAGCAGCTTGAAGAAAGAGGTGGCAATCGCGGAGCGGAAATTAATTGCAAGAAACGAGCGCATTGCCAGCCTGGAAGCCCTGCTCCAGGAGAGCCAAGAGAAACTTACTCAAGCCAACCACCGGTATGTCTTGACGTATTCCTTTGGATCTTGCTTAGTGTACTCGATACTAACTAGCCTGATAGATTCGAAGCTCAACTCACCGCTGTTAAGGAACGCCTCGAAGCAGCAAAGCAAGGTTCTACCCGCGGCTTACCGAGCATGGATGGGAATGCGAGTTTTAGCTTTGGGGGGGTCACGCATCGCGAAACCTTTACGCGGGGGTGGTGACGGGCCGGCGAATGCGAACGTCGCGGGCATACAAT